TAATATTTGTATATCTATGTATTGTACGTAGTCAACTGGATTCGATATAACTAGAATTTTGTTAAAATTAATTGTAAAAACAAAGAGACAGAGAACGAAAACACGAGAGAATAAGAATTCCACTATAAATCTGAATGACTTTATTATGCGAGTAATTAGACGAAACCCCAAAAAACAATAAAAAAAAACAAAATAATCCAACTCGTCACGATGACTTATAATATACTTACTCGCGCTGATGCAACGTATACTCGCATGGGTATCGAGGCTCTTCCATACAATTATCGACTCGCGAGTAACAAAGTGTATTACATTAACGCGCCACACCTGAATCGAGACTCGCATTTATAGATGATCTTTGCGAACCACACCAAAAAAAAATCAGCAGCAAAGTCGGGAATACTATGTTTCGGATGCGACCAAAAAAAAGAAAGAAAAACATATCTCGCGGTAGGTGAAATGTAATGCAATAATATGCAGAGTTCTAAAAAACAAGACATTCGCATTGAAAACACGAATACACCCGTTGAATTGAATCAATGTGCATCTAATCCGTGTGTATGTGTGCGTGCAGCATCTCTCGTCATTTCTTTCGAGCTCATATGTTATAATCGCTCTTTCCGCTTTGCGCTAGCGGCAGGGAAATATAAGTTACTTTAGGGCCGCTGGTGTAAAAACTCATAACAAATTTCATCTTCAAATATGAAGAAAATCGAATCTTGGTGCTTTTATGTTTTTAGTTAGTTACATAAAAAAATTTGTTCGAGCTGAGTCACTTGAAGTTACTTCCAATTACATATCCTAAGATTTCAAAAATTATAAAAGCTGAGTCTCTTCAACTACCTACGTTTGCAGGCTCAAATAATCAAAAAATTGGCTCATGCTGGATCACTTAGGTTATTTCTGATTGCATACACAAAAATCAAAGCAATGTTTTGAGTTGCACCGTTACTCAAAACTAATAATTTTTATTTTTATATTGATTGATTGTAATGAAATCATCAAGTCCAGTTGATTCCGAATGATCAATTCAAAATAATCTGGCCGAGACACGAGCCAAGCGCAGCCAACATATAATAGGCACCCTTTGAAGACCGAACTCAATTTCAGTTGGCACGTTCGGAGGTTATCCGATCCTTTCTAAGACTTCTATGTACGAAAGAAAATTTACACTATGCCTAAGCACCAAAAACAAAGTCCTTTTTTGTTCGACGATCTCCCAAAAATCATATTATTAATCAAAGAACAATTTTGTGAAATCACTGTGATATATTGATTTTACATTGTTATTTTATTCGATGACTATAAAGGTTTTTGTAAATATCGACAGCGGCGTGCAATACATCAAGCATGGATTAATTATAGCTTCAATCTATTTAATATATATCTTGAATTTTGAAAGTGACAACTATAAAAACTTTTGTTCATTACTTATTACATGAGTACAAGTACCATAATTGAAAAAGCATTTCACAATCAAGACAAAATTATTACAGTTTTTCCATGAAGTTTTTTTTACACAATTGAAAAGTATTTACTTTAAGAGTTTTCAACCATTATATTATTACTACTTGATTAAAGATTATAATTACTTATTACGATAATATATTATTACGATACTCATATAAGTCCAAATTTATTTCGTTTACCTGTTATGAGACAAATCTAATTTAACAAATTTTTTGCTACTATCATGAATTATATCCATGGGGAAATTTAAGAGTTTGCTAAATTATGTTCTTTATTTATGTGAGTATTCAAGCGATATTTACGACTAAAGGACATGCGACAAATTTCACACTCAAAGGGTTTGATACCATAGTGTACAACATGAATATGAGATTTCATGGCACTTTTGCGTCCAAATGTTCTGTGACAAATATCACATTCGAATGCATTTCTGCGTTCATGAACCGAATCTATGTGCATTTGAAGGTATTGCTTGTATCCAAATGACTTATGACAAATCTCACATTCAAAGGGTCTGCTACGAACATGTACTGCAATCGTATGAGTTTCGAGAGACTTTTTTATTCCAAAAGCCTTGTGACAAATCTCACATTTGAAGGGTTTGCTCCCATTATGAACTGTATTTATGTGCCTATTGAGTTCACCCTTGCCTGCAAATGAACTGGGACAAATATTACACTTGAAACGTTTGTTGTGATCATGAACTACATTTACGTGAATTTTAAGGTAACTTTTTCTTACAAATGATTTACAACAGATTTTACATTCGAAAAATTCACTCCGATTATGAATCTCACTTATGTGTTTATTGAGGCTGTAATTACGCGTAAATGATTTGTGGCAAATCTCACATTCATACTGTTTAAGGCTTTTAAATTTTGCATTGATATGCCTTTTTGAACTTGCTGTCACTGCATTAGTTTTTCGACCCACTTTTGACATTGATGATGATTTATTTTCAACTATTTTATGAACATTTTTTAGCTTTTTGAATTCTGCCGGTTTTAAACGGAGGTTTTCATTCGATTGACAATTTTTGTCATAATTAAAACCCTTTATTATTGAAATTATTAACTTTTTTCCATTCACGTAATTTGTCGGATTTCTCTCGTTTTCTTTTTTCACGTCAGATTGAAAATGTTGATGCTCGGATTTGCAGGAGGCTGTCGATTGAGTATTGAGTTCCAATTTTACATCATTGCACTCAAAATCAATTAATATATTTTCCTCTATATCATTGATTGGATTGTCTTTTTCTAGTTTTACAACATTTTGATACTCAGACTTGCAAATGGTGTCTGTTAAAGACGTCGGTTGAACTTTTACATCTTTGCACTCAAAATCTATGAATACATTTCCATTTAAACTTTCCTCTGACGCTATTGAATCTTTTATGGGGTTTTCCTAAAATTAAAATTGCGCACTAGTTTTGGATACTAAATAAATAAAATATAAATCAAATTATTTAACTCACCGACAATTCATAAAACATGGATGTTTCAAAGTTTCCAGCTTTGCAATAATCCACCGAATCAGGAACATAATCGTCATCTCCGGTCGTCAAAGTATCGATCGACTCTTCCTTCACCCTGCAGCATAATAGAGTTTCATATATAATCACTCAAAAAAGTATCACGGCAATATTATACCATATGAAAAATACATAGCACAATTGTCTAACTATTATGCAATTGATTTTTAATACTTCTTTGATTATATATATATTCACTGTAAGTTATTGAGATATACACTGAGTTAATATTCGAGGTTTATAAATGCCTTAAATAGCTAAAAATTTAGCTCTGGATTTTAAGTATACAGGGCTGTGTGACGTCGGAAAATTACGTCGAAAGGGAAATACTTGAATGAAACGGCTAACCGTTCACTCCCGAGTTGGCAGTCGTTACATTAGAATTAAATTAGAATTACATTAGAAAATGTGTGATATAATTAATAATATTAATTGCGTAGAATAAGCTGTGCAAAGAAAAGAGAGTATACTTATGTTCGAATTTGACTTACATTTTGAGATTGCCGGTGTACTGCCGCACGCAACGACTCTTGGCCGCAGTGAATCGCAACAGAGAAAAAACACTTGGACACTTTTTTAGTACAACTCGACATGTGGACTGCTGGAGCACGAGTAAGTCTAGATGTTCGAGTCAATAGAGCAGACGCACAAATTTCAACTTGGATCGGCGCTTAATTTTTATGGCTATTTGAGGGCCTGTATTGGCCCGTTTTTCATTCAGCGGTTTTAATCATTTACTCGTAATAATTTTAATAAACAAATGTATATGCTCAATTTTTCGTGGTTGTTTGGACGACTCACACACATCAACCGATTGAAGAATTTATTTTAGATTTCATATTGTTTATTATTAATTTGTTATTAATTTAGAAATGGATGATTTAAAAAAGGACAGATAAATATTAGATTTTGATTTTTACTCATTAAAATGGGCTTGGAGTGCAAATATTGTTGATTTTTTTAGAAGTTATTTCGCATTGTTAATAATTATCACTCGAATTATTGTCCCAACACACTTTTTCGAATATTTCAGAAGCACCTGAATAGGTTGAGAAGTTCTTTGAAGGCAAAAGTAAAGGTTCAATTGATTTTGTATAGCGATCATAAAAAAGGCATCAAATTACTTTCGGGTCATATGGCGTGAACTGTTTGATGAGCTCGAATTCGATCGATTGACTGTGCTCGTTGGCGGTTTGAATTTCCGAAAATGTTTAGTATTGTATAACTGGTGGCAATACTTACAAAGTATGTAATATAATATTAATAAATACAGGGTATGTCATAAAATTTGTAAACACTTAGAGTAGAAGAATCAAACCCTAGGTATCAAACGCATCAATATTAAGTAGTAATTATATTTACTAGGAAAAGTGATTTTTGTCGTCGAAATCCCAAGCTATAAAAATAAAAAAGTATCGTATTTTCTATTTGTACGCATTTTTTCATATTTTGAGAACTTCAGTGTACAAACATTAATGTTCAAATAGTTAATCCAAAATATTAGGAAAAATCCTGGAAAATTCACGTTTATTTCTTGAAGACTCCCTTCAAAAAAATCAAAAATTTTTATGTATTTTCATTTACCAAAAATAATACCATTTAAATAGTTTTAATCGATCTTAGTAGCTTTTTTAAGGGATTTCGTAGCCAACAGGAGAAGTGGTACTCAGGAAAAGGTAAACAGATAAATGGAACATATGAATGCTAATAAAACAAATAAATTAAAGTCAAAGTCTATTTATTTAATAAATTAGTCTATGTACCATAATAGAAACAGTATTACAGTCAATACCAAATCGATTACAGCTTAAAACTTGATGAAGTATATTTATTCAAAAAATTGAAGAATATTTATGTTAAAAGTTTTCAAACATTATATATAATTATATTATGTTAAATTAAAAAAATTATTTCTTTTATTCTAATCAAGGTCTAGAAGTAAGCTTTTAAATAATGTTATGAAAATTTTTATGTAATATCATAATATTATGCCTTTTGAGTTTAATCTGGCGCGTAAATGACTTTTTAAAAATATCATACTAGCAGTGTTTGATACGCATATGAACTGAATTTATATGCCTTTTGAGAGTAGTACTATTCCCATATGCTTTATGACAAATCTCACATTTAAAGGGTTTGATACGATCGTGCATTGTAATAATATGTGTTTTGAGTACATGCTGGTATCCGAAAGTTCTGTGACAAATATCACATTCAAAGGGTTTGATTTGATTATGAACTGCGTTCATGTGAGTTATAAGATTATTTCTTTGTTTAACTCTAAAGTGGCAAATATTGCATTCGAAGGGGTTGCTGGAATTATGCGCTGCTTTTAGGTGACTTTTGAGCAAACTTTTTTTTTTAAAGTTTTTATGACAAATCTTACATTCGAAGGGTTTGCCAATATGTTCTTTTATAATGTGACTTCTTAATATGTACTTGTATTCAAATTTTTTTTGACAAATGTCACATTCAAAGGAGTGGTTACGAACATGAATTAAATTTTTATGAGAAACGAGGTGATCCTTGCGACCATATGACTTGTGACAAATGTCACATTCAAAGGGTTTGCTTCGTTTATGTACTGCCGTTATATGCCTTTGAAGGTGATCCTTAGATCCAAATGGTTTGTTACAAATCTCACATTCGAACGATTTGATACGATTATGAACTGTAGTTATGTGAAAGTTAAGGTTAGGTTTTTGCCCAAACGATTTATGACAGATCTCACATTCGAAGGGTTTGCTCTGATTATGTATTATACTCAAGTGTGTTTTAAAGTAACCCTTGTCTGAAAACGATTTGTGACAAATTTCACACTCAGAACGTTTAATCCGCTTATGAACTCCCATTATGTGTCTTTTGAGATGACTCCTGGCTGGAAATGATTTGTGACAAATCTCACATTCAAAGGGTTTAATACGATCATGAACTGCATGTATATGAGATGTAAGGTTACCTTTTTGTGCGAATGATTTATTACAAGTGTCACATTCAAAGGGTTTGCTCCGGTCGTGTACTACACTGATGTGAGAATTGAGATTATGCTTCCATCTAAATGATATGTGACAAATGTCACATTTGAAGGGTTTGCTCTGAATATGTAATGCATTCAGGTGTGTTTCAAGACATGTCTTGTATGAAAACGATTTGTGACAAATTTCACACTCAAAACGTTTGATCCGCTTATGTACTCCATTTATGTGTTTTTGGAGATAATTTCTGACTGAAAATGATTTGTGACAGATTTCACACTCAAAGGGTTTGTTCTGACCATGTTCTAAATTTATGTGCCTTTTAAGGCGACCCTTGAATGAAAACGATTTGCAACAAACTGCACATTCATACTGTGTAAGGCTTTTAAGTTTTGGATTGATATGCTTTTTTGTACTTGCTAACACTGTATTAGTTTTTCGACCAACTTTTGACTTTGATGATGAATTTTTTTCAACAATTTTATTAACATTTTCTAGCTTCTTATTTTCCGATTGTTGCAAATGGGAGTCTGTATTCAATTGATAATTATTGTCATAATTAAAACCTTTTTTAATTAAAATTATTAGACGTTTTTCATTCGCGTAATTGAACGGATTTTTTTCGTTTTGTTTTTTTAAATCAGTTTGGAAATTTTGGTGTTCAGATTTGCAGGTGACTGCGGATTGAGACTTGGAATCAAATTTAACATCTTTGCACTCAAAATCAATTAAAACATTTTCCTCTATATCATTGGTTGGATTTTCTTCTTCTACTTTTACTATAGCTTGAACATTTTGATGCGCAGGCTTGTGAATGGTTGTTATTAAAGCCGTCGGTTGAATTTTAACATCTTTGCACTCAAAGTCAATTAATATATTTTCCTCTATATCTTTAATTGGATTTTCTTTTTCTACTTTTACAATAGATTGACCATTTTGATACTTAGACTTGCGAGTGGTTGCTGATGGAGGCGTTGGTTGAACTTTAACATCTTTGCACTCAAAATCTATGAATACATTTTCATTTAACTTTTCCTTTGACGCCATTGATTCGATGATATGTTTTCTCTAAAATTAAAATTTCGGGCTAATTTCTGGTAGCGAATAAACAAATATAATTTAAATTATTCAACTCACTGATAATTCATGAAATGGTAATATTTCAGAGTTTTCTGTTTTGCAAGAATCCACCGAATCGAGATGATAATCGTCACCTGCGGTCGTCAAAGTATCGTTTAGCTCTTCCTTCACCCTGTAGAAAAATCGCGTTTTATAAATAATCGCTCAAAAAATTGTCATTGCAGTACTATAATACATGAAAAATGTCTAATGATTACGCAGTATATTATTACTACTTCTTTGCTTAAAAGTAACTATTCAATGTAAATTTTTAATACGTAAGCTGGCAAGAGTACTACATGAGATGCGGGCTATTCATTTTTAAGAACAATATTGATTTTAATTAAAGTTCAATTGTTAAAATATAATATTTCAGCCCATATAGTTTTTTAACACGTATAAAGCGAAAGGGTACTTATTTACCTTACATATAACTTTTAAGTTTTTGTCAAGTTCGCTTATGCTGTGAATCGGCTAATCAAGTTTCTTAAATGTTTCTATTTTTTTTTCATAAATTTGTTACAGTACAATGTTTACAGTAAAGATAGTATAGATGCAGCTGGTAGGGTTTCAAAATTATGCTTTTTACTCTTGAAAGTAGGGAACTATAATTCAAATACATATTTGAAAGTTTATTCATCAATATTTGAGTGCCACATGTTGAAACAGAAGAAATAATTGCGAAAATCGTTAATAATTAATGGTAAGTAGATTGATTTTGAATTCGTATTTCAACTTTTTTGTCATAATTTGAAATTGATTTATGTGCGATTAGTCCCATATAGTGTCCCAAGTTAGTAGGAAATAAGCATTATTAGGTCTAAAAATACAGGCCAAAAAACCATGTTTTTTCGTTTTCAATTAAAAACAATATTATTTTTGAAAATTAATTACAGGGTCCATCGGATTTATTTCATCTTAATGTACCTCGTTTTCAAGTGTAGAACTTGGTTTGCTCGACCTTGGATAATTAATTTTAAGCCACTTCGTGCATCATCCTTTTGATCGGACAATGCACGAGAGGTCCGCTAAGCTCGGCTCGTGCAAAGGATTAAATGTGTAGAGAAAGAGGGTCACTTTCGACTTGGAAACATCACATAAATTGCGGTGAACGAAAGATAGTCAAGTAGTATTAGCCGTGAAAAGAAAAGAGAGTATACTCATGTTCGAATTTGACTTACATTTTGAGATTATCGAAGTACTGCTGTACGTAACGAGTCTCTTAAACGCAGTGAATCGCTGCAGAGAAAAAACACTCGGACACTTTTTTAGTATACAACTCGACATCTGGACTGCTGGAGCACGAGTAAGTCTATAGATGTTCGAGTCAATGGAGCAGACGCAAAAGTCTGAGCTTGCAGAAGTTTTCTGAAAACAAAAGAGCTTATCTTTGTATAGCGGTCGTAAAGAAGTCAACGAATTCCTTTCGGATCGTATGTCGCGAACTGTTTCATAGGCTCGAATTCGAGCGACTGGTCTGCGCTGGTCGGCGGTTCGAGATTTAAATATTTTCGATCTTGTAGAATTGTCGACATTGCTTGCAAGTTACATGTAATAAAATAATTGGTTAATATTTGATCGTAAAGAAATCTTACTCTAATGTAATTGAACGCATCGGGCACGAGTAGTCATATTTACTAGATAAACGACCTCACCAAAATAGCTATAGAGATAAAAAAAAGTATCGATATTTCCATTGTTCACGAATTTTTTAATTTTTCGAGGACTCCAGTCAACAATTATTAAAGTCGATTACACGCGTATAACTACAATAATTTTAATTCGATTACGATCAAAGGCTCGATTTTCTCCAATGCTTTGTAGATTTTCTCGTGTATGTAAGATAAGAATAGGTCAGTCCACTCGTTGAAAATAATATACGAACTTCTCGTCCCTCGATCTTTCTCCGCGCTCGCCTCCGTATTTCTCATCCGCATATCATTGGCTCTCTTCGTATACCTACATCATACACACGCCTCATCGGCGAAAAAAACTCTTACGTCTGCATTCGAGTTACGTAAAAAAAAAAAAAAAAATAACAGTCCCAAACGTTTCTCGCTCTTTCTCTCTCTCTCTCTCTTCTTTTTTCTTTTCGCTCGCATCCTCTCGTCGTCGCACCACTACTCCTATATACTCACGCGATACGATATTTTATAGACTCGCGGGGTCGGCAATTGTGTAACCCCGCGTCGGGCGCTCTATATATGTATATGACAATCCTGCGAGCGTTGGTGCACACGTGCGCCGCGATGCCCACGTAACCGTCATATTTTCTTCTCGTACGTATGCTACATAAGAGCCGTAGCTCGTCTCGTCGGGATGGACGTGTCGTTCCTCCTTTATTGTTATTATTTTTTTTTTTTGCGAGTAAACACTCCGAATGTGTGCGTAATCTGTATCGCACTTAATGGACTATATATATATCAGGCGATGATCGCTGCGACTCAACGCGGGGTATCTATGTATATAATACAGCACTACGCGCGCGTCTATATAATGGAAAGTTGCAGTGTGCAGTTCGATTCGTATTCTAGAAAGTGGCTATGTCCAAAAAAGCAAGAGAGAGAAATTACAGCCGCAGCAGCGGCTCTTTTAATGAGCAAAGTGTTCAAGACCCTATATAACGAGTACAGTGGTGTTTATCTGTATACAGCGAGCGTCAATGGCCTTTACGGATTATTAGCCGTCTATCGGCACGTGTGTGTGTGTGTGTTTATATACGTGCGAGTCTTAATGCGAGCCTCACGATCGAATCGCCTGCCCATGTTGCATTTCCACGCGCGGCACATCCACGAACGAGGCTTAAATTGTATCGAGCGAGCTCGAGTCGTAAAAGCTCGGGGCTTTTTAGACTCATTATACTCCCGACGATTGGTTTTTGATTGAAAAATTGCGCGTTTACGTGCATGCCCCGACGAGCTCTCCTATATTTATGCTGCAGTTCGCGATGGATTAAACTGTGGCTTTTAATATTCGTCGTGCGTGAATATTTTCACGAGGGTGTGGGCCGGTGTATTATCCTTTTTATCGATACAGAGTACGATGTATCGATTTGCACAAATGTATCGGCCAGTCGCTCGAGGATGTGTATACACTCGATACCTGAAAATTCGACGTGAAATACGTATCGACAAACTAATTATATATACTTAGAAAGAAGCAAATGTTATCTTTTCTCTTTGGTATAACGTAGCGGTATATAATATTGTGTACACACGTTCGCGCGCCTTCACGCTCATTAGAAGCTGAGATGTGTATATATGTATCGTCTTAATGGATTTGTCAAGTCGCGGACAACGCCTCGTGTGTATTTCAGGGTATACCTCGAGTCTCCAGTGGGACATCGATCGGCGAATAACAATTATACCCTAATTCTGGAAACGCGAGCGAATCGTTTTTCCGACGAACGAGTATAGCACTCGTTGCTGTATATTCAACAAAGCCGAAAATTTCCCCGAGATCGATCTGTATATCCGTTTCTCTTAGCTCCGACACGCGTGTGTGTGTGTGTGACGCACACAACAAATGCGCGAAAAATCCAACGACTTTTTGCGTCGACGTTGTACACGTACCGTGTAGCATGCATGGATACAGGTATGCACTTATTTTCCAGGCAGAGCCTTTCTCCACGCCCATTAAACAAATGCATATACGTATATATACAGAGTGTACCGACCAGTAACGATACACACACACACACACGTACGTGCATAGATCGATATGTGTACACCCGTAGATCGTGTCTTTCTTTCGCGCACGAGGGGAAAAGAAGAAAAAAAAAACGATCCAGGCACACACACACACACGCGTACTTATAAACGCGAAATTTTCCTTTCTGGCCGCGCGACTTTCGTTCACCTTATAGCCCATTACTCCATAAAGGCAGTCGCTCTCGAGAGTCGAGAGTCAATGCTAATCTGTCTAGCATCTCGATGGAGTATATATACTCGGTGTATGGCCGTTGCGCTGATTCTCTCGCGGCTTTTTCCTTCGTATATAGACAGTGGTGTCTGACTGTTTTCAATCTGGTCAAAAGATATATATGGGTATATACAATTGCGGCGCGCTACGGGCGTTGTGTATCTTATCGATTATGCATATAGTATATAACTTGTACGGCGAGAAAAATGGATCAAACTCGCTGGCGCGTGAGAAAATAAACTTGCCAATTTTTCTCTCTCTCTTTTTTTCTCGCACCGGGGAATGCATCGGTGCATAAATGAGCAAAAAACGAAACAACGAAAAGATTGTCCCACCTCGATCGATCGCACACGTAATACAGAAATACCAAACTTTTAAAATATTTTTATCGTACTACCGAGCGACGTCGATCTAATTTTCCTATCCCCCGGCAGCGTATACAGTTCGAACTTTCGCGGCAGGGATCCGCACAGCTGGCAGGGCGAACAGGTGGGATTAGTTGGATTATCGCCTAGCTCTATAGTAAAGCTCGACGAAATAACATTAATGCAAAGTTTTGCGCGGAGTTTGCGCGAGCTGTAGGCTGCAAGCTCGAGCTCGATCGTGTTTGTATATATTATACATACATACGCTCGTGTGATTTTCCAAACGGCTCAAGAGCCTAACAACACTCGCGGGTTATATGCGTGCTGTATACGGTGAGGGTGGATATAATTGAATTATTTACGAGGATGTCGTCCTCGAGCGATACGATATTCGACGAAACGTGATTTAATACGGCATCTTTTGCCCGCGCGTGGAAAGATGTCCTGTCGACTTTTATCATAATGATATTTTCCCACGTACATAAAATAAGAGAAAATTCACCCGATATCGCGTGTTTTGTATCAATTCATCGACATTCGCGAGACCAAACGTACGCGCGTCGAGAATTACAAATTCGCAAATATTATTGTATCGGAATGGACGCGAATGAATTTTCATCGACACGATTGATACGCGTGTGTGTATGGCTGCGATTCGATTGAATGATATTAATGTATACGCACGCACGACTCGTATCGGTATACACAAGGGCTACGTGATCTTTCGCACTCGCGAATCGAGATTCGATTCAAAAATTAAAATCCCGCGCGTGATATGTATATGTATCGATCGCTCGCGAGCTATTATATTTGCATCTCGCGGGTTGCTGGCGCGGTGGTGACGCGGCGCGCCCGTAATCGAATCAATTATTTCTCGATTGAATGACGTATAGGCGGCCGAGCTCTTTTGAAAATTTGTTGCGAAAATCAATCCTATTCGTGTGCGTGAGAATTCTTCGTCGTCGTCGTTGCGCGCGAATTTTTCGCGCATTTTTTTTTCATACGTATAACTACGGTATCGCCACTCCGAGCCATCTTTTGTCATGGTAAAATTTCTGTACGCGCGACGGACTCGATCGGAATTACAATGAGATCTTACGAGAAAAACTATATACACCGTGCGAAGTATATATACCTTCGAGAACGAATTCGATCGCGGGTATAAACGCATTTAGCTCGAATCCAAAGTAAACTTTACGCACTTACCCGCGCGCGCTCGCGGATAATTTATAACGCGTAATAATAAATTTCCTCGACATATAGCCGTTCTGCGCGCGTATTACAAATCTGCCGGGCGAGAAAATTTATGCGTTATTCAGTTATTAGAGGATGGAGTATTAAAAAATTGAAAAGAGAGAGAGAGAGAGAGAAAAATTGCGCTCGACCCATTTCCATATTATATATTGTCTTTATGGCACCACGGCTCGCGTTACGTTATACGTATCGTTAATAATCGCGCCTCGGCACTATAAAGGTTTTATTGCGAATCGCCATAAGAAATCTTGGAATTCAATGAAATCGGTGTGTAAACGTATATATATAGCGCACTGGACTGTTCATAGAGGCCGTTACAATTGCCTCGCGGATTCTCCGTATAATATATATCGTTGCAATGCGATTTTTAGCTGCTGAATTTTATGTCGTATCCGTGTATCGGCGATTGGATGTTATTGCGATATTTTTTTTTTTCCAGTAATTTTCACCGACACAATAATTGCACGACGGAAAAGAGAGAGGAAAAAATCGTAAAAATATCCGTGTATCTGTTCGAATAGATATTACGCCGCGCTAATGTTTTTTCAGCTTTGTATAATAAAGCATTATAATTTACAACTCGAAGCGGCGGCGGCGCGTATACATTATTAAGCGCGCGCCCAGATTTGCCCAACGTGAATATTTAACCGCGTATATATAGGTAAAACATAATTCAGTACACGCGTGTGTTTGCGCGTATTAAATATGTTCATAATCTAATTCAGCGAGAGACTCGGGTTGTATAGCTCTATTAAAGCTCCTAATGGAGTTACGATGGAAAATTAAGTAGCCTATCTGTCCGTCGGAGGCAGCGCGCGGGATTCGTAAATTAATTATAAAATATACGCGTTGAAGCAACGACAACGGAAAAAGTCCTCGATTTTCTTTTCTCGCGTACGAGATACGTGTACACGGTGTCACCTTCGTTGACATCCGTACTCGGGGTCAAAAGAAAATAGAGAGAGAGAGAGAGAGAGAGATGGGTCGAACGCAAAGAAAAAAAAACTTATTTACCCAAGAATATAAAAAAAAAACAAGAAACGAAGTCAAAAGAAGAAGAATAAAGAAGGCGCGATACGTATATATATAAAAGCGCGTCGCAAGTCGAGCACGCAGCCCCCTCGAGCTGTGCGCAAGCTCGTGCCGGCGATGCTCTAGTCGCGAAAGCTCTCTCTCTCTCGCTCTTACTCGCTCTCTTTTTCGCCACGCTCTATAAGTCGGCTGCTGCCGTCGTCGTCGCTGCTGCTGCACCGCCGCTGGCACCGAGACTACATACACACGGTATACAGACGGAGGGGCCTGCAGTACAGCCGCGAGAGAGAATCGCGAGCACACGCGCGCCGGTTTTGTCTCCGTGTACACTCGTAGAAACGCGAAATATTATGTCACGCGAGAGCCGCAGTTTTCTAGTAGCGGGCAATAATAGTAATAGTAATAATAATACCGTCGCGCGGGAGGACGCATATACTTGTACGAGTGCATGAGTCGAATCGCCTCGTAGAAAAAGTGCCGTGTGTATAACGCGTGTGCGAGAGAGTGAGAGTGAGCTGTCGCAGGCGCGGCTCGAGGGCCCGATAGACAATTTGTCCAATTTGATCGAGCGATTGTTGTCTTTTGCCGAAAAAAAAAAAATTTAAGAAACAATAGGAAGGACGATCGCGTGTGTTGCGTTACTCGCGATCGATTGTATACACGTACGTACGAACGGAGTGACCTTATACATCGCGAGATAGTATTTCCGTATATTGTGAGAGATCGTCGTCGTCGTCTGAGTGACATTTATTGTACATCCACGATACAGGCCAGTCGCTGCCTCGAAGCTATATAGCACACGTTTCACGGGTTCGGAGCGCGGGGTAAGTAAGTATATATAATGCAACGTTTTACGATATTACGACGAGCTTTTCGGGATGATTATTACCGAACGTTCGTAAGATGATTTTTGGACGCGAGCCAGTTTACTGCGTGATTCGCGCGGCGCGTTAATATATAGGTACGCGAAAGCGCACACGTGCCGTGCCGCACGACGCACACACACACGCGTTATATATCTACGAGTCTATTTTTTTTTTTTTGTTGTTTCGATCTTTCTTCAATTCGTTAATCCGATTCGAGATTATTATAAATATATAGTCCGTCTTATCGGCGCTCGGTTGTGTACCTATACTATATACGCGCAATCAGTCCTCGCTCGCTCGCTCGAGTGTCATAGTTTATCGGCGCGTCGACGCTGCGGTATTTGTACATAAACGCGCGTATTACAAAAATGCGAAGAATTTTTCAGCGGCGGCTGAATTGAATCGTACCGGACTCGTGGCACATATTATATATGTGTGTGCGTGTGTGCGTCGTACTATAAACGCGATAAATTGAAACTCGCCGCACTTGGCGAAATTGCAGCTTATTTCGCGCGTCGTAATAATATGTAACGCGGCGTATATATACCGTGTATATATCTGCACGGAACGCAGATGTATGAGAGAGGCGGAGATAAAAACTATTTAATGCGTAATAAATAAATAATAATATTACGAACGATCCCATTTAGAGACCGCGAGTGCACGCACATTAAATAATGTCTATATACACTGTCCAACGTTCATATTCGTATAACCTTTTGTGACTCTAATTACAATTTAGAGGGATCTAGCTCTCGCTCATACACACACATGTACATGATGTAAGGGGCACGCCTCGTCGCGTATATGCGCCTCGCGTATACGCACATTCGAGTCTCGTTGATGAAAAAAAAAAAAAACCGCATTGAATTGGATAATGGGATAATTAAATTATCCTACAAAGCAGCAGCGGCGGTGGCCGATCTCCAACGAGCGAGCGAGCGAGCGCAATAGATCATATTTTATGTAGTCTATATTCTGCAACTGCGGTGCATTATATAGATCCACGTGCTTGTGTGTGTGTGTGTGTGTGTGTGTGTGTGTGTGTGTGTGTGTGTGTGTGCGGTCGGTACATAAACGTGCGGTTGCTTCCATCTCATTAATTGCCCACACGCACACGTACATTCGTACATATTGCACATTATATACCGATATAGTTCTTTTTTTTTTTATTGCCGTGCGCGCTAAATACGCGTATTGAGTATAGCCGAGAGATCGTATACATATATATACCTACCGCACCGAAGGCGTTTTATTTTCTACTCGCGCGGAAATTCATAAATTTTATCGTATATACCACACCGCACTGCCCAACCCTCTTTTCCCCGAAAATTTTCCTGCTCGCGACGTTTTATAATATTTATCGAATTTATAAATCGTTCGCGCACTGCTCTCTCGATAGCTATAGAATAATTTCGGGAAAATTATTCTCTCCTTTTTTCGCCTCGTGTATTGGTGCTCGTGTGTGTATGTGCGCTCTCGCGGTTGTATTAATTATACACCGCGTGCACCGATGAGACTCACTAGTCAAGCACACGCGATCGTCGCGATAAAATACACAGCAGACAGGAGTTACGTTACGATCGTCGCCGTATACAATATACTTCGTACGTATCGATCGTTATTAATTTCATGCAACTTTTTTTTTCATATCGTGCGTGTGTTAGAGTGAGTAAAAACTCGTATACCATCGTGAAAAAAAAGTGATCTCGTTCGGTGTATCGTCGTATATGCGCCACTGCTATACCGCTGCAAAAATATGCAATTATTACGCGAGATAACGATCCGAGTTTGCAATAGTTAAGATTAAAAACCGATTTTCGCGCTCGAGTGTCGTCGTTGTCTCTATAAATGCGTTAATGCACACCCACGCCACTGAATACATCCATTATTATTATGTACGACGCGACCGATATCAGTCGCCGCGAGACGATCGAGTTTATACATCATAAAAACGACCGATACTACATTTTTTTTTGTTTCATTCCTGTCGCACTATATACATAACGCGATCGCGTGCGTAATGTACAATATTATACACCGCGAATAATCGCATCGAGTTCCAGTCATCTGTCCGCAGGTAAATCGTCCGCGATTAAAAGAGGCGAAAGTGTAGTGGTATATAAGCGGAGCAGTTCATTAGTCGACGAGGACGATTATCATTGCGATATTTTAGCTCGCGACGATCGCGATTCAACCGCGTGCGCGGCTAAGCTCGAGCTTACGTAGATAAATTATGGCGATCGATCTCTCCATTATTTAGTGACCACGCTTGTAAATAATAAAATCGTCTCCGCGCGCGAAGGTAAATTGCATATAATAGTAAAGAAAAATTGCGCGAAATGGCTTCTTTCCTGCGCGATGGATCATTACTCCGTTTACTCGAACGACACCGATGTTTAATTGACCATTTCATACCGATTTACAGGCACGTTCGAGTCCTCCCGAATAAAAAAAAAGAACCACCACCACAACCATAGTCATGTCGCGGCTCGTGCTGGGCATCGACGTGGGCACGACCAGCGTCAAGGTCGTCCTGGTCCAGCCCGACGGCCAGACGATACTCGCCAATCAGTCCAAGGACACCCAGGCCAACGTGCCGAGCGATCTCGGCGTCGAGGGCAACAAGCAGGACGTGCCCAAGATACTCTCGGCCATACACAGTTGCGTCTCGAGATTGCCCAAAGATCTGTTGAAGCAGGTAAGGCGTATATACATATAATATTCACGACGAATCGATCCAAGTCTGCTGTTACACATGTGTGTCGATGTAAACAATGAGCCGCGTGGAATTGCCGTATGCTGCTGCTGCCCCCACGGCCCCCCATTGTTATGCGTGACTGGCGCGAGCCGATTTTTGCGAGCTAGCTCGGAAAACCGGCATTGTTTCAGCTAATTCGTTGCAACGACGGGGGAAATGTTATAAAAATGTCTTATGTAATGGCAAGCGTATTATTATTAAGCCTCTGTATGAGTCATTCTAAATTTTGCACAATCTCAGCTCTCTCTCCCTCGCGATCATTAATAAAGATATTATAATATTAGATTGGCTCGGCTCTCGAGCTACTACACATACTGCCTCGATCCATGACTCAATTATAATTGATTCGCCCGGCGTGCTGCAGGTCGAGAGCATCGGCATATGCGGCCAGATGCACGGCGTGACGCTCTGGAAGTCCGACGCCGTGGCGGCCACGACGAGCAGCGGCGGCGGCGGCGCTACGAACAACGGCCATCAGAATCAGTTCAAGCTCGACATCGACAAGGACGGCGTGTCGCATCTGTACACCTGGCAGGACGGCCGCTGCGACATCGGCTTCCTGGACTCGCTGCCCAGGTCGTCGAGCCACTTGGCCCTGCACACGGGCTACGGCTGCGCGACCCTCTTCTGGTTCGCCAAAAATAAGTCAGTGCAGCGCAGATATATTGTATAAAAATTAATTATTTATTGCTATGATTAATTGCGATTCTTATTACGGCGCGTTTGAGATATATATATATTTGAGGTTTATAATTGCGTTTATTTTCGTTAGAGTCGCAGAAAAACGTGAAGATCTTTTGAATAAAGTAGAGAAAGATTTAAATACTTAATGGTCACCAAGACCTAATCAAATTCCTAATCAAAGTTTCGTTATTATGTACCCGCGGAGACCCCACAAAAAATGTTTGAAAAAGATTTCTGATCCGCAATTGAAAAGGTCATCTTGTAAGTACGAAAAATTCAATAATCCACCGTGATCGAGGTCGGCTTTCAATTTATTCTCCGGTTCGACGAAGTTACAGTTTAAAAAATTAAGTTTTTACGCGCCAAACGAGTACTCGAGATATTATTTGTCTACTTCTTCGTTCAGTCGACTCTATACAGTTTAACGAAACTTCAAATTTAATGCAGATTGGATTTAAAATCAATAAGAATTAGACTAACTGATACTGGATTTTATTCGAGGTACTTTTTCATGAAATCATTGGTTGAAAATTTCATTCATAAGTACTGATTTATTTTTATGCTCAAACTGCACGAAAAATGTATGAAAATGCAATAATGTATGCTGTTTTTGATGCAGTAATAATGAACAAATAAATTTCATTCTATACTCATATTCAAACATGTGGCTCTTAATTAATGTTTTAATACTAACATGTGTTTGGCTAGCATTTCTCGAAAAAATTCATAAAAACTCAATCACAATAAAATCCAGTGTCCACCGCTAGAGGGCGAGTGCCTTCATTTGTAAATCTGCAAGTGGCAAAGTCAACAGAATCGTATAAGTCAAAGCACGAATTTGTCCAAACGTATATCCATACTTTTTCAATATTTTACCGAAAAATTTTGGAAAATTTCAAGTCTTTAATCAGAGTTATAGAAATCAATACCGTACTTGGTAATAAATGCGACGTAATTCGATCTATTTATTACAAGCATCAATCATTGACCCCATTAAATTTTAATTCATGCAATGTATAATCCGTGATCGAACCTGCAACAACATCGGTGGCGTTATTTTTATATTAGTATTACTGTTATTTATTTATTTTATGCACTCGTACATTTAACGCGAATACAATTTTGGCTCATTTTGGCTCGCATCGACACCCTACTGCTATACAGACCGGAGAAGCTGAAGAAGTACGACAGATGCGGCACCGTGCAGGACCTCGTGGTGAGCCTGCTGTGCGGCTCGGCCGAGGGCCCGGTGCGCATGAGCAATCAGAACGCCGCGAGCTGGGGCTACTTCTGCACCGAGGCCTGCGACTGGGACCGCGAGGCCCTGGCCCGGGGCGACTTCCCCGAGCGACTGCTGCCCCAGGAGGTGCTCGGGCCCGGCGAGAGCGCCGGCCGACTGTGCCGCAGCTGGTTCGGCATACCCAAGGGCGTCAACATAGGTATGATAATGTTATTGTTACATAAATCGGCACGCATTTGAAATTAAAAATGACAAATACACACTTGTACTCACGACGTTTTTGAATTGAAAAACGCAGGAGTCGCGCTGGGCGATCTTCAATGCTCGGTGTACGCGCTGCTGAAGCAGCCGAGCGACGCCGTCCTAAATATCTCCACGTCGGCTCAGCTCGCCTACGTACATCCGACCCTCAAGCCGGACGCAATCAATGAATCAAGTGAGAGGATTATATATTGCTTTTATTATTGCGCCTACTTCTCCGATAAATACCTCTCGTTTTATCGTCTTACCTATACACATGCGGGCTATATCGAGTCAACCGTGATAGTCAAAAAAATGAAATTGAAACAAAATGAAAATCCTGAAATTTTTAGCCCCCTAGGCCCATCGCCCATCCCTCATGGATCTACAGGATCTCAAAGTTGGAATTTGATTTTTCAAATTTTTTCCGATTTCTTAGGGTGAATATAGAAATATTATTTAATGAGAATAAAAAGAGGGTAGGGCACTAACCTTATTTGATGAGATATTCTAAATTCGTATACTTTTTGATAGCACAGTTAATTTTAAAGAAAAACAATTCCAAGAATACGCAAGAACTATAATCAATGAATACAGTGTTACAACTTACCTACATCCAACGCTGATATAACAGCAGCGCACACTTTTTGTTTACTTATATAATATGTAAACAAGCCACTAGGTGGCGAACTTGCAAAAACTTGTAACCCAAAAAAGAACCGTGGCTGAAAATGCTTATTAGGCTCTGACTTCATTTTCAATCGTTGAACGCTCAAGCATATTCTCCGCCAATTCTACGTCAGCGTCTAATTCCATTTCAATCGTTTGACGATATTCACAAACGCTCATTATTTATTTATATGAACTGAACGAGACAAAGTTTAATTTTACCTGTTTATTATTGCGCCTCCTATTCGAAAAAAGTCGCCAATATTCGGAAGAACGTGTATTTGTTGAGTTTGATTCAACAACTTGAATATGCTCTTTAAATGACCATTACGTGCATCGACGATCCATCTCGTTTTGGTAACTAACCGGGCTTCATTCGCATCTTCAGTTATTAGTTGTCGCTGTCCGGGTGCAGGCGTCGGAGGAATTTCACAAACTAGCCCTAATCCTTCAAGCGTATCGATGACATCTCTGTACCCGCGATTCACAACAACGATGTCACCCGGTCTGAACCAATTATTCAAGTTTTCGTCGTTTTCGAGCTCATGACGAAGCGTGGCGGCATCGTTATTACGTCCGTCCGAGAAGTATGGACCTTGGATGTCTAAAATATATCCACCCGGCGCAACGACAAGGGTAGGCTTCACCAGGTGGTCACTTTTATGGCGACAATACGTTTGTCGCATACTCCTACAATTTTTGCTTTTAAAACAATAGGAATATGTGCCGTCGATATAGTAAATCGCCACGGGATTTTCTGGATTTCGATTATACAACGTATTGGCAAAGCCCGTAACGTACCTCTGGATATACTCCTCTCTCGTGATGGCTCGAAGCTTAATATTGTTTGGCACAAATTCTTCCATCAGCCTCTCTCTCACTTCTTTAATAATAATAGACGCATGTTGCCGACTCGAAAGTTCGAAAAGGGTGGCGAGAAATTGATCGGACAGACCTTGGCGCATTTTTACTAAAAAGATAAGCAAATCTCGCCTAGTAATTGCGCGCCTGCCTCGGATGCGGGGACATTGAGTAAACATGTCGTTTAATAGTTCTATCGTTAAACCTGTTAACGTGCATGTTTCCTCGTCAGTGAGATCGCTAACGTCTCCGATCCGACGGCTTTTCAAAATACTATAATACGCTTTGCTTCCATGAAATTTTGAATGTACTGGCCCGGTGGTTTGTAGGCGCGCCTTATACATCTCAGGCCACCTACCATTGGTGGCAAAATGTATCCGCGGTCGTCGAGATGTTGAGGACATGAGCGTACGATTTCGGGAAAAACCATTCCACACTGCACATAGACCTCAACTTTGCAGGCGATCGATAATCTTGTCGCGTTTCCGCGGTTGCATATAAAGCAGGTATTGTTGCGCGATTGAAATAATACCTTGGGCTTCATACACCTTGGATCATCTTGCAATAGGGCGATTTCGTCTCGAATGCTTTGGCGGCAACTTAAACACACCCTTGTATTCTCTCCAATGACTCGAGGAACTCCTCCGAGGTCTCTCCTTCTCGATGTCGCTATTTATCGCAGCTCTGCATTGCCATCGCCGATGATTCGAGACATTTGTCGCGCAGCGAATCGCCCCTCACACACATAACAAGTTACTCTGTTTGCCATAGTATAGAAAAAATCATTATCTAAAAGATTTTTTGATGAGGAATTCAGATTTGATGTCTAAAATCATATTCATCAGCTTCTGCTCCATTTAAAGATGAAAATGTCGTAAAAGTCAAACAATAAATATGTTCGTATCCATTGATTAGGCTAATATTGTAAAACATGTTTTATAGCACTGTATGGCATAAGTCGCACATTCTGGCACCGCTGCGTTCGCATCACACTCGCATGCGCTCGTGCGCTAACCTCACTTCGCGCTACCAGAAGTGCGACTCATGACTCGGAAAAGGGGGCACAAATGTGAACTTTGCACAGTACTATAAAATGTTGTTCGATACTCGGGCCGTAGGGGACACTTTTTGGCACGGCGTAGTTTAGGGCCCGAGCGCAGCGAGCGACTTCTGATAAAGTTTGGCGATGGTTGAAGCAATAGAAATCATTTCAGAGAACGATAAGAGTTGAAAACTATTGAAAATGAGGGAAACCCCTTGTGTTTTGATTTTTCATCACTTTACTTTGTTTCAATTTCATTTTTTATGACGGTTGACGTGATATAGTCCATATGCCCAATATATCGCGTTATGTACTTACGTTGTTATAACAGTTACGTTTTTTTTTTTCATGCATAGAAAAAATCGAATACTTCCCGTACTTCGATGACAAGTACCTGGCGGTGGCTGCTTCGTTGAACGGCGGCAATACCCTGGCCACCTTCGTCAAGTCGCTGCAGCAGTGGATCCTGGATCTGGGCTTCTCCGTGCCTCAATGTAAACTCTATCATCATCATCATCATCATCTTAACAAAATAATCTTAATTGCAATTCGTTTCGATCGTCGTTTTCTTTTCTTTTTCTTTTTTTTTTTTTCACGCCTCTTTCTCTCGACGACGACGCCAACAGCCAAAGTCTGGGAGAAGCTGATCAAGCTGGCGGCGGACGAGGCGACGAGCCGCAGCGACATGCAGATCGTGCCGACGCTGCTCGGCGAGCGCTACGCGCCCCAGCAGACGGCCAGCGTGAGCGGCATCAGCCTCGACACCCTCGATCTCGGCAGCATCTTTCGCGCGCTCTGCTCCGGCATCATCAAGAATCTGCACGAGTGAGTTTTCGCTTTTTTCGTGACCTAAAAATAAACGATAAAATTGAACGAATTTTGGAATTACTTGTTACACGACTGGGGCAGTAAATTAAAAAAAAAAAAAATTAATTCGATACGAGTGATATAAAATTATGAGTAAAGTACGACCTTATTTCGAGTTATTTCATCGGCTGCCGCCAAAGTAAAACAGCGAGACAAAAGAGAGGCGACTCGGTGACGCAGCTTGCGCCCGAGCTTTTACGGGCATCGATTTATATTTCCATCAAAATTACGTTAACTCAATTCTCTCTCGCTCTTTCTGCGCGAAACACGTCGTATATCATAATAGGCGTGAAATAGACAGCGAAACTAGTGCGCTGCAGCTGTCGTCATTGTTTCCTCGTCCGACTCTTATAATTAATAATAATAATAATACAAGTGTGACCAACCGTCGCACATATTTGACCATAAATACAGCTCGTCGATGTGTTTGCAATTGCAGCATGATGCCGCGGGACGAGCTGGCGGCCTTCGGCATCGAGCGCATCGTCGGCAACGGCTCGGGTCTGGTGCGCAATCCCGTCCTCCAGCAGGAGGTCTCGCACTGGTACCGACTGCCGCTCGAGCTGGGCCACAGCGGCGACGCGGCCCTGGGCGCCGCCCTCGCCCTGCTGCAGACCAACGGCTAGATCGGAGAGAGATTTTTTTTCTTTTTTTTTTCTCAACAGGTATCGTCTACGTGAGATTATTTGACGAAAGAAAAAAATTATATGCGTGTTAATTTTTTTACGTAGAAAAGCGGCTGTGCATCGATTTTATTTCAAGTATACGTGTTATTATTACGTACATTCAAAAATGTCGAGATTTATGCGTAGGGAAAGAGAGATGTCAACGTTCGCGTACAGCGAATGATAATGGTAATTATTTTTCACGTAGATGTGAGAAGAGGAGAGCTCGTGAAAATTCATTTCCAGCTGTGTAGGTAGACTGTACAATCGATTCGTAAATGACGAGTACATTAAACACAGCGCCTGTACTTCTTATTTGTAAATACAAACGAAAATATTCATATGAAAATTGTGTATTCTTTATTTACCCGACATTATTGGTTGATGGATCATTAATCATTATGAAATTCAAGAGTACAAAAAAAATTATTAAGAAAAGAAGAATTTAGAATTTTTACGCTTGATATAAAATATACAATTGAATACACTGTTTCTTTTTAACTCGGGTTTTAACACATTTGCTAACCACCTCATCATATCTCTCTAAATTGAATTTCACGGGACATCGACAATTTTACGGCTTACGGAGCTTTTTAAATTAACCCATTAGGCCCGGCCCGAACGTTTTTTAAATTGGTATTTTATTGAAAATAGAATTAATTTTTAAACTCAAAAACACAGTTCTTAACGAGATAGAGTTATACTCATAAATGTTCTTGGAATTTCTCAAATAATATCTCTGAATATTTTCAAATATCTTTCAGTCTGTTGGTTTAATTGAGGTAGGGTAGGGAAGAAATATCGTTGGTGACCTAATTTCGGTGTATTATGATATATTTGAACGAAGCAACCTTGAAACGATGTCGATGGGGTGATTTTTAAATCTAACGATCATTGAAAAGGTAAAAAAAAAATTAATTAAGTTTTTCTTTTTATTCTTCTTTTTTTTCATTTACGGACATTGAGACATTGAACTTTAGTTCCAGTCGCAGATTTCAATCAAAACAAAGCCACATACATATCGTATACTGCTACTATTACTACATCAAACTGAACCTACATATAAATAGACAATAAGAATCATCTTGTGTACGAGGTGGCCTAGCACAAGGCGGCGACGATTCGATAGACGATCTCGACGAAGCTCAAAATACTGGCCCCGGTGAAGAGGCCGATCGAGCTGCCGCTCAAAACTGCGAATGAATCAATGTACAATTTTCCTTCTTTCCTTTTTCTTTCGTCGACTTTCATCATTTATTTATTTAGTCATAACAATGTTATTTGCGTACCGAAAATATCGAAGGAGCTGCGCGCGACGTAGCGCTGGTAACGCATCCTCGGCCACGACAAGAGTCGCAACCTCAAGCCGACGAAGGAGATGCTGCCGTTAATCGGTTGCTTCTTGCTGCTGTTGTTGTCGTCGTCGACGATCGGATAGGCGCGCCACTGGTACGTGGCTGCACGGCAATCGGCCGGACACGAGCCGATCGCCTCGTCGATCATCCTCCACGACGACGACGACTTCCGGCGCAATTCGGCGCAGCAGCGCATGCCGGTCATGTTGCAGGCCGCGATTTTGCTACGCGGATAGACGTAGCTGGCGCAGCCGCACGCCGCCGACATCGCTTCGATTTCCATCTGGTGACGGGATTAGAGAATGAGAAAGAAGAGATACATTTCGAATTTGAGATGATATGATATGGTTCGTGTAACGATTTAAAAACAGTTGTTTCGGTGCAGAAACTTTTCATATTATCCAACACTTGAAACTTTTTGGTCATACTGTAAGTTTTAATTATTTAATTTATTGAACGCTCAATCAATCAAACTGTGTCTACAGCTACTATGTAATAATATTTGAGTAATTTAATAATTGAATTTTTCTACTTCGAATTAGCGAAAATCTACTGCATTATGTACGTACGTCGACGGTGCAGCCGTCGTAACTGTATAGCTCGTAAACGGGCTGTCGTCGCCGCTCATCGTCTAATGCGTCATTTTCGTGAGTAAATCGGCACTTGCGTTTCTCGGGCGAGACGCGATCGACCCCCGCCAGATTGACCAGGTCGACGACGTTGAAATCGATCTGGACGGCAGACGTGGCCCCCGCCGAGCGGCCGACGTTGCGCAGGACTCGATCCTCGGCTGTTCTCAGCGTCGGGATCTCGACGCTGTTCAGAAGATACACTCGAAACTGCGCACAAGCACACGAACAGATTATCGTGTAAAAAACGTCGATCGATCATTTTTTCCTTCGTCCTATAATCAACCGAGAGAAAGAGAAAGAGACGTACATCCTGATTGGACTTGGCGTACTGGTGCGTGATACCGATCTCGAGGCCGATCGAGCCGATCCCGGACGACGATCTCGAGTCGACCCGGAAGTCCAGAGTCGATCTGGCGTGCACCGAGTTGAGCAGTAGGCAGTGGCCGACGCTCGTCTGCAGATGGGAAAACTCCGCGCAACAATCGAACTCGACGCCCAGCCATTTGCAACTCGTCAACGATTCGTCGCACTTTGGCTTTACCTGCGTATTATTTTTTACGATCGATGAGTTATGTACTGCCACGTGTACGTTGAATCTTATCCGTACTTTGTCGTTGATGGCCAGGTAAAGTTCGGCCGGTAAGTCGAGGCGCTCGAGCTGCTTCACGTAGCCCATCCTCGACGGCAAGAACAGCTGCTCCGACAAGCCCCGGGCGTTACCGGCCGCGAGCGTCCCGTTGGCCGACCGCTCGATTATCCTGACAAATGACAAAATGAATGATGCGACTGCGACGATCGCGAAAAAAGCAATGGTATATTTACGAGGCCGCGCGATCCTTGGCCGATTGACTGGAGGCGCTGCAGATGCCGATCGCCGGATACGGCGTGATCCAGTCGCGATCGGCCGTGTCGACGGTGATGGCGACCGGCGTCGAGTCGGCGTAGAAACCGATCGTGCTGGCGAGCGCCACCAGAGCCGCCGACCAGCTCGCCGTGCAGAGCAGCCACCACAACGATCTGTTTTCGATACATAATTGTAGATCGTTGTAGGGTTGGGAAAATTTTTGAACGACTTGTGTATATACCGTTCGGACCAGTGATGATGTTTGGCGACGACGTACTTCAAGCCGTGAACGTTCGATTTCTCGCAGTAGGCCAGCAGTGACGCTCCGATCCTGCCAAAAGCCATCGCGTCACTGATCCTACTGCTAGACGAGCGAAAACGTTTGTAGGCACACATGTAGGGCTTTTGATTGATGTATAAGAAATGGCCTCTTTTTACGATTCATCGATTTGTGCGGGAAGCGTCCGAGGGTAATTATACACCAGCATTATTTATGTATCAACGCATTAATAGTGTAATTGCAGTTTTACGAGCCAATGATAAGATCTACTAGCTATACTATTTTCGTTAAGGGCTTCATTCACAAATTAGAAGATTAATTATGTTCTCATTATAATATTTAATTTCATTTTTTAACTTGAAAATAAAATAAAAGCCGTAAGAGCTGAAAGGGGGCTTAAAATAAAAAAAAATTTATCTTGTTTTCTAATAAGATTTTTTTCCCCTTTTTAATGCATTTTTCAACACTGACCCTGGCGATCTTAAAATCGACTTTCCGCACGTTGTAATGAAAATTAGTGTACGCAACTGGGGTGGTTGTCTATCCCGCCCCCGTTGCGTAATCTACTATTTCAAAACTCCAAAATTTTAATTATTCACTAATATACAGCTGTTTCTGTGAGCCATTTTCGTATACCATGCGTGTTAAATTTTTTCTTCTTTTGCGTTTTGTGGCGTTTTACTCTTTCACAAAGTGCACCTCAGTTGTCGTAACATTCAGAGCGTACCGGTTGAGTTACGGGTTACTTGGGTTGCGTCAATGGTTACGATCGTAACCTCGGGCGAACCGATCCGACCCTTCAGTCATCCTGCACAAGCACTGAAGTACAAATTTTTTTTTATTTCACGTTTTTTTTGTGACCTCTTTCATGAATCTACTGATGTACTGATAAGTTCGATCGCCTCGGCCGAGATTGCCTCTGTGACCATTGCTGTTCTGAAGAAGTGTACGTGATCCTGGGGCCGTAACTCAGGCGAATACGCTCTGAATATAGGCTCAAGGAAACAGTTGTATCGCAGTAAATGATCCAAAGTTTGGAAATTTTAAAAAATCATGAAAATGGGATAAAAAATCGAAAATAAAATCTTTTTTTTCGATTTTAAGCCCCTTTTCTCATTTTTTGAGCATATTGAGTGGGCACCATCAAAATTCTGTTCGGAAGGTTCCCATAATTGTTGGTTTCTCATATATATTACGAATGTGCGTACAGTCAAAGCTAAATACTCATGCCTTTGCTACGCCCACGCAATATATCGCCGGTGCTTATGAAAAAAAACACGATGAAACGTGCTATGAAAAAAAACCTGTTTGTTAAACACCATGAGGAAAAACACTCTTCATCTATACGCAGTGAAGAAAAAATGTCCAATTAAAATACTGTGAAAAATAAACGATAATCAATAAGTGTTGTTTTTTTCAATAGAAAAAAATACGTGTTTTTTATCTGTCTCGCGGAGATCTGGCACTTTTCTGACCATTGAAACGCCTCGATAAAAATTCTCAAAGTTAGTAAGTAAATCAAGTACAGTTTTTTTATTTATAATCAAATCAATCAATCACATTTTTTTTCTTAGCAAATTATCAATTAATTATTTGAACTAAAATAACCAAATCTTTGTCAAGAAACGTCGAATATTTTTACAAAAAATAAAAGAAAAAAAATTAATACTGAAAAAACCATACTGAATTATTGTTCAGATGCAAGTTCAAATTTACAATGAGTCCAAGTATGCTAATAGTTTTATATATTAGAGGAATTTCACGTCAACTCTTCCAGTGCCGTGCCACACGGTATTTAATAGTCGAATCCTCAGCTTCTGAGAGAGATATTTTTCTCTACGGCGTTTCGATGAGACGTGTTTTTCTTCACCGCGTTCCATTGTCATATGTTTTTCTTTGTGGTGATTGATTGATACAAATTTTTTTCATGAGCACCGGCGATGTAGTATTTGTCTCACTGTAGTACAGCTGCGCATGTGTTGGACGTTGGTATGAGTTGCTCGGGTGACTCAGGTCAATTTCTACTTTCTCTTCGTCCACGTGTTCAGTGTTCAGTGTGTTTTATAAAGTCAGTACGAGTTACAACGTGGCAGCGTAAAGAAGGAAGAAAAATTTCATAGACAAGTGATTTTTGTGGAAAAATCTTAATTTAAAAGTGATTGTGTGTTGTGAGTTTGTGAGTAGAAAAATGGCCACATCCAATGACAAATCCATTGAAAGTTTGGATAACCAACAAAAATTAGAAACTTTGAAAAGACTACGAAAAAATGCCAATTGGGAAATCGAAGACGAGCGACGTGAACTGCTCAATCAACTTTATCCCTTGTTCAAAGATTGGACGGACCAACTTCCGAATCTCCGGGACATTTTTCGGGCCGAAGAAATCGATTGGCTACTCACAGAGTCTTTCAATTCCGCAACGTACAATAATTACATAAAAAAGCTTTTGCCATTCGTAACTTTTGTACGACGAACCGGCTACAAGGACGAGCCTGACGTCGATGAGAACGGAAATATATCACCGCGTCGCACCACGCTAGTTCATAGAGCGGCGAGAAACAAATATCTATATGAGCTCGTGCTTGAACTTTTTCGAATATACAATAGATTCGATGTGAATTACGTCGACGAGTTAGGCCTAACACATTTTCATATAGCCTGCACGTATATATGCTTCGAAGTGAAGAAATTTCTCGAATTTGGGCAGGATCCTAATTGCCATCCTCCGCCTCTACACTTGGCTATAGCCAGAGAACATGATACTGCGATGCGTGATCTACTGAAAGGCGGTGCCGATCCGAATTTCGCCGATCCTGACGGACTCACTCCTTTACATATGGTATGTAAACATTTCACCTACGATATTGTCCCGGTAAGTATGTTATTCATGATCAGCGACGAGAAACATCAGTTGGTGAAAGTTGATCCTCTGGACAAGTTCGGCCGGACACCTCTACACTACGCTCTGATGATCGAATGCCATAAAAAAAAAATTGTCAAAGTGCTGATAAAAATTAAGAATGCCACTCCGAATTTGGCCGACGTGGATGGATTGACACCTTTGCATTTAATATGTCAAAGATATTGCGAGGAAGAGGACTTGGTGGAGCTATTTTTCGAGATGTGTGACGAAAAACATCATCTGGTGCCGGTCGACCCGCTAGATAATCGAGGTCGAACACCACTTCATTATGCTGTGACGAGTCTTTTGCCTAATACCGTAGCTTTTCTTTTGAATCGAGGGGCTGATTTATCGAAATTCGTTTTCCCTACTGAGAGTGACTTCGACGAGAGATTTAAAATATGGTTTGGTTATTATTACGATTGCAAACTGAAATTAGCGTCTGGTGCTATGGGTGTCGTGGAAAATCTCGAGGAAAGAGGATACGAGCTAGATCAAGGCGACGTTCTCATGATCATGAAATGGTACGCCAAGTATAGATTGTTCGAAAAGTCGGAGGAACTTGAAAAATGTCTCGAAGACGAGGAGTTTGTGAGCAAAGCGAAAAATCAGATGATTCGCACGGGTGTGCCGCCTTACCTCAGATGTTGCGATTATCATCGCGTTGATGATGATGATGATTACTATGATGACGATGATGATGATGATGAGATGGACGACGAGGATCGAGCGAAAAAAGCAGTGAAAAAAGCTGAAGAATCATTGGAAGGTCCAAGTCTGTCGCTCTACGATCTGATCCAGTTACGAGCCGAAGAAATCGAAAAACTATTCACTTACTGGGACTACGACCATTTTGAGCACACATGCCCTAAGTGGGGACTCACTGATAGGGCCAGGCTGGCTTGTGTCGTGCATCTGTGTGAGATGAGGTCCAGAAGATTTTTCCGACGATGGACAGTCTATCCTTTCTGGGATCTTATTCACAAACGTCTTCCACTTGAGGTCTGTGAGATGATCGTAGTGCATCTGACGAACGAGGATTTATATCACATTTGCTTGGCGGCTCAGGGCCAAAACTCATGATGCCCCATTCATTTTTGAAAATATATCATAACTTCGAATAACAAAAAATGTGTAAAACAGTTTAAGAAGTAAATATAAAAACTCGAGTTTTGATGCCTTTATATTACTATCAGAAAACAATAATAACATTTAATTTACAACCGAAATAAATATAAAATAAAAATTTAATTCGTTTATTTTTTTTTCATTTCAACTTTTCTGAGTTCCAATTGTTTTACATTTCATATGAAGCAAATATTTTGGGTTTGTGAGTTATCGTAAAGGTCCTACGAGATTGAAGATGCCCGATCAATGAAACTATAAAGTGAAAATAAAAATTGGGTATAAAAATGTAATTTACTACGCCTGAAAACAAGAGTAAATCGCATAGACCGTAATAGCAAGTCGATTTCGATATAAGCTATTGCCGTATAAATGCGAGTGATCACACAAATTTCCATGTCTAATGGCAAATTCGATGTAAGTTTCGATAATGAAAAAAGAGAATGATTGAAGAGCTAGGAGACTTGACGTGAAATGACTCATATTTGTTGTAAAATATCTCTCGAAAATTTATTTATTTTCTTATTTTATACCGTACAATCGAATCGTCGACGGGTTCATTAATACTGAATTAATATTGAAACTGTAATTGTTTCAAGTGCAAACAAAAATATCTATATGACAATTGTATAATATCATACATGTGACATTATTGATTGATCACATTTCAGAATCCTTTTCCTTGGTTAAATTTTCTTTCTGAAATTTTTTCCACTTTTCTCGATTTTTCAAGACTTTATTTTTTGTATGTTTTTCTTTTTAATTTTCCAAGATTTTTCTTCTTTCACATTGTAATGTATTCATAGTTAATTAATTTTTGAAGTAGATTCACTTCTGCTGCCTGTCCACAGGCAACCAACCTAATAATTTAGATTTACTTTTTCAAATTTATCAAATATTTTTTTTGTTTTTTAACAATAGGTATAACACAATATACCGAAGGTTATAAAAATGTTGATATATTATACCTATTGAAATGATCGATATAGATCGGATTATAGCGTCGACATAGACATTTCATCATAAGGTGTTCGGCCACAATTAAGTTCATGAAAGCTTTTATTCATAAAATAACATTGCGATTCCCGCCACATACTTTCAACGGACTTCTACACTCTTGCCAAACTTAGTTGCGTCGACAACTTAAAAGATGGATTGAAAAAAATGCTCGCATTTTATCACATTGAAATTGGTACGAATACAACTAGGTAATACCCATTGAATCGTACTTGTCGGTTGAACTCTTGAAATTCCATACCGGCTTTTTCTTTGTTGGCGAATTCAGACATAGGCGACAGCCACCCCGACATATTCGATAGCAATCGCGTGTTTTCTTGGATCGTCGTTCGAGTCGATTCCCAGAAGCAACATTTTAACGTGCTGTGCGGCAGTCTTGAAGTTTCCAGTCCACCGCACGCATGCATACATACGTACTCAAGTGACTCGACAACGCATTTGGCCTACATAACTCATCGAGTCAGACAAAGGCAATTCGGGCTTTTTCTAGACTAACGATAAGTCACCAACGAGCATTATTAAGAGCGTTTTGGCTTGAAGTTTCGAGAGAGCAGTTTTTGACTGGAAGTCGAAGGGCGAAGCCGTCGAGATCTTTCTCCATAGTTTGCGCGCAACGTTTGCAGTGTAAGTGTGACACCCGTGCCAAATTCAGTAACTGTATAGACAACCGCAGGGATTCATTAAGAAATTTGTTCGATTTTCGACGTGTGATATACATATCCATACAATCTGACTAAACAATATAGGTGAATTTGCGGTTTTATACTCAAGATTTGATACCAGGCTTTCTCTATTGGCTTAGTCACACTGCAATTCTCGTCACGATCATTGTTCTGCAGTTTTTGGATTACGATTGCAAAGCAGGTTTGCATTTACAAATTTTTAATTTCTCAAAGTGTAACTATAAAGTTTTTCATACTTAATTTTTTTTTTAGTCAGTCATATTGCTATAAGCAACATCTTTTAGAGCTATTCAAACTTGCACCATTGACTTATATTATTTGCTTGCAATATGAATCAAGTTGTTACTTCACTAAGTCATTCGTATTGTGAATGGCACATACAGAAGGAAATTATAAACGCAAACGGTATAATTGAATCTCCGATTTTTTTATGTTCACGGAAGAAACAGTGGCAATTTGATTTGGATTGGAATTACCATTCTTACTCAAAAAATTTTATGAGATTAAAGCTAAAACGTATTAATGAAAATGATACAGAGGATAAAGTGGATAATAATAAAAGTTACATATGCGTCATTAGTAAATTAAACAATGAGAAAGAGAAACGGTCACTTTTTGAAAATACGTATCACGAGTTTTCTAATATCTGTCAAGAAAATCTAGGAGAATATTTATGTAATGGGCTGTTAAAAATTCGTTTTTTAATTGTTACTAAACTAAAAAACAAAAGGGGTACACTCTCCGACTTGCCTTCTTCAACTCTTTACAACAATTCTTACTTTTCGGATGTTCAACTTTTTGTTGGTGATAAATCATATTACGCTCATAAAGCTATTTTGGCTAATTGCAGTCAAGTATTTGCGACAATGTTTAAAATTGATATGAAAGAAAAGAAGGACAATATAGTAAAAATTGATGATCTTAATGCTGAGACTGTTGAGTGCATGTTACAGTTTGTTTATACTGGTAAAGTAAATACATTAGATGACAATGTAGTGTTTAGTTTGTTAATGGCTTCTGACAAGTATCAAATGGAGCATTTAAAAGATTTTTGTAAAAATTATTTGTACGACTCAATGAATTTGGACAATTGTATTGAAATTGCTGAGTTTGCAGATCGATACAAAATGGATTTACTTAAGTTTTGGGCAAAAAATTTCATTGCTGTAAATATAAAACAAATATCAAAATCCAAAAAATTTACAGAACTAGCAAAAACTAATAATGACTTACTTTTGGAAATTGTTAGCTATTCTTTCGATTACAATTTGTAATCATGATAAAACATTTAATTAATTCACAAGTTTAATTTTATACTTCATTATGTGATTATTCATGTAATTTGCAATATTATGTTTGATGTTTAAAGTAATTCAAAAGTGTCATATGTATCAAGCTTATTCGTTCAGTCCGTTGCCCATGTGTCACTTAATAGAATCAAAGAGTTAATTAATCAACATATTTTTGCATAAAAACATAGATGTTTCAGCTATTGAAAAAAAATGTTATTAAAGATAAGATTTATAAGAACTAATTTTGATATTCAAAAGTATATATTGATTGCTTCTCTTTTGTTCAGAATTGTTAATGAATATTTTTATGAAAAGATAAATAAAGTTTTGCAGCCTAAGGAGTTTAATCGTTATTTTTGAATTTTAATAAATAAAACATGTATTGTGCATCATTATTGAAATTTGATCAATTACATGGTTACAATATATCATTCATTCATTCAATCAACAATTTGTTGAAAACTTTTATATTATTGAAGAATTATATACCATCCAAATTATGAATATAGAACTGGTTAAATTGTGTTAAACGTTATACACTTTACGTGTAACTTGCAGAAGAACTCATTCAATATCTAACTTATTCAATACACTAATAAGAAAACAGCTTCAAGATGATAAATATTTTTATAAAGACAAACTGAGAATTCATTTTGCGTTTGTTACAAAAGTACAAGATGAAATGAATTTTACTTTGATATCGGATTTACTTTCTTCAACTATTTTCACCAATTCTGACTTTTCTGACATCAATATTTCTGTTGGTCATGAATAATTTTATGTTCATGAAACCCATTTAATATATAGATAATATACTTTGACAAGAACGACAAAAATATTGTTTGTACTAAATGTTCAATTATTTACAACAATATAAAAGTTTTTGAAAAAAGCATTAAAGTTCTGTAAACTTTTTCAATTTTTATTCAGTTTTGATCAGCGTCATCTCATTCTCTTGAGAAATTAGTTGTCTGAAAACGTAAAAAATTGATAATTTGAAATCACAATTGTAGACAATTGATTTCTTGGAAAATGAGGGATCACTGATCAAAATCGAATAAAAAAAATTGAAAAAGTTTACAGAAATTTAGCAAATTTGTCAAAAATTGCTACATTATCGTAAAAAATTGAGCCTTTAGTACACAAAATATTTTTTCTAATTCTTGCCAAAGTATATTATTAATACATATTAATATTAGTATCAACGGATTTTAACGCAAAAGCGGTAGCCATAAGAGTCTCAAACTATTACCAAATTCAGAACCAGAGTCCAAAACGAGTTTTTGAACCACAAGTTGCAAGATAATTTGGTTCACATAATCGTAAACTACGTTGAATTCTCAACAAATGTGTGTAGATGTGGGTGTTTTTTTGTCATAAGATGTATCGATTTATTTTGTTTTAGAAGTTTACATTAATTATAGCAACCCTTCTCATTTTTTTTTTATTTTGATATTCTGTCTTCGCGGGACTGCCTTTAGGCATTACTTCGCGAGGAAAGGGTTGAAGCATCATGTGTGCTTATCCCTATAAAGACTTGGGAAGCGTCTTCTTCTTACCTTCCTCTGCGACTCTTAGCCCTGTTACGACAAACCGGGCGAAGGAGCTCGACTCGCTCGCGAGCATGAGTCCGATAGCGTTTTTAAATAATTTTCGATGATTATGAAAATTACTTTTTGTCGACATCGTAAAAATTATAATTTGAGTTTAATAGAACGAGAGAAAAATAAAACGTGTTATATATAAAATTGATATTTCAAAAATCAAGTTGTTTTTAACATATTAACTTAATGAGCGTAACGAGGGCCGTTTTTATACAGATACTAAATAAGTTCGTCAAAACTTCATTATATTTTACATTTACAGCATGGGGCAGTAGAAGTGGAAAATAATTCACAAGGTTCCAAGTTATTTAGTTCTATGTGGTCTCGGTTTTTTTCTTTGAACCATTTTTCCTTTATTTATGTATATTTCATTTAATAATAAAAAGTTTTATTATTCGTTTCATTTAGCCACAGATGAAAACGCCAACTAAGCATACAATTGGCTTTAACTCTTGGTACTAGCATTAAGTAGAATGTGTCGTACATAATTTTTTGATCGTTTTTAAGAAATTCATTATACTTAAGTCTACATGCAGTCAAGCAGTTATAGGTCTCTATCGCGCTCACTTGCCACGACATGCCATGTGCTTTCAGTGTCATCGTGGCTCGATCAGATGGATATGCTTGCGCATCGCGTAGTTTTTCGAGCATCGTCCACGTCACACGTACTCGGTACATCGTATTATATAGTGCAGTACAAGTTACGACGCCGCAGCGTAAAGAACGAAGGAAAATCTCGTCGATTGCAACTAGTAATTCTGGTGAAAGGATAAATAATTTTCAATTATAAACAGTAGCCTTTCGTGCGTGAGTGATCAGAAAAATGTCCGACGTAAGTCTCGATGACGAAAAAAGATCAGAAAAATTATTAGAACAAAGAAAGATGTTGAGGTACCTACGCGGACATGCCAATTGGGAGATCGAAGGTTTCAAGCACGAATACAGACAGGTCAATTGGGCGATCGAAAAAGAGCGACGTGAATATCTTCGTTCATTTTATATTACGGTCAAGCTTTGGAGAGGCCAACTTCCAAATCTCCGGGAAATTCTTCGGGCCGAAGAAATCGATTGGCTTCTCTTGGAGGCTGTAAGAGACAATTACAAATACGAGGATAAAACAGGATTCGTCCAGTTTGTGGCTCGCACCGGCTACAAGGACGAGCCCAAAGTCGATAAAGACGGCAAGCCATTGTTGAATCGCACCACACCAATTCATCTCGCGGGTAGAATGACAAATTATGATTATATGGTTCATGTGCTTTTTGAAATATTCAATAGTGACGTGAACTACATCGACGAGTTGGGCATGACCCATTTTCATGTGGCCTGTCAAACTTACTGTTTCGATGAAATGAAGAAATTTCTCGATTTAGGACAAGATTCCAATTGCCAGCCTCCACCGCTGCACTTGGCTGCAGCCGCTGACCAATGCATGGCGATCAATTATCTACTGAAACGCGGGGCCGATCCGAATTTGGCCGATGCCGAAGGACTAACTGCTTTACATGTAATATGTAAGAGGTTCACCTCCGGAATCACCTCGGCAAATATCTTATTCAGGCTTAGCGACGAGAAAAATCAGTTGGTGAATGTTAATGCTCTGGACAAGTTCGGTCGGACACCACTACACTATGCTCTGATGATTACATGCTACCAAAAAGCCATTGTCCGAGTGCTGCTGGATAGAGACGCCAACCCGAATTTGGCTGATATCGATGGATTCACATCTTTGCATTTAATTTGCCAAAAAAAATACGACGAGGACTTGGTGGCGCTATTTTTCAAGATCTGTGACGAAAAACATCATCTGGCGCCGATCGACCCCCAAGATAATCGGGGTCGAACACCACTATATTACGCTGTGGCGAATCTTTTTCCAATTAATGTAGATTTTCTTTTGAATCGAGGGGCTGATTTATCTAAATTCGTTTTCCCTACTGAGAGTGACTTCGACGAGGAAATAAAAGTGTGGCTAAAGCAAGATGGGTATAAATTGAGAATAGCATCTGGCGCTATGGGTGTCGTGGAAAATCTCGAGAAAGGAGGATACAAGCTTGACCGAAGCGACGCTCTGATGATCATGAAATGGTACGCCAAGTATGGATTGTTCGAAAAGTCGGAGGAGCTTGAAAAATGTTTCGAAGACGAGGAGTTCATGAACTTCGCAAGAAGTAAAGCGAAACATATGATGATTCGTACGGGTGTGTCGCCTTACGACAAATGTTGCGTTGTTGATGATGATGACGAGATGGCAAGTCCTAGGCTGTCGCTCTGCGACCTGATTCAGTTACAACCCGAAGAAATCGAAAAACTATTCTCTTATTGGGACTACGGCCATTTCGCGCACACTTGTAGCAGTATGGCAAGTAGGTGGGGACTCGCTGATAGGGCCATTCAAGCTTGTGTTGTTCATCTGTGTGAGATGATGTCCAGGAGATTTTTTCGACGATGGGCAGTCTATCCTTTCTGGGATCTTATTCACAGACGTCTTCCGCTTGAGGTCTGTGAGATGATCATAGTGCATCTGACGAACAAGGATTTATATCATATTTGCTTGGCAGCTCAGGACCAAAGCTCGTGATGCCCCATTCATTTTTGTAAATATATCATAACTTTGAATGAGAAAAAATGTGTAAAACAGTTTAAGAAGTAAATATAAAAACTCGAGCTTTGATGATTTGTATTACTATCAGAAAACAATAATAATAACATTTGATGCCTTTATATTACTATCAGAAAACAATAATAACATTTAATTTACAACCGAAATAAATATAAAATAAAAATTTAATTCGTTTATTTTTTTTTTTTTTTTCATTTCAACTTTTCTGAGTTCCAATTGTTTTACATTTCATATGAAGCAAACATCTTGGATTTGTGAGTTATTGTAAAGGATTGAAGGTGTCTGATCAATACAATGAAATTATAAAATTAGTGTGTAAGTATAGTGAATAGTAAAGAAATTATTTTTTGTGTAGATGTAAGCAGAGGAGAGCTTGTGAATATTTGTTGTAAAATATCTCGTGAAAATTTATTTCTTTTCTTATTTTATACTGTACAATCGAACTCGTCGACGAGTTCATCAATACAGAACTTGTACTTTTTTTAAATACAAACGAAAATATCTATATGACAGTTGTATATCTTTTATTCATCTACAATATTTTTTTTTATTGATTTATCATCAATCATCATGAGATTCCTGAGCAAAAACTAATTTGTCGTCATTTTACAACTCATTCAAGTACAAAATTATTACTAATTTTATTTTTAACCTACTGTTGTAACTTAATCGGTAGTAACTTATTTTACAAATAAATATTTCTAATTCTAGGTAATCAAGTGTTAATAATTACTCCTCAATTAGTCTTCAAGTTAATTAGCGAGTAACTGCACGCCATTAAATTTATAATACATGATTGTCACTGATTTGATAAAATTCATTCACATACTGGACAATGTATAAAATAACTATCACAGTAAATAAAGTACTGTTTAGATGTTTAGATATCAACAAACTTTAACATCATTTTAGTCTTGTTTTTAGATTCAGTCATTATTTCTAAACACTCATATCGCGATTCCATCTCCAAACAGTGGCATCATCGCAGACGCACAGTAGTACCTTTCCATCTCTACTCAAACTGGTCTGTCTGATTGCAGATGTGCACTTTGGGTGTTGTAAAATAAAACATCTTGCTTGACTGGGCTCTTCGACGTCTAGATCCCAGATGTATGTGCGACCTGCCTGATTGCCCATGGCTAGAATCTTTTGATTGAAGTCCATGGAAAACCGAATGAACCAGATGTCACATTGGCTAAATTCAAATCTATGCAATACAGTGGCACTAGTCTCATTTGGGCGCAATTTTGTTTCACCCAGCCTTCCTGGTTTCCAGCAAACGATGCAATTTTCACAACTTTTGCTAAGAATAAAATCCCCAAGCCATTTGACACAGTCGACATAATTGCGATGAACATCCCGAGTCGTGAAGTCAGGGAAATGTTGAAGTACAGAGTCAAAAGGGCGACGATTAGAACTCCAAGTATAGGACCGCTTAATGGCGTCAAGCATTTCAGACTTGTCAAGGTTCCACTGCTTTAAAGCGTGATCCATACCACATGAGATGATGCGAAATCCTTCAATGTCAAAATCAGCACTAAGGACTTCATCACGATGACCCTCAACTCCTCCAAATATTGCAACACACACATCTGATTTTATATTCCATAGGCGTAAAGCATGATCTTTGGAAGCAGATAAAAGGAGATTTGGATCACGTGGGTGAACTTTAAGTTCATTGATAGAATGACCATGCCCAATGTAATGTTTAACACAAGTCATAGTAACTGGGCTGATAATACGTATGACACCTCTAGAACCAGCTACAGCTAGTAACGGCTTTCCAGAATCATCGTGGGTCCATGCACATGTGTAAAAGTTTTCTTCTGCATCAGGATCAGCGTAGCATTGTCGTAATTTCACTCCACCTTCTTCGGGGCATTCATAAATGCTAACACGATTACTCCCTACTGTGGCAAACACCATGGGTTCACCTTCCTTTAGGTGATGATTAAACTGTACACTAAAAAGAGGTTGATTGTGATCCTCTTTCACAAAGTGACAAAATTTATACAAAGATTTTTCTACAACTGGTTTGAGCTTTGAAGGTTTGCTGCTGCGTCTACGTCCTTTTCTTCTGCCTTTACCACGACTGGTAGGTGTATCACTGCGCTGAGTGCATCCTGTAGAGTTACTACCAATGCTGCCTTCAGTCTCATCAGACTCATTTTCACTATCTTCATGACTCGAACTGTAAGATTGTGGTTTTGCATTATTCCTCTTCATGATGATGGTTCGATTATTGAGAGCTTCACCAATTAATAGTTTACAAAGAGGTCAACACGTTCAAGTCCACAATTCCACTGTGTACTCCCATTAATGCTTCAGCCAAGCACAAAACCCTGCTACCAATCGATTCAAGGCCTTCTTTTTTCTAAAATAATCAAATAAATGCATGTACTTCGATGACAATTGGTCGTCGTTCGAGCGTCAACAAAAGTGTACTTACATGCACATCGGCAGAGAAGAGCCGCACACAATACTTCTCGCGTACTTTTTGGGCCGCGTGACAGTTCAAGTCCGTGCCGTTGCTGCCGCCGATGCAATTCACAAGGCACACGCGTCCAGAAATGATGAAAAATTCATCCAACAGGCCGATGTTCCTCTCTACCTGCGCAACATAAACAAGAAACCAACGACGTTTTTTAAACCGCATAACCTATAACTTGATCGCCGGCTTCGACTCAACGACGCGACGAGCGTTGGTATATATATACGTCGGCGTCCCAATGTATATACAAAAGTATAAAAAAAAAGAACCCACCTCGTGTATCTGATGAGCGATACGGCCGTTGAACGCGAATACGACAAAGTCCACCTGGAGATTGGGCTTGAAGTGCAGAATGTCATCGATGCTCTCGGACTTGTGGATCGTGATGCGGTAGCCACGCTCCTTCACCGACGCACGCAGCTGCTCGTAGATCAGATCGCACAGGTCGCCGGGCGCCACGATCTACATGCGAAAACAAGCGAGAAAGAGAGAGACAGACAGTGCAGACAGCGCGGCACGCAACCTGACAGATCGTGAGGATTGGCCGAAGCCGCCGCCGCGGCGACAGCGACAGCGACAACAACAACAGTAGCACGTGATGGTTTCGTTACATACGTTATATCGTTATGAGAATTGCAATTAACGAATCGTGTATTAGTCAATCTAAATGAAGAACTTACGAGCACCGAAATGATGGCGTTGACGTTCCAATTGCCGCTACATCGCAGAATTCCCGCCATTATTCGACACGACGTATGATGCGACGACGTTTATTATTGTCGGGATAGCCGAGCCGAGAGACTACGCCACAAACGGACACTGCGCAAAGACAGCAGCAGGGGCCAGCAGAGCCGAGAAACTGCACACGAGCGAATTTGTCACTCGACGATTGGCAACATTGAGGTCGGTAACCGCGTACAATTAATCGAATATTTTGGACGATTTTTAAAAAGCACCAACGAAGACGTTGATGTTGCGTCCTCCTCGTCGCAGCCGTCGTCGACTGGGAAGAAATGATTTTCTATGTTACTTAAATCGATGAAAATTTCGAATTTGCGCACATCGTCGGCCAATGAGTCTCCAGTACATGTACATACCTGTCACGTGTGGCAACAATGCGCGAAAATCTCATGGTGGGGTATTCGAATTTGTATTTATTTGGGTATATGTATAGTTCGAAAACTCTTTGTAACTTTCATCCGAAGAGAAAAAAGAGAAATATGTCAAAAACACCGAGGCTTATTTGTTTGATTCGTGGGAGTACTTACGTACGTTGGATAGCGAAATTTTTCGGGATGGTGAGTTATGGAGAAAAAAGGGAATCGAATGATAATTTTTATGATTTCGCGGATGATGAAAATTTTATAAATTTCATTTTATTTACAGACTTTCACAATGCAAAGAGATTAGTAAATCTATACAGTCATTTCTGGCTGTCCATTAGTAATTTCAAAATTATTCATTGCAAGTTCAGAACGAAAACTTCGATCTTTTGAAGAAATATCCGCAATTATTTGCAATCTTACCATAAACTATTTCAGTAAAACAATTAACAGTTCTGAGTGCTTATAAATAATTTTAAACTGATTTCCTTTGTCAGTAGTAAGATCATAGTTCTATTAAATTCTTTAGACTATTCATTGAATGACTATTGTATGTTTGTTATCAAGAATAATAAAAAATGGCCTAGTTCGGTTAACGACATTTCCAATGATTTTCACAAAGATATGAAATTGATAGAAAGTATAAAAAACTAATTAGTGACAGATTTATTATAATCGAAACTTGATCACAACGTTTTTTTTAACATTTATAAACTCTAATGACCATGAATGGTGCAAAATGTGGATGCTATGAATGAAAAATTATATTAAAATGATATATTGAAGAATACAATGAAATGATGAAAGATAACTTCAATAAAACTTTTTTTAACACACAATGATGTAAAATAAAAAAAAAGGATCATTTATTTAATTATTGTTTTCTCGGAATGTAATGCCTTACTCCCCATTTAATATTTGCATCTTTGTCCGTTTTTACAAAAGAATATACTGGGCCGTTGATTCCAACATTATTTAGCTTAATTTTCCAGTCTGGTGGAGACGCTAAAAAAGATGATTAATGTAAAATGCAGAAATAGAAAAATTAAGATTACTCACCCTCTAACAAAACAGAGCACGATACTATTAAAATGAAACAAATTATCGAAAACGTGGAAAAATTCATGGCGAACATAACATTGATCGTTCAAAGTCTAGAGAATACTGACTCAGAGAAAGCGGTATTGTGGATTTATAAAATATTTTTGTATTACTTGAGTGAATTAGTAACAGTAGTTTCATGTCGTATGCAGTCTATTAGTTTCGGCAACTTTCACTTTAGAAACGAGGTCAATTTAACGAAGTGTTAAATACACCTGGACTTAAAACTAGATTAAGAAATTCAAATTGAAACAAAAAGAAATGACTAAACATTTTTATATAAATAAACAATTTAATTAAAAAGTAAGGAATATTTAGAAAAAATTTATTCATTTTGAATCAAATATAAGACAATTGTTAATTTATATATATAATATATATATTTTTAGACAGTTTCACTTCTATATGAAAAAGTTGTGCCACACATTCTCTCTTTATCTTATTTTGAAAAAACGTTATAGATAATAGATGCTTCAAGTAACAATATCAACATAAACATCTAAATCTTTTACACTTTAAGTGCTAAATTCTTCAACATGTATTCCTTGTACTCTATTTTCCATCGTCTTTTTCGTACGTTCATACTCTTTTACATTATTCAGGAAAGTTACTTTTTATTTTTCGTTATTTTAAATTCATTATTGCGCTATTACATAATAGTTACAATTAATAATTAAAACCCCCATTTAAATTCGATGTGTGTCCACACAAACAAAAACATACATCTGCTATGCATACAATTTAATACAATAAATATATTTTCACGTTACAAAAAACACCCATAATCCAGTCTATTACAATTTCATTTGTTTTGCGTTGTAAATCGCAGGAGACATAAGTATTTATTTAGTTTCACCATTAAAGTGGTAAATCTTACAGAAAATGCAACAGGCGCGAGAAACATAATCGCGAGCCCTTTGCATTTTCAACACATTTATTATGCTAATAAAATAAATTAAGCTTTCCAAGAGCTTTAGTAATGTTCATGTACACTCCACATTCTATTTATCATTGACGGTACTTAGCGATTTTATTGCAACTTCGAGCCTTTTAACGCTCTAATCGCTGACATCCTCGTCAGTAGTAAATTCTGACTGATCATCTCCGCCTTCTCCATCAGCAGCGGACTCTTCGTCAGACATTTCCCACTGAGGATGATCTACAGGAATCGCTGCAGCTTCTTTCACATCGAGCTGTAAAGTGAAAAAATATGATTAGTTTTACTTTTTTTTTTAAATAACTAGAAATAAAAATTGAACTCTACCTTTAGATCATACAGTTGATCGAAACCCATGTAGGAGTCACTCCTCAGGCAAACAGTAAAAGTGTAAACATTAGGCCACATAGGTGCGGTAAACTTGAGTTGAACTTCTTCAGTGTCAACAAGCGAGGTAACGTGCACCGGTGCTGCAAGCAGAGTCAAACCTTTTCTATCGCAAATATAAACCCACCAGTACTCTTGTTTAACATCGGGAAAATATGGACAATGTACGCGATGAGATTGATTGGTGCGGCCATCAAGGAAACGATCGCGCTTCGACAGTCGCTGTTGGAATTTGTTCCATTCGTGATCGTCGTCGTCGTTGCCTTCCGAACTTTTGTTCTTTTTATTAGTTTCTGGTGAACTATCTTCGTCATCACTACTGTCGCTCTTGTCACCGTCAGTTCCAGAATCAGAATCTAGGGATCGAGACGCAATTGTAATTACACAAACGTTTGTTGGAAAAAAATGTATTGAATAAAATTAATTCGATTACAAACCTTGAATTTTTTCTTCTTTATCTTTAGCATCTTCTTTCTTTTCTTTCTTAACTTTTGGAGATGGGTTGACTTGTTGGCCAGGACCACCATTTTCAGTCGCGGCTGAGGTAGCTGTTTTATCAGCTACTGTAGGTTTCACAGCAGGACCTTTTTTAGGTCCTTTTTTGTTGTGGGCTTTTTTACCTCCCTTCTTTTGCTTCATCCATGCAGGCTTTTTAGCTGCTTGGGAAGCAGCAGATTTTTCTTCTTCTTTTTCACCCTCACGATTTTCATCCTCGACAACAGATTTCTGTTCCACAGTTTCATCACCAAAAAGTTCGGACATATTTTTACGTTCTAAAGTCACTGTCACTGTAACGATGGCACCAGCTGTGATTACAGTAGAATTTTCATCGTCCATGACTTCTGATCTCACTTTGAACTCTACATAAGGCATATTTCCTAAAACTGTCATCACATCCTCAAATTCACTATCAGATAAACCACGTAAAATGGATCTTCTATCTTCACGCTTCAGTTGAGCATACTCTTGAAGAGTTTTTACCTAAAATAAATTTAAATTAGTCATACTGCATCATAAATTGAAGTAAAAAGGAGCAGATCATTTTACAACTGAATTCCAAAAAAAAAACTCATTAGTTTTAAGACACCAATATATCGTTAAAATAAGAAAACCTAAACACACCATGATTAATAACTTTAACTACCTTTTTGGCTTTGAAGTACTTGAGATGATCTTCAGTAAGATGTGGCAATTGCAATAGTGGGTTTCTAAATTCCCAAGATGCTTGAACAATCATTGTACATAATTTCATACAATTTTCAATAGTTGTGATGGTTGGTAAGTGTTGTACTGTAAAATAAAAGTACTGTAAATAAGAAGTTTTTCAATTTATTGATGAAATTTCAAATAATAAACTAACCTTGTCGAGCGTAAGCTAAAACAATCAACTGATTAACACAAGTGATCATTTCTTGGATCAAATAAGGACATTTTTTTACAATATACTGTCTATCTTTTTCTAATGTTTGAGGATTCAGATCAAGTCTTGACAGATGTGCATGAATAATAGCTCTTGCTTTGATTGAGTACATATAACAAAGTGGATATTCTCTATTTTTTTCACTTAAATAGGGCAACTGGCGAATAAGCTGCGGAATATAATTTTTATGCTTACAACCATGTTGAAACATTTTAAATATCTATCAAGAATTTAAAAAATACTCACTGCAGGAACTTCGTCATTATCCGATTCTCTTTCAACAATATCGGCATTATGTTTCTTTTCAAATTCATATGATGCTGCAAGAACCATGATTATTCTTTTCACCATCATAGTTGGAGTATTATGGAAGAAAGCATAGTACATTTTTGTTGTTGCCAATAATACCTGAATTTGAATTATGAGAAAATGAAATTTATTAATATCGTGATACACAAATATTAAAAAATTATATAAAAAATTTTAGGTCTTACCTGATCACCAGTATATTTAATGCTACGATACCACCACATTCCTACAGCTGTGGGTAAAGCTAACATGAAAACAAGGGCATATGCACCTAATACCAACACTGAATTTTCTTTTTCAACGATCCATGACGGTAAGGCAATTCCAAAGCCCATGGCCCCTGGGCCATCAGGATTACCATACTTTTCCCAATTTGACATAGCTTCTTTATCAGTAAGAGCTTGATAAGCTGAAAATTTCAAATTATTGATTGAGATATGGGCAATTGATAAAAACTTAAACTTTTGTAATAAGTAAATGAAAAAGATTAAAAGAATTATTTACTAACCTTTTGTTAATCTCATAAAAGCTTTTTCGTTTCCAGTCTCTTTGTCAGGATGGAGAATAAGAGAAAGTTGTCTGTAAGCTTTTTTAATAGAGGAAGCAGAAGCACCCTATGGAAATATAAAGACACAAAACTCAACATTTTTTCTGTACTAGATAACTTGATTTGTATGAAAAAAAAATTATATATATTTCTACTTACAGGCGATACACCCAAAATTTCATAAGGATCAAAATTGGACATTTCATAATCGAATTGAGATACTTTGTAAGCTAATAGTGCAAGAATCAGCCACCCAGTGACGATGATGCTTTTCCTGTACAATTGTCAAAAGTTAATTTTATGAGAAACAATATGGAGCGTCAAAGCAAAATGAGAAAATGCAGCAACCAAGTTTTACCTGAGAAAGCATTTGGTATTCTTCCACGGATCAATCTTCTGCAAGATGATCTTCTTCTTCTTACACCCATCGCAATTGCACTCTGCTTGTTCTTTCTCAGCGGGATCTGAAATTGCAAAATTTTCGATCGAATTACTGGTCACGCTTTCGTTCGATCAACTGCACACGCACACACGGTCACGACATTCGCGACTCATCATCGCGTTAATGCGACACGTGTGAGAACGTGCATTATATACCACATAGGCAGAGCGCTCGATAATGAAAATAAAATAAAATTATCACAGGAGCACGTAAAAAGCACGGACGATGAGAAAGAGAAATTTGGCTGTTTTTTTTTGTACCTGGTTTGGGCGCTCTCGGCCAGAGGTAGTAGGTGCCCGGCACGAGCAGCAGGGCCAGGAACGAGAGCAGAAAGTAAAAAAAGGTCCCGCCGCTCTCGTCGTACTGGAACTTTTGTCCGCTCATCGTTGTCGATTATTCATCAAGTCGATGATGTTGTGTTGGCGATGCCTCGGCCGTGTGCCGTGTGATATGTAATATCAATTATGCTGCCACTATCAAGCGCAGCGCACGGCATACAGGCGGACTGGCTGTCTGGCTGCTGCTGCTGCTGCTATATACGACGAGGTAGAGCAGTACCCTATGTATATACTCGATACATAAATCGCAAACAGCTTTGGCGATCGTCGTCGCGTGTACACCTTATAAACTGTACGTAATGTATGAATACGCACGCAGTCGACGGAGACTCCGCCGCGCGCTAGCAAGAGAGAGAGAGAGAGAGAGAGAGAGAGAGTGAGAGAGAGCTCGCAACCACGTCAGCTCTTCTTCGCAGACTTACTCTTCTCTCTTTCTCGCGCGACGTTGTTATGTGTGTTGACGTTTGGGAAAAAAAGTCTCTCGCTGCTTCGCCGCGAGAACTGACAATGTTGCTGCTCGGAACACGGTACGCACGCACACTTTTTCGCGTATTACAATGATTAAAGATACAATAATGTAATGTATTATAATACGCACACGCCACGCACCGGAGCGCGTTTAATACGCGATTCGGTGAGACGAGCGTACTTATATTATATACACACGATGTGCCACACTACGCGATGTGCAGTTGAAAAGGTTAAATTCGCGGCGCACTGTGTGCCGGAATTATTCGAGCACACATGTATATTATAGACAGAATGTGTGTGTTTGCGTGTGTACACTTGACACCCCCGATGTCACTGACACAGTATAGGTGTGTGTGTGTGTGTATGCTTCGATGCCGCCGCGCTTGCTTGCTTGTTGCTGCTGTTGAGCGTCTGCAGCCAACTCGGAGCTCTGTGCGCGTTCTGCTGCGTTGATTTCTTTTCTTTTCCTTTTTTTTTTTTTTTTTTTTCAAGCTCTCGTGACTCGTGTCTTACATATAATGACAAACGGCCGCCCGCGCGCGCGAGCTCCGTATACCGAGTACTGACTGTGTGCCTCTGGTTTTGTAAAATAATGCCACTTCGTTGTCTGTGCGTATCGTATAAATGTATATGTGTAACCTGTCAGTGGTCGGCGGCGTGTCGTTTTCCGTTAGGAATGCCGCCTATGGAGCGCGATTTCAAAGACGCGCACTGGTGCACTCGTCGCGTATATTAAAAATTCGGCGATTCCTCCTTTTTCTTGTTTTTTTNTTTTTTTTTTTTTTTTTTTTTTTTTTTTTTTTTTTTTTTTTTGGAGTTCGCGTGCTAAACTTGCTTACTTGAAAACAGCAATTTTGATGGAAAAAAAGAAGTAGTGTCAATTCTGTCGATCGGAGAAAAGAACGCGGTGTATACCGAGTTGTGTACGGATTCGCAATTATTGTCGTCTACTCCGCCTTTTTTTTTACCGTTAAAACGTTAGACGACGACTTTATCGCACGCACGCAATACAAAATGACGAGCGTTTATAGAACGTCATGCCGCGTCGTGCGCAAAATATCGAATGCAGATTTTGCAACGTTGGTACGTCTCGTGCCTCGTTACGATTAATGATTATTATATATGTTAATCCGCGAATGCTCATATGCTATCGCTCACATGGCCTAGTTCGATGTGCTTTTAGCTTTATTGTATACACAGTCGATCATCGCGTATCACTCTTACTGTCTTTGGTCGATTGCGTGCGTATCTGTATGGTTTTTTTCGCGTCTGCTCAAGACAATTTTGTTTAATAAAAGCGAAAAGATCGGGCGTAATTGAACATTATTATTCCATAAGAAAAAAATTAAATACAAGCAAACGATTTAGCTGCAACTTTGACAAAGTTTCTTAAAGTACTCTCACGCTCACCATCGTCTAGAATTGGATGAGTTTTTTCGTCGCGAGCGTTTTTCAACCATAAAATCAAGACGGTTATTTATTTGTCAATTAATTTTATTAATCAAGTAAAAAATTCAATTACATTCCATAGCATCAGACATTGAAAAATGTTCACTGGATGCTTTCCTCTTGTTTCCATTCTTCTCGTGACGGACAAAACGATTGCAATGATCGCTTCACAGTCCATCCTCAGTTCCAGCGGCCAAGCAAACGTGCCATAAATCTTCGTTCATCAATTTGCCAATGATCACTTCGCAGCAGAGAATGGGCAGTTGGTAGCGCGTCAGCTCTACCAAAGGATCAAGCGCCCATCGCTGGAAAAATCCTCTCGACAGTTTCTCGCACAGATTCACGGCGCAAACCTCGCGATACCGTTCGGGAAGCTGCCACAATTTATTCGAGCGCGCCAAATCGAAGTAGTCTCTGTACGTGAGCAATTTTTCCAGCCGTTCGGGTCGCGACCGCATCAGGTCGAGAAACGACAGACTCGGAAGTATCATCAATTTTTTCGCTTCCCTCGCGAACTTCTCGTCGCCGTATCGAAGTTTTTCGTCGTCGGCCGATTTCGCGAACAATCTTCGCTCGGCAAAAAATTCCATGACGGTCATAGCGTCGTTTCGGTCCAATTCGTATCCTTTCTTCTCGAGACTGTCGACGACCGCCATGGCGCCAGAGCCTAGTCTCAAGAGAAAATCGAACGTAGAGTCGAATCGCCACTTCTCCAATCCCAATCCGAAATAATCGTTGGGAAAAACGAAGCTGGACAGATCAGCCCCGCGAGCCAAGAGTACATCGACGGTAATCGGCATGCATCTCGCTACTGCACATTGAAGAGGTGTTGCGTACAATCCGTTCCGGGCATCAACCTGTACCGTTTGCCGGAGATCGTCGTTGGTCTCGAAAAATACCTCCGCTAAATCATCGTCGAAGTTGTCGCTCGTGCAAATAACGCGCAGAGGAGATTCTCCGTGCTTGCTGGCTAAATTTGGATCCGAACCTCTTCTCAGCAACAATTCGACCAGTTTCTTCTTGATATTTTCGTCCCTTTGGTATTTCCAGTGCGCGACCCACTGCAGCGGCGTCCAATCTCTATTCTTTTCCCGGGCATCGACCCGCACCACCTGCCCAAGGTCGTCGTTGAACCTCATGAAAGATTCCACCAGGCCCTCCGTGTACTCTTCGCCCTCTAGGCAGGCGGTGTGCAGAGGAGTCATTCCCTGGGCGTTGGCCAGGTTCGGGTCCGCGCCGTGTCTCAGCAGCAGCTCGACCACCCGCCTGTTGCCGCGCGTCATGGCCGAGTTCAGCGGCGAATCGCCGCTCTCCGTGGCGAGCAGATTCGGATCCTGCCGCCCGATCACGAGGAACCTCTCGGCGATCTCGTAGCATCCCGACTCGCAGGCCGCGTGGAAGTGGGTATATCCGCAATCGTCGACGTAGTTCGCGTCGTATCTGTCGTAAATGCGAAACAGATTGCCGACTATGCGCTCGGTGTGCCACTGCGAGGGACAGAAATTCGCCGCGAGATGCACCGGTGTTGGGCGTCGCAAGATCACCTCGCCGTTCTCGTCTAATTTAGGCCGGTCCTTGTAACCGGTGCGTGCCACGAACCTGACGAACGGTTCCTCGACGTAATTATCCGCGTTGCCAGCTCGGTACTTGAGAGAATCGAAGAGAAGACGCTCGAACACCTCCTCGCGAAAAACGTCGCGAAGATTTGGAAGTCGGCCCGTCCATCGTTCGATTATGGGTTCCAGTTGGCGGAGAAATTCGTGTCGCTCGTCCTCCAGCTCCCAGTTGACGTTGTCTCGTAGGCTCGTCAATTTTGCCAAGTTGAGCCGACCGAGATGATCGAATTCGTCGTCGTCGAGGGACATCGTACTGCGCCGCCCACTGCGCTCGAACGCACAATCGCTTAAAATGTATAAGAACCTGCGTTTGAACGACTTTTTCGAGAATCACTCGCGATTCGCAACGGTCGATGCGATTTTTCTTCGTCGTCTGTGCGCGTTGCGGCGTCGTAAAGAGAACTGAACAACTGCGGATAATCGACATGCTGCTCGGTAACGCCAACTATACAAATACACGAGTCGTTCTTTAATGACCGCCGCATTCTCGAAACAAGTCGAGTCAAGCAAGCGCTAACGGCTAAACATGTATAAACAAGATGTGACGTTTTGGAACGCTTCGAACAACGGCCATCGCTTGATTTTATTTTGCTGTTGAATTTATTTCATGCTCAATAATATGTTCAAGTATAAGTCCATTGTAAGTAGGTGCTGCCAAGAGGGATTTATCGCATAATTCATTTCACAATTCTACTGAAGTAAAAATATTATAATTTTAGGATGAAGAAAATCTACAAAGGCCAGTCATGGACTATGTTTGAGCAGTCAATCACTTGTACAGGCAAGAAGGAGAGAGAGAAAGCGAGTCGATTTCTCGCGTTGCTAAGGGGGATAAATTTGTTTACGCCGGCCGGCTCGCGATCTACTCACTTCTGTTCTCGTCTTTGAACATCTCGCTTCGCTTTCTCTCTCTCTCTCGATCTTTTTCTTGCCTTCAATAAAAGCTCAGAGCTTTTTTTCCTTTTTCACATCTCTACTCACAATAAATTGGGTTTTTTATGCCTTTATGGCTTTTTCCCATAATTAATCGTTTTTATTTATTTATTATTAATAATATCATAGTATAATAAAATCGTTAACCTCGGAACTTCGGCACGAAGCCGAAGTTTTCGACTAAACAGACTATGGTAGATATAAATCTTATAAAGAAAGGATATTTTTAATAATTAAGTGCGGCTATCTATTATCTCTGAAAGAAAAATATTAAAAAAGTGGAATGATTTTAATCTGTCAAAATTTCATTGTGATTTCTGTTAAACTAAATAACAGCTCACAGTGGCCCTCGAAACTTAAGATTTTTTAGGTTCAAGATCACTAATAAAATCATAGCTAATTTAAAATTTTTTTTATTCATATTGATATTAAAAACGTGCAGAATTACATAAGACATTGATAGGTTTTTAATATATAATTATAATCTTATTGATTCATTTTATACATTATCTTTGAGACTATAATTATTTCCAACATATTTATCGTAACTTAATCTTAAATAAATAATAAACTAAATAATAAACAAAATAAACTATTCGGCTTCTTTTAATAATTTTATTACACAAATGAAAGAAATATTCACAATCTTCACTATACAAAATCTTGTAGCTGTTTTGAAGCTTTCTTAGCCCTCGTGGATCTTTTGTCTTTTGTTGTTACATTTTATTAAATTTGTGATTACATTATTTTCATTGGTTTTATTACTTTGGTCCTGAGCCGCCAAGCAAATGTGATATAAATCCTCGTTCGTCAGATTCACTACGATCATCTCACAGATCTCAAGTGGAAGACGTTTGTGAATAAGATCCCAGAAAGGATAGACTGCCCATCGTCGGAAAAATCTTCTGGACCTCATCTCACACAGATGAACAACACAAGCCAGCCTGGCCTTATCAGTGAGTCCCCACTTAGTGCATGTGTGCTCAAAATGGTCGTAGTCCCAGTAAGTGAATAGTTTTTCGATTTCTTCGGCTCTTAACTGGATCAGATCGTAGAGCGACAGAATTGGACCTTCCAATGATTCTTCAGCTTTTTTCACTACTTTTTTCGCTCGATCCTCGTCCTCCATCTCATCATCTTCATCGTCATCATAGTAATCATCATCATCACCAACGCCATAATAATTATTACAACATTTGTTGTAAGGCGGCACACCCGTGCGAATCATCTGATTTTTCGCTTTGTTAACAAACTCCTCGTCTTCGAGACATTTTTCAAGTTCCTCCGACTTTTCGAACAATCCATACTTGGCGTACCATTTCATGATCATGAGAACGTTGTTTTGCTCTAGCTCGTATCCTCTTTCCTCGAGATTTTCCACGACACCCATAGCACCAGACGCTAATTTCAGTTTGAAATCATAATAATAACAAAACCATATTTTAAATCTCTCGTCGAAGTCACTCTCAGTAGGGAAAACGAATTTCGATAAATCAGCCCCTCGATTCAAAAGAAAAGCTACGGTATTAGGCAAAAGACTCGTCACAGCATAATGAAGTGGTGTTCGACCTCGATTATCTAGCGGGTCGACCGGCACCAGATGATGTTTTTCGTCACACATCTCGAAAAATAACTCCACCAAGTCCTCTTCCTCGCAATATCTTTGACATATTAAATGCAAAGGTGTCAATCCATCCATGTCGGCCAAATTCGGGCTTGCGCCCTTAATTTTTATCAGCACTTGGAGCATCATGTTTTTATACGATTTACTCATCAGAGCATAGTGTAGAGGTGTCCGGCCGAACTTGTCCAGAGGATCAACTTTCACCAATTGATGTTTCTCGTCGCTGATCATGAATAACATACTTACCGGGTTAATTACGGAGGTTAAATGTTTACATATGAGATGTAAAGGAGTGAGTCCGTCAGAATCGGCCAGATTCGGATCGGCACCGCCTTTCAGTAGATAAAGAATCACCCTAGTATTGTAAGTAATTATAGCCTTGTGTAAAGGCGGAGGATGGCAATTAGGATCTTGCCCAAATTCGAGAAATTTCTTTACTTCGAAGCATGTATACATGCAGGCTATATGAAAATGTGTTAGGCCTAACTCGTCGACGTAATTCACATCGAATCTATTGTATATTGGAAAAAGTTCACGCACGAGCTCATGATATTTGTTTCTCGCCGCTCTATGAACTAGCGTGGTGCGACGCGGTGATATATTTCCGTTCTCATCGACGTCAGGCTCGTCTTTGTAGCCGGTTCGTCGCAAAAAAGTTACGAATGAAAAAAGCCCTGTCATGTAATTATCGTACGTTGCGGAATTGAAAGACTCTGTGAGTAGCCAATCGATTTCTTCGGCCCGAAAAATGTCCCGGAGATTCGGAAGTTGGTCCGTCCAATCTTTGACCAAGGGATAAAGTTGATTGAGCAGTTCACGTCGCTCGTCTTCGATTTCCCAATTGACATTTTTTCGTAGTCTCTTCAAAGTTTCTAATTTTTGTTGGTTATCCAAACTTTCAATGGATTTGTCATTGGACGTGGCCATTTTTCTACGCACAAACTGACAAACACAATCACTTTTAAATTAAGATTTTTCCACAAAAATCACTTGTCTATGAAATTTTTCTTCCTTCTTTACACGGCGGCGTCGTAACTCGTACTGCAACTTTGTAAAACGTACAGAACACTTAACACGTGGATGAATCTGAAAAAAATGAGAGATGCGCGAGGCATGCGTATGATGCATCGTTTGACCGAGCCATCCACCACGAGCCACGAGGTGGCATATCGAGTCAAATAAAACGATAGAGAAAGTAAATTTGAAAATTTTGAAAGTAAAAAATATTAAATACAGTTTTTATTGAGATTATTTTTAGGATTTATCATAAAAATAAATGATGAGTGAAAGTTAAAGTTTCAAAATTATTCCCGCGAAAGAACAAAAACGTTTGAAATGAATAGACATCGGCGTTCGTTCATTCAATTTAAGAAGGCGCGCGCAGAAACTAACCGGCGTGACTGTGCCGGTGTGTGCTATACATGCATGTGTGTGTGTGTCTATAACGTGTGTTCGTTCATGCATGTTTTCAGCCGTCCAATAAACACGAACTATATAGGTAATTCAAACGTCCACGACGAGAGCCGGTGGCGCTTGGCCCACTACACAGTGCACTGCTGCTGCTGCTGCTTCAGCTTGACGTTATTCTTCTTTGGTTACGGAAACGCGCGCGCGTTAGTTTGCTTGCGCTGCTGTTCAATTTGTTTGGCAATCAACTCTACAGCTTTGCCCGTTGAATCGTTGAAAAGTACGCCGGATAGCTGGTGAATCTCGACTCGATCGAGTCAACGACGCTCTTGGTTAACGATATCGCACATCTTCTCTTCGGATTAATCCGCAACAAACATGGATTTCTTGGAGTATCCCGATATAACCGCTGAGGTTAAGGGCGCCATGGTAAGTGTTCTTAAGGTTTTTTTAATCTGAATGATGATGTATATTTCTTGGTACAATTGTATTAGATGGGAATGGTAGATTTCCAACATATGTTTTTTACAATAAAGCAGCACTAAGTAACAATTTTGATTTTGTGGCTTGAAATGGCAATGTTACTTTTGTTTGCAACAACAATCCTATGTACATTCAGACTATCAAAAATATGAGTTTTAATGCAAGTGTTGAATACACATGCTTTAAAACTGATGCATTACTATCATGATCATTATGATTGTTCAATATCATAAATTGTCATGTAATATCTCTTTTGATTGGTCTTAAGAATAGTCAACTATATGATTAAATATACTGATTAATTTTTACTTTTTAGACGCCTGGAAGATTGAAGCTGACCGATCAGCACTTGATCTTCAAAAACTTGAAAACTGGAAAAGTTGAGCAAATTCCAGGCTCTGATATGGAAATGGTCAATTTCCAAAAGTTTGTGGGTACTTGGGGACTCAGGATATTCTTGAAGAATGGAACTTTGCACAGATTTCGAGGATTCAAAGATAGTGTATGTAATTTTTTTATTGTTTTATTTCTTTATTATTACCATCAAATAATAGAAGTAAAAATTATAATTTCAGGACCAGGAAAAAATTGCCAAGTTTTTCAAAACCAACTACAAAAAAGATATGTTGGAAAAAGAGCTGAGTTTGAAGGGTTGGAACTGGGGCACAGCTAAATTCTGTGGTTCAGTATTGAGTTTTGATGTTGGTCATCATACTGCTTTTGAAATTCCTCTTTATGACGTTTCACAATGCACTACTGGCAAAAATGAAGTTACACTGGAATTTCATCAAAATGATGATGCCCCTGTTAGTTTAATGGAGATGCGATTCCATATTCCAGTTAGTGATAATAGTGAGAAAGATCCTGTTGAAGAGTTTCATAAAGAAGTTATGGAGAAAGCGTCTGTCATCAGTGTTAGTGGTGATGCAATTGCTATCTTTAGAGAAATTCAATGCCTTACACCTCGGTAAACAAATTCCCAACTTTGATATAGTTTTTACAACCTAAGAAGTATATTTAATTGTTTTTTAATTATTTCAGTGGTCGCTACGATATTAAGATTTTCAATTCATTCTTCCAACTTCATGGAAAAACCTTCGACTACAAAATCCCCATGTCTACTGTTCTCAGGCTCTTTTTGCTGCCACATAAAGATAGCAGACAGATGTTCTTTGTCGTAAGTATATTGTTCTATGTAAAAAAATTAATCAGTATTTTAAATTTTCATTTAAGAAATATGTAAATTTTTCAATAAGAATATCTTCTCTAATTCATTTTTACATTATTTCCTATACTACAGGTAAGTTTAGATCCACCAATCAAACAGGGTCAAACAAGGTATCATTACTTGGTTATTCTTTTTAATCAAGAAGAAGAGACATCCATTGAACTACCTTTCACAGAGTAATTATCCCTTTTAACTAAAGATACATGTTTCACGTTTCAATTTCTAATTTTATAATGTTATTTGCAGGAAAGAGTTGTCTGAAAAATATGAAGATAAGCTTACTAAAGAAATTTCAGGACCTACTTATGAAGTTTTAGGGAAAGTTATGAAAGTCATTATTAATCGAAAACTTACTGGTCCTGGATCATTTGTTGGGTAGGATGAATGTGCATCACATACTAGATATAATTTTTACAATTAAATCAATATATTTTTCCATTTCAGTCATTCTGGAACTCCAGCAATTGGCTGTTCATTCAAAGCTGCTGCAGGTTACTTATATCCATTGGAAAGAGGATTTATTTATGTTCACAAACCCCCTATTCATATTCGATTTGATGAAATTGCATCAGTGAACTTTGCCAGAGGAGGTGGTTCCACTAGATCTTTCGATTTCGAAATTGAACTGACTACTGGAGTTATTCACACATTCAGCAGCATAGAAAAAGAAGAATATGGAAAACTTTTTGATTTTATTAATAATAAAAAACTTCGCGTTAAAAATAGAGGCAAAAGTGTAAGTGACTTTTGTGAACCATGTTATTTTTCAATTTTAATTTTCAATTTAATTCTAATTTATTTTTTAATTGATTTTGCAGGATAAACCAAGCTATAATGATGACTTTGGTGGTAGCGATCAAGAAGATGAGCCTGATGCTTATCTAGCTAGAGTCAAAGCTGAAGCTAAAGAAAGAGATGATGATGACGATGACGATGATGAATCTACTGATGAAGATTTCAAACCTACTAATGTAATTAATTTTTTTATAATGATGCATGATTTGCAACATCTCAATTTGACTGATTATAATTTGAATTTTAGGAAGAAAGTGATGTAGCTGAAGAATATGACAGTAATCCTAATGATACATCAGATAACAGTGATGCTTCAGATGCATCTGGCGGAAGTGGCAAGAAAGAAAAAGAAAAGAAGAAGAAGAAAGAAAAATCTGCCAAGACAGTGGTAAGAATCAAATAAACTTTCAAATTCAAATTGTTATGTATTGCTTCTTTATATTCAAAACGAAATAAAATCAAATTATGTATTTTTAGTCAGAGAAGCCTAGAAAATCTAGAAAATCTAAGAAAGAAAAAGATGAGAACAAACCAAAACGACCTCTGAGTGCTTACATGATATATATGAATAGTGTAAGGGATGAAATCAAAGCAAAATATCCTGACAAGAGCATGATAGAAATTACCAAGAAGGGTGGTGAAATGTGGAAAGAATTAAAAGATAAATCAAAATGGGAAGAAAAAGCAAAAGAAGCAAAAGAAGATTATCTCAAAGCCATGGAAGAATACAAAGCCAATGGAGGAAGTAGTAGTTCAAAGAGTGCAGAAACTAAGAGTAAACCAGCCAAGAAATCATCATCGTCATCATCATCTAAGAAGAAAGACACGAAAAAAGATTCCCCAAAAGTTTCATCATCTACTGGCTTTAAGAGTAAAGAATTCATCAGTGATGGTGACAGCAGCAGCGATGATGATGACCCCAAACAAGTATGTAATTTTATATCAAAAAAATTTGCTGTATAGATTTTCCTTTTATTAAAATGTATTTTAAAATTTTTAGAAAAGAAAACATTCTTCCAGTGAAGCAGACAGTGAAGAAGATAAAAAAGCTGTAAGTATAACTACTTATTGTATATTATTCAAAAAATGATCAATCATTTTATTTTTATTCAATGAAATTATGTTTTTATACATTAAAAATTGAGTGGTTACACGATTCTAGTTATAATTTACAATATGTGCATTTTGATTATAGGCAAAGAAGGTGACGAAAAAAGCGAAGAAAGAAAGTGAATCTGAAGCTAGTGAAGAAGAATCTGAAGCCAGCAGTGGAGCTGACAGTGACTAAGACTTTCTTTATATGCTGGATGTATAATCAGAGTATTAGTATAACTATTATCATAATGTACAAAGTTGTGATTTAAATTTGAAATATTTTGATTTCAAATTGTAAAAATCTTCAGTTTTTTTACCTAATTTACGTATTTGTGTATTTAAAATACTTGTGTATTATTAAGTTCAATTTCAATTTTAATTTTCCACAGTTAAAATGGAGTCTTTTCATAGGGTTAATAAATGTTAAAAATCGGACATAATATGGTTTCTTATTACAATATATTTTATAACAAAGCAATTCTGAAATTTGTCTACAAAAAATTACTATTCTACTGTTTATGTGATAAAAGTAATATACACGAAAATATGTACAAATGTCTCATCTCATTAGCACCAATTTTTACATTAAACTCAAAATTAACACAAATTAACGTTTTAAAAGTATTTGTATGAGCACAGAAGTTCTTTGATAATTAAATTATTATCACATTTTTATGTAAAGGAGAGACACATGAAATATTTTGCTGCCAATAAAACATGATGATTCATATTTATAGTGGGTTTTGAAAAGCCAAATTGCAATTGCGAATGTCAGCTTTGGGGCACCTTTTCTTTATCTGTCTCCAAATGATTGATCTGCGCATCATGTAATTCAATATTATGTTCTTTCATGGCTTTCTGAAATGAAAAAACAAAAGAGCTCAGATTGTGTATCGAGATACTACAATGAAAAGTAAATTGAATCTAAATCCAAGTGAATATCAGTGCTTTACATTGTCTGCATCTGTCTTACCTCAACACATTGCTTATATACTTTTAGTAAGTACGAGCATTGAGAGTCATTTTGATTGCCTTTAAGAAATTTATCTTTGAACCAACTATTGAAACAATCGTCATACGTTTGTTTTAACTCTTTGCAGGCCTCCATTGCGATTGCACTTACAAAATTTGATTCATAAAAAACCTAAGGACAAGAAAAAGAAACAATAGTATACCTTTATGCATTGCTGGTAGACACTGTAAAAAGAAGCGCACATGGAGTCATTCGTGTCACCTTTCAGGAATTTGGTAGAAAACCATGTGTTAAAGCACTTGTCATACTGGTTCTTGAGCTCATTGCACGTGTCATTGAGACTATTCATGTGTTCTCTGTGATCCATTATTACTGGAAGAAGACATAAGACTCCAGTGGCAGTAACATTGAAATTATAATTATTGCAACTATGGGATGGATCAATTAAAAGTATTTCATCGGTGGCGACAACTCAAATTTATCAGATAGAAAAAACAATACGACTCTGTTCATCGGCGATCAGTCAATACTTAAAATTAATCCATCGGCAACAAAAAATCATATGAGTAAATATAAACAAGAAAAAAAGTCTCAGAATGGTGGAGCAAGTAAGCAAAAATGAGGTTAGATCCCCTCGATATAGTGCACACCACAAGTGTTTCTCGGTACTCACTGATATGTTTCCGTCAACTCCGAGAGTAAAAAGAGGGGAAAAAATAAAACTCGACGATCGCCGATCGAACCTTCACGCGGTCTTGCGTGTACACAGCAGTTGCCTTAACTAATTAACTATGTGTGTATATCAAAGCGAGACTTTTATACGCGCGTCAAGATCGACTCGATATATACAGCGATGAGCCCTATGTATAAAACGCGGAGGCGCAGTCCGTAATGTGTTTCACCTACTTGTCATCGGTCGCGAGAGAAGCGCGTGCTCAGCACGCATACACCCACACACACACACGAACACGAAATATATATTATACCTAGTTAAAGTACGTACATTGGCCTCTAGTGCGATACATACGTGTGTATGTATATTAACACACCCACGCGATACCCACAGCTCGTATACAGAGAGAGCTCTTACGGTGATTAATTCGAGGCGATGATCCGCCGTCTGCTGTATGTGTGCCCAATTGTGCTATTACGCGACCTGCTTTTGGAATTTTACGTTTGGACACAACAGTCTTGCGATCGCATCGACGCGAATGCCATTTTTATTTTTTTTATGGCGCAGGAAAATGTCGAAGGGAGAAAAAAATCCAAGCGATCTCATTCACTCGTATACGATATTTCGTTTGCTCCGAGTCCAAATGTTCATTTTGCCTTTACTCAAATTCGGTCATCGCTCCCGCGCGTCAGCGGGGATCTCTTTATACAAATAAAAAGCCGATCGAAAACGCGGATCTCGTCTCTCGGCGCGCGCAGTTTTCTTATATACATTATATACAGGCCCTTATCTATTTTGACAGGAGCTGCTGCTGCTGCTGATACCCCCCTTCGAAAAACAGCTCGCTCCGAAGCTGCTGCTAACTGCCTAGCAGAAGACAGCTCGCGCGCTCGACGCGACTGTTGTACTCCTTTTTACTGGATATATATATACCGAATTGTTGTACGCACGTTTCTATACGTTGTCGCGAGTATATCATAGCGATTTGCATCGGAAAAGCTGCTGCACCTTCGAGTAATAATAAGGCGAGTGCCGTTCGAGTGCACGCAAACCCAACGAGTCGAGTGCGGAGACTGGGTATAGAGTAACCGCAAAGTATGTGCCTGCGCCGCCGCCGTATACATAGCACAACACGATCAGCATAAAACTGCTGCTGCTGCTGCACGACCAAGACTCGGCCGCGGGTCGAGCGCCGAGGAGAGGGCTTCTTATATAACGCGTGTGTATATACTCGTCGTCCTGCCTGTGTGTGTGTATATATACCTATATAGCGAAAGCAGCCATTGGCTGCATCATGCGGTATTATTACTTTTTTTTCTCGCGTGCGTAATAATAGCCATTATAGACGCGCCGATGCCGCGACTGGAAGGTACATACGCCTCGTATTGTATATAGTATTGCTGCACCGCCGCTCGTCTCGTTTATATATACCCGTCCATCGTCGTCGGCTATTGCGAGCGATGCAGCTTTTATAATGATAATCGACGTTGTTGCGCTACAACGACGACGACGACGACGACGACGACGTCGACACCACATTCACCATCACCATCGTCATCATCGTCGAATGGATGCAGCAGCAGCAGCAGCATCGCAGCTGAATAAGAATATTATAGATGCAAAAAAGGCGTCGTCCGGATTTTGTACTGGTGATATTCTCTTGTAAATAAAAACAATCGTGTGGGTGCTTTTGTGCGTGTGTGTGTATTTACAACAGCAAAACAACAACAAAACGACTGCGTTTTTTCCAGTGTTTCGATGATCGCGTATACTAACTGTGCTACTCCTCGTCTTTGACAGCTCTCTCTCTCTTTCGGTTCTGTAATCGAAAAACTGCCTGGAGCTGTTCAACGCAATTAATAGAATCAATTTTGAGAAGCGACACTGCGACTACTGCTCTCGCGATGGCTTGCAAGTGAGTAACGATAAACGACGATATATCGTATTTTGTTACATGCTATATACTGTGATAATGTGTACGGAGCACGACGAACCCACGACTCACGTACGCGGGCGTTGAACATTGGTATCGACCCTACACATGCATTAATTGCATTTTATCTATAATTCGATTACATATGCGCAGTTTCGCGTGGGGGGGTAAAGTAGTGCAGTATAAAGTATAGAGAGTGGAAAAAGTCCACTTTACATAAACAGTGTGCCTTTATGAGTTTGGGCCGAGAAAAGTCGATACCAGTGAAGTTTTACGAGTCACGTCGACGGGTCGTTAATTTTTTGTTTTCAACCAATTTACCGTTGCAATATTATTATATACTACACCCACGCGCGATTCACGCGGACGACCGTGAACGCATTCGATATAATACTGCATAACATCAGAATGTGGACGACGGACGATGCCTCGATTTTCAAGCGCGATAAAAGTACCGATTACAAGATTGCGTGAGTTCTCGACTTTATATCACTTTCTCACTCCGCTGGATATCGATAAGAAGACAATCAATTCTCGCGATATACGTGCGTGCGTCATTGATTCGAGCTTGTGACATTGCATATGGTTGATTCTCCCGAAATCTGCTTTTTCGGGTATGGAAAACGAAAAAATGGTGAAAATTTTTTTGTCATATTGAACGGCGCGAACTAGTTTACCCTTTTTTAAACCATAAAATATGAATAATTATTGAATCTGGGGCTTTGAGATTTCGTTTTACGAAAACTATGTCCGATTTTATGCTTAAAATCGACTATTTTCGGTTACGGAGGTGACACACACGGAGGTGACAAATCGCTGCTTTGATCAACTATGTAAGAAAAATAAGAAACGCACAAAATTTTCCGCACAACCCGAAATTTGGTCATGAAAAACGAGTCTTTTGACGGGGCGAGCGGTTAAAAAGAATGATCATAGCTCGAGATATTCATGTCCACGGAGGTGACCGTTTTTTTGACACACGTGAATTTTTCAATAGAATAATTATCGCAGCATCGATAAAATGTAAAATTTGAACCCGCAACCTACACCAATCGAAAGCTGGGCTATAATACTTGACATTTACGTATCTAGCGACATCAAAAATGAGTTAGCGACCCAAAGCAGGCGGTATGTTTGAAATTATTCAGAAGCATGATTAAAATCCGAGACATTTTTCAATTGCGTGGGAAATTTTTTTAAAACATTTTTCAAAGCCCTATAATAGACTTAAACTTTATTCTGGATGTATAGAAGCTGGTCTCATAGTTATTATAGGGTCAGGTGCTAATGAGAATGCATGGTACATGCAAATAGAGTTGATTTTGAGATGTAGACATGCCACGGAGGTGACATTTGGCATGTATATCTTCACGGCAAATTTAACTGACCCTAAAAAATTGAAATATTTATGTCCTATCATGAAGAATACAACAATATTGAATGAATGACCGAGCCAGTTTTGGCTCATCTTCACTAGTTTAAGAATATGGCATAAAGACATGCAAAAAGCAGATTTCAGGAGAATCAACCATATATATAGGGTGTTGTAGTATCCGCACGAGCCGGCGCCTACATGTAAGCTTCCAATGCACACCGATCGTTTCGTATTGTTGTACTTTTTTTCGGCATTCAGCTGGCTCAAGCCGGTTTAATCATTGCAAATATATATGTGTATCTGTCATGGCTTTTATTGACGCGATGCCCGCCGAACGCTATCGCCTACTGTATTACTATTGCGCGGCGAATTTATGCGGATGACATTCTAATTCTTGTGAATGAAAATGTATGTATGTAACAATGTTGTTTGCTCGATTAATCGCGTTTGATTAGCGCAATGTTTATCAACAGTCGCGAAGCCAAAGCCAATTATGCAATTGCGCATGCAATTACGAGTCAGGTTCATTGATTTCGCATTGTGAGCTGAAGTCGAACTTTGGATGAAAGTTTCTGTAAAGGGTTTTTGGAGCTCGACTGATCTAGACATAGAGTCAAAAATTACTGTGGAAATTTTATTCAAAGAGCATACATTGAATATTTTTCTATTTATTCAATAGTGATTGGGACCTAGCTTATTGATTAACAGATATTATCTAAATCTTATCTAAAAGTATTTCTTCGTATCAATAATTTCTCAAGATTACCGACCATTCTCAGACCATAAACTTCAGTCGATTATTACTTACTTACTTCTTGTATGACGTTGAGAATGGCAGATTAATTGTTTGACGCACTACGTTTTCTTTTGTTTTCTATAAATAAAGCTTAAATAATGCTAACAAAATCATTAATATTGTATATTATCAAGGAGACATATGTTTTAAATTATATCCTGAACTATATCATAGTTATTCTGGGTAATATAAAAGATAACTCGAGTGATTTTCATGACATAATTAATTAAGACGTTGTACACATGGTTTGAAGCTATGAATCTAAAGTGCTTATTGAATTTTTTGCAGGGAGATGATGATAGTGTTCGTTTACGACACCGCAAGGTGTTGTAAAGAAGAAGATGATCCAGCCGATGCTCTTGTGTACTTTCATCCAGCATGGGTTTCTCCGACACAAAGATTGGCATTGGCTAGTCAGTTGATGGGCGTGCAACAATTCTTATCCACAAATTTCTCTCCACCGTCTATGATTACATTGCAAGGAGGAAAATTTGTTCTGAGGAGGTTTAAGAGCTACACATTGGTGAGTAACTTGGATACTCTTTTGATTTAAAAATTAGCTCTTTGGTAATACTTATAGTTTTTATTATTTAAATGGTATTTATTTGTTGTCAATGTTGTAGGCAGTAGGAACGGATAGAAACATACAAGACTGGATTCTGAAGCGGCGTGCTGTCATATTAGATTCATTGCTCAAATTTTTCCACTGTGATTTTGATACGATATCAGCATCATTCAATAACGATAGAAATAAATTTACAGAAAAGTTGTATCAAATATTTGAAACGTACTTGCCAATTTTGCAATATAGTGCCAATTTATTTGCAAATCTTCCACTGCTAAAACTTCCTAGGGTGTGTTCTTTTTTTCATTCAATCATTATGATTAAAAGCAGACATTAGAATTTTCATAGCATTAGAATTTCATTAGCGTAGCTAAACGAGTCTCATCAATTATTCATATCACGTTTGTAATTTCAATGTTTCAGTATTTAGCTACAATATCCATTAACTTGCTATGCAATAATTTCATTGTCTGTTTTTAAAGTCGTCGCAATATCTTTGACAGCTGATCGTCACGTTCTTCTCTCGTTTTAGAGCGCGAGCAATGTATTTTTGGAGGCAATGCAGATCATTCAGTACTGCCAGGAGACTAACGGTATTCTCGGTGGTGCTCTTTTTTACAACAACAAGTAATTGCCAAGAATTTTTCTCAAAACGCATGTCTTGTGCATTTAACGACAACTGCATTAAACGAACTATTTGTAATTCCAGAGTCGTCGCTTCGCAATTAAATACCGCGTTGGCCAAGCAGTTAGTCATAACCGATCCTTACAGAATAAAGGTAATTTATCTCTCGCCGTACGAGCCACGCACGCCTACTACATATATATTATCTCTCGTCGACCGATCAATTCGTTATTTATACATATGTAATATAATTTTTTTTTTCTCCATACAGGCACCAGCGGACAGGGTGGCGACGAATTTTCAGCTGCCCGCCGGCGTCCAGTTGCTGCGCGTCTTCATCGAGCAGAAGCAGCTGTCGCGCATGATCGTCGACGCGAATCTGGAGCGCGGCCACAGCGCGAATCTCGACTCGGCGACGACGAGGAAAGCCAACAACACGAAAAAGGTATACGCGCCCCCGCCCGTATACACTTTTATAATATTGCATGTACGCGGGGACTTACGCAACGCACTAAAAACACGATTTCCATCGTTAAAGGAAAAACGTGCAGCGCGCGAAACTTACGTAACCGCGGTGATCGAGTGCCGCGCAGGTGCCGCACTCGTGCATTTTGCATCTCGTTAAGCTATATATACCACTACTCGTTTGCTTTTTTTTTTTTACGAAACGATATATGGAGTTTTTCACGCGTGTATATGAAAATTGATCATTACAGAAAGCTGGATCGAAGGAAGCCCAGCAACAGCAACAATCCTCGCAACAGCAGCAGCAGCAACAGCCGCCACCGCCCATCTCGATGATGAAGAGGGACACGTCGAGGATCTTCACCGTGCCCGAGGACGCCGAGCTCGACGCGACCCACTACAACATGACGCAATGCATACCGTCGTTGCATCACGCCGCGTCGTACAATTCGCCCTCGAAGCGCGCCAAAGAGAGCACCAACAGCGGTAGCGGTAGCGGCGGCAGCGGAACCGAGCCCGCGAGCAACGGCAAGCCCAAGTACGTTCACCCGCTGACGCCGAGCGTCTGCTCGACCCCGCTCAAGGACGTGAATCGGGTGCTGCACGACTTCGTCGTGTCGATATGCGCCACCAGCGAGGAGAACGAGAATCCGGAGGCCACGACGACGACGACGACGACGACGACGACAGGTCACGCGGACGAAGCCGATGCTGCCCAGGGAAAGTGTAGCGACGTCGACGATATACCGGACGTGGTGAAGGAGGCGCTGCGACAGAAGCGCATGAACAAGCTGCGCCAGACCCAGCCGAGGGAGCAGCTGATGCTCCGAGCCAGAGAGCGAAACGTCGTGAGCCTGAGCCTGACGAATCTCGTCGAGCAGCAGCAGCTGCACCACGACGGCCGCGAGACGGCGGCAAAGTCGACGAGAAACATGTCGTCGTGCCCGGTCGTGCTGAGGAGCTACGGCATCGGTATGCCGAAGATGAATTTCGACGAGGACGACGACGAGACGGCAGCGTCGCGCTCCACGAAGAAACAACGAGGAGGAGGCAGACGCAGGGTTTACAACACGATCGCCGATCCGTTTCATTTGGTCTTTCGCAGTGACGGGCTGCCGGTGTCGCGCGCCCTCTACGACGACTACATAGCCAGCCATTACAAAGAGCTCGATCGAACGGCTTGCCGATCGGAGTTGGCAGCGACGAGCAGCAGCGGTGCTCCTCCCGCCACGACCACCCGCATCATCGCATCGACGGCGTCGTCGTTGCCGAATCCAAAGTCCGTCGCCGAGAGCGACAGCGAGAAGGATAAATCGGCCAAATCGGCGGCGGCGGCGGCTCTCGACGCGAAGAAGAGCCGACAGGAGTCGTGCAAGCGCTCGATGAGTCTGCCACTCAAACCGCTGAGCAGCCTGACCGCCGATCAGGACGACGACGACGCCTCCGCCGGCAATCCGAGGCGCAAATCCGCCTGCTCGTCCGAGAGCAGCGGCGTGTTCGAGCTGGGGGGTGGGCCGCCGACGGGCGGTGGTCGGCGAGCCAAGCTCGAGGGCCTCCAGCTGACGCCGCTCATGTCGAAGCTCAGCCTGCTGGCCGACGAGCGCACCAGCGGCTTTTGCAGTCGCGACACGACCCCGAGCGAGTTTCGCGATCCTCTCTCGTCCACGTACTCGCTGGTGAGCAGCAGCGCGGCCCAGCAGGCGGTGCGCTCGAGGCTCGAGGCGCTGCACAAGGAGTGCTGCAGCGACAACGACGACGACGACGAGGAAGAGGAGTCGACGGACAACAACGCCCAGGAGCAGCAGCAGGACGCCGTGTACGAGCGAGCCGAGCTCTTCCTGTGCGGCTATCAGAACATGGTCATGTTTTTGCTGATGGAAGACGGCACGGGCAACGACGCCGACTTGATACACGGACTCGTAAGTCGTTTTTTTTAATATTGTTATATAGCTCGCGTGCAAATTGAATTGCGTGTTTATCCCCTTGTTCTCGCGCAGTGGGAGACTTGCGCGGCCTTGCTGAGTACCCTGGAATTGAGACTGCAGCAGTGCCTGGAGCAGCCCCTGCCCGCCAACGAGAGCAAGGAATTGTACAGCGTGCTGAGCGTCGACTCCGAGTGGGACACGACCTACCGATCGGGCCTGTGGGGCGTCACCGAGCTCGATCTCGTCTCGTCGATTCACGACCGTTTCAAGCGCAACAACAACGTCACCGACGTGACCATCAGAACCGAGGACACGGTCGTCTACGGCAACCGGTGCGGCAATCACGAGGTGTTTTATCAGCAAGCCGTGCCGCACAATACGCTGGGCGGACTGCCGACGCCGGCCGACCTCATGGGAATAGTGCCTCTGAAAGCCAAGCGACGCCTCGAGAGAGATCACTCGATCGTCATGCTGTAAACGCGATGCGCGATCGATTCTTTTTTTTTTTTGCTTTTTTTTACAAGGGTGCGTGCAATATTTTTCTAGGATTTTCGTCCTGCTTGCGTACGACAAATCGAGCAACGGTGTATTAATAATTGATTAAGGAGGACGATTGTTGTTTTAATGCAAAAAGTCCGATGATGAATAACGAGTCTGTCCTTTGTTGTGCAATTGAAACGTCCTCAGTGTAGTATGTATAACGTCCAAGGAAAGTACTTATTGTATTGTGTATATAGATGTTCGTTGTGAATGTAATATGATGTAATGAGAAAAGAACGTTTTTTAATTATGTATCGCGACGGTATATATTTTTACTTCTCATTGTTTGGATATCGCGCAAATCGTAGCGTATAATGATATATTATTAGAAAAATAAGTGGTCGTTCCGTTATAACGATAAAATTGTTTGTTATTGTGCTATTGTTTAATGAATTCTCGATGTTAGCGATGTTTTTTAATCATTCCGATTTGTAATAGATTATAATTAATTATTCTTTTTTATGTATTTTTAATATAGGACGTAATTTAAAAATAAATAAGCAGCGGCGAACGTAGATTTAAAATTTATTAGGGCTAAGCATTTTATCATTTGTTATATTTTTATTGAAATTAACGTTACTTTGGTTAATCAAACGATTAACGATTTGCCATAAATTTCACTGAAACTCATGTGTTTTGAGTTTTAGATGTAGAATTGATCAAAATCAATAAATCTCAATGTATGAATTTTCTAAAAATGTTTAGCAATCTTTAAAAAAATACAAACTAGATGAAAATTTGCTTTAAAAAAACAGATAATATGTTGAGCATTCAAACTGCTGAATTTATTTGAAGATAAACTATGAAAATTACAATAGCGAAAAATTGAGAAAACGCTTTAAGTAACGAAATAGATGCGTTCTTGAATATAATATAATAGTTCAAACTAATTCAATACACTTTATGTGGACCAGCGCAGACGATTCATTCTGTGATCACATCGACTATTGTTATCGTCAAAAATTGCCAAAATAGTCGTGCATCTCACTATCACGTGTACTTACGCTTGCTTCTTTGCAATAAAAATATTTTTGCCATTTCTCGTATTTTTAATAAAGCCGAAGAACGAGTTTATGCCGATCGTTACGGACGAAGTGAGAAACATTTGATAAAAAAAAAAAAAAAAAAAAAAACAGATCGAATAAATAATTGATGAAGCATTTTGAATTCACTTGCATTTCGTATTTATACGATGATTTCGCATTTCGACAAAATCATATCACGTGTAATAAAGTGTAAATTTTTTCAACGATAGAAATCTCATGTGGTATTTACATATTAAATAACAAATCGTCATATCCAGTAATATAAAAATAAAAGTAACGTAAACACTAATGTTCTTAAAGTAAAGTAATAGACTAATCAAGTGTACATAAGAAAAAGTAACGATCTATTTTTGTTGAAAATATTTCTCCATACTTCAATTGGACAGCCGTCACGTATTGTCATTCCACTGATCAGTATTGTATAAGAAATCGCTGTTATTTTTAATTTTTTCGTACGTTGCGAGCCATGAACCAACGAAATTATATTGTAATTGTCCAACGGATAAAAAAAACTTCATCGTCGTTTGTATCACAGCAACAATAAAAGAAAAATTGAAACAAGTCGATTTTAAAACGAAACTAATTTTATTTCCCTGCAATTAATTGTAAATCAATTGAAAAGTCGCGTTTATTATCCCAGAAACATCCAGATCCGATTCAATGACAACTGCGATCCGATGGCGAATAAATAAAACGAGCGAGAGGCGAGCCTCCCAGTCCGACGGGCTGATTATCATAATATTCGCATAATAGTCGACGCTCGACGAGATAAATATATTTTTCACCGAAAGGATTTTATTTTATTTTTTCCCTCCCTCCCCGCCGCCTCCCCGACGTCGCGTGACTTATGGGTATTATATATTTATTCAACGTTTTGCCATACGAGTCGCTATTTTTAGAATTCAGAAATAGTCGTAACTGATAAAAGATTGTCAAAGTCCAATTAGCCTTTCGTGCGAGTGATTTCCCTTTGCATATACGGAGAATCGTTCGGAAAGTTTCACGAGCGAATTAAACTGGATATACCATTTTTTATCCAAAAAGTAAAAATCGCTGGCCCATTACCTCGAGAGACGCAAAATTTCCACGGGGACGAGCCTCCATCGCGCGATCACGCTCCGATGTCATGATGTCGCTCTTGCCCAACCCACCAAGCCGATCGGTAAACATACGAGATATAGAGAGAGAAAGAGCGAGAAAAATAAAACGTCGACTTTACGTTCGTACCAGTCCTGTTTCGAGTCGAGAACGAGAAGAAGAAAAAGAAAAAAAAAACAGGAGAAAAATTATGCAAAATCAAAAGCATCGCCGCGATAATAAACAAGCCTCCGTGGCTTCGGCCAATCGGCGCGAGCCCGACGTCGCGTTAGAGCCGAGTTTATTTAAAGGCGAATCCAGCGTCTCGATCGCAATAGTATCGAATCGATTTTCACTGGAAGGCAAAGAAGAGCATCGAGAGGAGGATCATCGAAGCTCCTCCGTTGGACAGAGAGAGAAGAAAAAAAAATGGTAAATACACGTTAACGCACCACCCACGCGCGCAAACAACGCAGGAACGAACCGATTTTTCCTATTTCCAGACGACGTACACCGACAAGGGCCCCAAGCCGATCGCCGGGAAATTCTTGTGCTTCGACCATCTGACGTTCTGGGTCGGAAATGCTAAACAAGTAAGTGAAATCGTAAAATGTTTTCAAATTTTTTCAAAAATTTTTCAACGATCTTTCTAAGGCTGCCAGCTACTACTGCGCGAGGATGGGGTTCGAGCCCCTGGGCTACCGTGGTCTGGAGACTGGTTCGCGGCGTAAAGCATCACACGCTGTTAGACAGAATCAGATTGTATTCGTATTCGAGTCGGCTTACGAGCCTGACGACGAGGAGATGGCGCTTCAGCTTGGTAGACACGGCGACGGTGTGCGCGACATCGCCCTCGGGGTGCTCGACATCGAGGCGATCCTCGACCACGCCAAGTCCCGCGGCGCGGAGGTCGTGCGCGACCTGTGGCACGAGGAGGACGAGCACGGCCGCGTCAAGTTCGCCACCATCAGGACGTACGGCGACACGCGGCACACCCTCGTGGATCGCAGCGAGTATCGGGGATTCTTTCTGCCAGGTTACAAGAGGCAGGCAGAGGACGCCATCGTCGAGCTTTTGTAAGGGCGAAAACGACAAAAAAACATTTATCGTAACCAACGGTAGTAGCGTTGTATACAATTGCCCGCATTTACCACAGGCCGAAGGTCGACTTGAAATTCATCGATCACATCGTGGGCAACCAGCCGGATGGGCGGATGGAGCCGGTGGCCGAGTGGTACGAGCGCGTGCTGCAGTTCCATCGCTACTGGTCGGTGGACGACGAGCAGCTGCACACCGAGTTCTCGGCGCTGCGCTCGATCGTCGTGGCCAACTGGGAGGAGACCGTGAAGATGCCGATCAACGAGCCGGCCCCGGGCAAGAAGCGATCCCAGATCCAGGAGTACGTCGAGTACTACGGCGGCGCCGGTGTCCAGCACATCGCCCTCAATACCGACGACATCGTCGCGGCGGTGAGAGACGCTCCGCTTGTATCTTTTCTACTCCATATACATTTGTGACTCGTTGTGTCGTTATTACGCTTCATAGATCACGAATCTGCGCAAACGTGGCGTGGAGTTTCTCGACGTGCCCGACACCTATTACGAGGCGTTGAGGAAAAAATTGCAGGGCAGCCAGGTGCGAGTTGTCGAGGATCTCGACGTGCTGCAGAAGCTGAAGATTCTCATCGATTACGACGAGCAGGGCTACCTGCTGCAGATCTTCACGAGAAACATGCAGGACAGGCCGACCTTGTTCATCGAGGTCATACAGAGGCGCAATCACAACGTGAGTGTCGTTTGGTTCAATTTGATACTCGGAGGAGCGCAAATATTATTATCTTGTATCCTTTGCAGGGCTTCGGCGCGGGCAATTTCCAAGCTCTGTTCGAGGCCATCGAGATGGAGCAAGCGAAGAGGGGTAATTTGTAGAAGCGCGAATGAAAGCGTCAATGTGAATTTGCTCATTGAAAAAAAAAACAAAAAAAAAACAAAAAACCCAAGAATAAATTATTGTTAAACTTATTTATTTTTATATCCTCTTAGCGCTGTTACGTAAGCAGCATCGTATAAAAAACAGTGTTATCTAAACAGGGATGCAAACATTACAATAATATGTACTCGACATTGAAAGATCGGCGTTTTTCTTTTCTTATTTTTTTTTTTTCCTCTTTTTTACAATGAAAGAATTAACTTGCTCATCCACAATTACTTATTATTTTTTCTTTAATAATTCATCTGCTATCACTTAATATCAGTAACTGGTCTCCCTTTGTTTTTTTTTTTTTTTATCAAGAGCTCGGCGCTGAAATTAATTAGCTCACATTGTGTTGTGAATGCCCAGGCGGAAAATGTCGTGTCCGCAGAAAAACGAATTTGCTAATGGTTTCAGCACAAAAGTTTGCGAGAAGGCGTGTGGTGGATCATCATCTGCCTATAAATGAGAAAAGAAATCACGATTAGTCGAGTTACAACTTGCTAAAATTTTAATTCATTAATGAATGTTATTAATAAATTTAAATTTTGCTTTCAAGGGAAATAGAACATTAATAGTATTTATAATGTTGGACATTTTACGTGGAAATACATTAGTAACATTAGTATCGTAGTGTCAGGTTTTAGGTTCAGGCATACAGTATTCTGAATTTCAATTTAAAAAAAAATCCTAATAGTCAAAAACCAAGGTAAATTTCAATATTTTCAAAACAATTGATCACATGCAATCGCACATTCTATCTTCTCCTTTTCATAGAAATTCAAAAAAAGCTGACTTAATATTCATTGGGTGTGGCCATTCACGCGAGACAAAAAATTATTTTAGCTAAGCAAGTGGGTTGTACTGATAAGCAAAATACAATCAGCAGATAATTTTTTTTTCTGCGTTTACCACAGTGTGAAGATTAGCAGACGATCAAACATTGTTGTCTATATTGAGTCGTGCAGCGCGAGCCTGAAGATATCGTGCTGCACGAAAAAGCTGGTGCCAATTGGCGTCAGGACAAATGTCTGGATGTAAGCATGAGGCTGATCATCGTCAGTCTATCCAACCATGAATGAGCACTCAGTTTTCCATTATTGATGAAGATTTAAAGAGAGATAGTCGCTGGACACTTGTCAATCAGCTCTACTCAACATAAGAAAGTATACAGCAATCAAATTGACTATTTTTTTTGGTGTCTTGATGACATGATAAGAATTATAGAAGAATAAAAATAAAAAAAAACTATTTGATGGCTGTATGCAAGTTTCTGCGACAAAATCTCCCATAAATCTTATAGATCTCTATATTATAATATTAGTCTTGCTTTGTAGCATGTATAATAATTTACCTGCAGCCTTCCTAATACATTAATGAGTACGCCACCGTCGAACATTGGCTGTGAATCTATAGCTGTTATTATCCTGTTGATTTTTTGGAAAGTCAGACTCTGCACAAATAACAACAAAACCATCGGTTTAATCATGAGAATTTCAAAAAACTCTTGTGTCGCTCGCGTTGAAGTGTACTCACGTTAAGTTTCTCCATAATTTTGATAGCACCCTGAATTTGCTGTCCTTCGAACGTCATAAACGAAGATTCAGTCTGTAAAAATCAATGCATAAATGAGAAATTCATCGAGTACATCAACGGCCGATGCAAAAGTCAGCCGAACCGGCGCGTTCGGCGTCGTACGTGCACCAGTTAGTCCGGTACGACCCGCACGAACAACACACACTTACGTTGTACATATTGATGAGGTTCGGCCTCTGGGCAGGATCGTCGAACATGGCATAATATTGCTGAACGAAACCCTTGCCGATGGCTTCGTACGAGGGATTGAGCGCCATTTTTTAACACAGTGTTCGTTCGCGCAACGGGCAACAACAACAACAACAACAACAACAGAGGAAAAAAAAAAGGAACGAGGTGTGTGTGCGCGAGAGAAGGCCACGGCCAAGTAACCCCAGTGCACGAGCGAGGTTATGGCTGCACGAGACGTGTTTTAACGCCGCGGAATCGCGCACGAATAGCACACCGAAACTGTGAACTATTGATACTCGTACCAGCCGAGAACCGTTGCCGTTTCACACACTTTTTTTGCTCTATTACAAAAAAAAAGAGGCAAAAGTAAAACAAAAATACGATAGGAGCTTTAAAAAAAGAAACGTTGATCTCGCACACGGCGCACAACACTTGGCTGACGATATCTATATATATGTATATATTACGGACTTCTTAATTCTACGTGCGTGTACAGAAATCCAAATAGCAGCAGCAGCAGCAGCAGTAACTATGCGCGCGCGCGCTAACTCACGGCATTCGTTGGATACACACGATATACATATGAAATATAGTCTTATTTGGGAAGTCGCGCGGTGAGCCGCTCGGTACTCGCTCCGTCTCTTTTTAGCTCGTGGACAAGCCTATATATATAAGCAAACAGCAGCAGCAGCTGGAGAGCAGCCGCCCGAATATCGGAGCCGCCCGAGAGACCGCGAGAAAACCCTAGAATAAACGCGTAATTACTATATATATACACGCGGCGGCACGCGGTACCATTCTGGAATTCGCGCGTTTTATTTCGCACTGCTGCTGCTGCTATAACCGCTGTTGCATTATACACATAGCGACTCGAGGTCGGTAACGTTACCCTGTGAATTCATTTTATAACAAGCGCGCAGATACGAGTTAGATTTGGTTTTTGAACTGATTTATGAGTAAAATTTCTCGCTGAATCAAAAATCATCATTTTCAAAATGTTGTTCGGATGAGTTTTTTTAGTTTTGTATCAAAGTAACATTAAAAATGAGCAAATTTTTATTAATTCTTAAATAATTGCTTGATGCTTCTTTCGGGCCACATATCAAGCTCGGAGAAATCGATTATATCATGCTTATATCGCGTATAGCGAGCAGATCTTATCATTGGCTCGTAAAATTGCAATTACACTATTAATGCGTTGACACATAAATAATGCCGGTGTATAATTACCCTCGGAAGCTTCCCGCACAAATCGATGAATCGTAAAAAGAGGCCATTTCTTATACGTCAATCAAAAGCCCTACATGCGTGCCTACAAACGTTTTCGCTCGTCTAGCAGTAGGATCAGTGACGCGATGGCTTTTGGCAGGATCGGAGCGTCACTGCTGGCCTACTGCGAGAAATCGAACGTTCACGGCTTGAAGTACGTCGTCGCCAAACATCATCACTGGTCCGAGCGGTATATACACAAGTCGTTCGAAAATTTTCCCAACTGTATAAAGATCTACAATTATGTATCGAAAACAGATCGTTGTGGTGGCTGCTCTGCACGGCGAGCTGGTCGGCGGCTCTGGTGGCGCTCGCCAGCACGATCGGTTTCTACGCCATCATTTCATCACCGTCGACACGGCCGATCGCGACTGGATCACGCCGTATCCGGCGATCGGCATCTGCAGATTAGCACGTGCACGTGAGGCTTTCTTTTTTCCCGGTATATAGGCCGGTATACGATTTTACATACCCCGGGGCCCGAAAATAGCAATATCTTGTTTAGCGCATCGGCCGGGAAATGCTACTTTCGGGCCGCTGGTAAGTACGTAAAAATTAATACGCAGGTAAAGCCAAAGTGCGACGAATCGTTGACGAGCCGCAAATGGCTGGGCGTCGAGTTCGATTGTTGCGCGGAATTTTACCAAACAATTTCATCAAAAAAAGGCTTATTATTTCCAGTCTCGACTCGTCGGCTCTCAATGTTGAATGCACATGCATCTGATCCTGAAATTTTTGTAATAATATCTATAGGGTGTTGTTATCATATCTATGAGTGCCGACCAGTCGCTGCTCTCTCAGTTCAGCTGCGTCGAGTTACTTATGCCTTTGTCACGCCCTCACGATATGTAGTATTTGTCTCGCTCTTGTACAACTGCGCATGTGTTGGACGTTGGTATGAGTTGCTCGGGTGACTCGGGTCAATTTCCTAACTTTCTCTTCGCCCACATGTTCGGTGTTCAGTGCGTTTGATATATTCAGTACGAATTACGACGTGGCAGCGTAAAGAAGGAAGAAAATAATCTCCTAGACAAGTGATTTTTGTGGAAAAATCTTGATTTAAAAGTGATTGTGTGTTGTGAGTTTGTGAGTAGAAAAATGGCCACGTCCAATGACAAATCCATTGAAAGTTTGGATAACCAACAAAAATTAAAAACTTTGAAGAGACTACGAGAAAATGTCAATTGGGAAATCGAAGAGGAGCGACGTGAACTGCTCAATCAACTTTATCCCTTGGTCAAAGATTGGACGGACCAACTTCCGAATCTCCGGGACATTTTTCGGGCCGAAGAAATGGATTGGTTTATTATAGAGTCTATCAAGTCCGTGGATTTTAAGAATTTCAGGGTTTACATAGTACCATTCGTAAATTTCCTGCGCAGAACCGGCTATAAGGACGAGCCTAAATTAGACGAAGATGGCACGCCACTTTGGCGGCACACCACACCACTAAGCAGTTATTATACCAGACGCGTCATCTTTGAACTCTTTAAAATATACGAAAGATATATAGGCTGCAATGACTACCATTTCATTTCCGTTCGAAGATTCCTCGAGCTCGGTCAGGATCCCCATTGTCTCGTACGAAAAACAGGCCGATCGACGCTACACATGGCCCTGGCAGATGACAACAGATTATTATCCTCATTGCTACTAACAGAAGGCGCTGATCCTTTATTAGCAGACGAGGATGGATTAACGCCTCTTCATATTGCTTGCACGGTACTCCGCACTGAGTTAATAATCAAAAGACTCCTCGAATATCCGATGGTACAAGTCGATGCTCTGGACAAGTTCGGCCGGACACCTCTACATTATACTGTGATGGTCGAGTATAAAGTAGTACAAGTACATATCCAAATGTTGCTTGAAAATGGTGCTAATCCGAACTTAGCCGACTTGGATGGATTAACACCTTTGCATTTAATTTGCCAGAGAAAATACGATGTCGAATTGATAGAGCCATTTTTTAAGATCTGTGACAAAAATCATCAACTAGTGCAGGTCGACCCTCAAGATAATCGGGGTCGAACACCACTATATTACGCTGTGGCGAATCTTTTTCCAAATAATGTAGATTGTCTTTTGAATCGAGGGGCTGATTTATCGAAATTCGTTTTCCCAACTGAAAGTGACTTCGAAGAGGGAATGAAAGTGTGGCTAGGGCGACATTATGATTATAAATTGAGAATAGCGTCTGGGGCTATGGGTGTCCTGGACAATCTTGAGGAAAGAGGATACGAGCTAGAGCAAAACAACGTTCTCATGATCATGAAATGGTACGCCAAGTATGGATTGTTCGAAAAGTCGGAGGAACTTGAAAAATGTCTCGAAGACGAGGAGTTTGTGAGCAAAGCGAAAAATCAGATGATTCGCACGGGTGTGCCACCTTACCTCAGATGTTGCTATGCTGAATGTTTTTATTATTATAATGAAGTTGATGATGATGATGATGATGATGATGATGATGATGATGACGACGACGACGACGACGACGACGACGACGACGATGATGACGATGATGATGATGAGGAGGAGGAAATGGTGGATGAAGATCGAGCAGAAAAAGTAGTGAAAAAAGCTAAAGAATCATTGGAAGGTCCAATTCTGTCGCTCTACGATCTGATCCAGTTACGAGCCGAAGAAATCGAAAAACTATTCACTTACTGGGACTACGAACATTTCGCTCACATACGCATGCGTAAACTCACTGATAGGGCCATTCAAGCTTGTGTTGTTCATCTGTGTGAGATGATGTCCAGGAGATTTTTTCGACGATGGGCAGTCTATCCTTTCTGGGATCTTATTCACAAACGTCTTCCACTTGAGGTCTGTGAGATGATCGTAGAGAATCTGACGAACGAGGATTTATATCACATTTTCTTGGCGGCTCAGGGCCAATGCTCGTGATGGACTTTTTTTTGACCATTCAATTGCATAGACATGACATACTTCCTATATTAGAGCTTTCTTTTCCTTGCCAGATAACAAAACATTTTCAAGTACGTATCAAGAACTAGAAAATTGGAAATGACATCAATTGAAAAGTTAAAATTACGATACATACTACATAAATAAAACTAGAATAACGTTAATAAAAACATATCAATATTTCACACTTTATTATTTCTCAATTTCTGATGTTATTCTGTAGAGTTTAAACACGATAAAAATTAATAAATACATTTCAAAAATGAGCTCTGATTTTTATTCAAACGCACCACGATCATGAATGTAAAAGAGCTAAAGTTTTTTAATGCACTCGTACGTCACCCCAGATATTATTACAAAAATTTCAGGATCAGATGCATATGCATTCAACATTGAGAGCCGACGAGTCGAGACTGGAAATAATAAGCCTTTTTTTGATGAAATTGTTTGGTATTGTTACTGAATGTGTCGTTATTTTTTGGAAGGATTCTAAATTCAAGATAAGCGCTACGCATGCATACTATATCGACTACTCAGGCAGAAAATATTCACAATTATTCAGACGAAAGTTATCGGTAAGAAAACATTCATAAGCGTCATACAATCATAAAACTATGCCAGGCTTAACGTACGGAACTGTTTCATAAAGACTACTATGCCAGTAACGCGCCGCGATGAGTTTTTTTCCAGGATACAAGACTTTACACAAATGTCAATTTTTCAAACGGAATCAAGTCGAATCTTGAGAAGGATCGTTCGAAGAATCTTGAAGCTCAAGCAGCTTGCTGGAGGAGAAGGCATCGCTGCATCCAAACCTCTGTGAAAGTAACGCGAGATGGCCAAAGCTGAAGTTTCGAAAAATTCAATGGAAAGGGGACAAAAAATCTCATTCCCAAAATGAGATAAAATTTTTTTTTCATACCAGTGACCCGAAAGTGACTACTGCTGCGCAAAACGGAATCGAGAGCTATTTTCGGGCCACGCGGTATGAAAAATAGTATACAGGCCTGGGGGCACGTGTTTATCGTTTATTGGCACCAATTACACGCACCCTGAGACTTTTTGGTTTTTCGCGGCCTAGGGCATTAATAAACTATTCGATTTTAAGGTGTCTTTCTCCCCTCAAGTCACATGAGAAAATTAAAAAAAAAAAAAAAGTGTAAATCTGAGTTACAGACAATATTTTAAATTTTATATCAGCATGGCCCATGTCAATTTATAATGATAGTTGTATACAGTATAATTCGTTGGCTACAATGTTTATTTACATTATATCCATTTTACTGCCGAAAAAATTCGGCTTTCTATTCAAAATTTCACATAGAATAATCCTGTACTTACATGTATATTATATTTATTAGGATTACTAAAAATAAGCAAAACGTATGATATTTATCTTTTCACGTCATAAGATGCGTTTATTTATAAATCATTGCACATACATATCTATCGGTGCACATTATCCATCAAAGACAATCACCGCCGAGCAATTATACGTTATAAAAAATTTTATTCGTTCGATAAAAGTCCCATAATCATCGTGACTTGGAACGAAGGCGCATATTAATACAATTATTCAAGATCACTAGACTCATTATATCCTACAATTACATTTGTCGTCCCTCGATTAGTAGATAAAAACAATCAGATTGCGTCATCGATACTGCACAATTACATCATAATGATAAAAAACGCATTCAACAACAACAACTATAACAACAAATTATCTATAAATTCCTTCTCGGTATCTATCTCGGTGCAAATCGACCGATTAACAAAAATAGTAAAAAAAAAAATAATAATAATAACACTAACAACAAAATAACGCTATTTACAATTTTACGTAACGAGATTTCGAGACACAGACACATACACTAATGCATTGCAGATAACAGAGAGAGAGACACCTGTCGAGCGCTCTCGCACACGTGTTGCGTTGTGCATTAAAATCGAAAAACGCTGCGTCTCGCGCTCGCGCGCGGAAGGAAAATCGCGAGAGATCGGTAGAATTTTTTCCTCAATTATCCGAACGTCACGCAGCTATAATAATACGCGCGCGCGTGTAAGTGTGCGCCTGTGTATGTGTGTGTTGTTTTTTCTTCGCGCGACGTGCATTACATAAGGTAACGCACATTTATCATCGTCGTCGTCGGAGAATTCCACGGGTTGTGTTCACTGCTGCTGCTGTTGATCGTCGTCGTCGTCCGGCAAGACGATGGGCTCGTACTCCTTGGGCAAGTCGATCCTCTCGAGATAATCGATGTACTCGCCGAGTACGTCGTCGATGCGGGCCGCGTACAGCGGGTCGCTCTCGTAGATCTTGACGATCTCGTCGTTGCTCTGCCTGAAGACGATCCGGTCGTTGATCTCCTGGGCCGTGTAGCTCGACATGATCCTCTTGTCGATGCAGATCACGGGCAGATACATCAGGGCGAGATACATGGCGGTGAGCCGCAGCTCCTCGTACTCGGCGCGGACGTCCTCGAGGCTCGGCTTGGCCGCAGCTGGGCCCAGGCATCGCGTCAGCTCCCGATGATAGACCTCGAGCACTTGGCTCTCGTGCGCCTGGCGGGTCTCGCGTCGCGTCGACAGGTAAACGAGCTCGGCCAGGTCGATGGTGCGCGGCCCGTAGCGGCACAGCTGAAAGTCCACGAGGCAGACTCGGTCCGGCGATCCCTGCTTCACGAGCATATTGTTGGGCCAGGGATCGCCGTGGGTGACGCAGCGCTTCATCGGCCTCGCCTCGTCGCTCCAGCGATAGGCCACGGCGAAGCCCCGATGCACCGCCGACCTGACGCGGCTCGGATCGCGGCCCAGCTTCACGGCCAGCCGCTCGATCAGGTCCGCGGCGAGATCCAGCCGCTTGGTCTTGATGGCGGCCTCGGTAAAGAGGATCTCGGCGAAGGCCCGGGGATAGAGCTCGCGCAGCGGCCTCGAGCCGCGCAGATCGGCCAGCAGCCCGGAGGCGTGCAATCGGGCCAGAGCCCGGGCCGCGGCCTCGAGCTCGCCACGGCCGAACAGCTTGCTCTCGCGCATGGCGTAGCCGCGATCGCGCAGATCCTCCAGCACGAGGATCTGGCCGTTGGCCAGGTAGCAGCGCGGACAGAAGTCGTCGTCGTCGTCCTTGATGCCCCCTGCCTCGCGCAGACTGCGCCTCAGCAGGGGCGCCACCCGATTGAAGAACTCGGCCTCGTGATCGAACAGGCCGCCCTCCACCACCAGGTCCGGGGCGTTGGCCGAGGTGTCGTCGCGCGCCGGCAGCGTCTTCAGGAAGAAGCTCTTGGACTCGACGCTCGGACTGTCCGCCGAGCGACGAAACTCCACGACGAGATTGCGATGATCGCCCATGAAGCCGACCTTGCTCGACGAGTGCGCCGCCAGCGACGAGGACACCACCACGAAGTCGTCCGTAGCCGTGCCGAGGTAATTCCTCACGATCGCGCGGATCTCTTCCGGGCTGAACTCGTACATGATATTGGGCCTGCGGGACACTTTTGGCACACGGAAACGCACACGAAGACAAGACAAAAGAACGAAAAATCGAATAGGATCGGTCTCGCTGCTTTGCGCGTACTATCTACAATCAACTACTCACTACTGCGACGAGCACCACCACTGCAATATGCCTCGCACTACACTCGCGGCGGCCTCTTATATATACATATATCGCGCGTCTGTCTCTTTATTAAATAATATACCCGCGCTACGGAGTGTTGTACGAGCGAGATTTTTATTGCACACCAGGAATGACTCGGCTCGATCGTACTCTGTATGGTAGTGAGTAATGAGCAAAGTGAGACGCGACGTCCCGTGAGCTCTAACGTGTCGTCTAATCGCTCGATTTTTGTGGCCTTTTTCTTCGTCATTGTCAGTTCGATTAATCGTAATTATCGCGTGAACGATGAAAAAGATAAGAGAGGAGGAAGGTTCGGAGGCTCAGCGACTCGTCGAAAGAACATCTACGCGCGAAATTCACGATAAGACAATCGATCGTGATTTTTTGTTCTTTTTAATGGTGCGCAAAGATTCGTCTATATACGCGAGTCTCGATTCAGGCGTGGCGCGTTGATGTAATACACTTTGTTACTGGCGAGTCGATAATTGCAGTATATACGTTGTATCAGCGCGAGGAAGTATATCGTAAGTCATCGTGACGAGTTGGATTATTTAGTTCTTTTTTTTTATTGTTGTTTTTTGGGGTTTCGTCTAATTACTCGCTCAATAAAGTCATTCAGATTTATGGTAGAATTCTTATTCTCTCGTGTTTTCGTTCTCTGTCTCTTTGTTTTTACAATTAATTTTAACAAAATTCTAGCTATATCGAATCCAGTTGACTACGTACAATACATAGATTTACAAATATTACACAACACAGATATGTAAAGATCAATTAATAAACAATTACGGGCAGGTTTCTTGAATTTTCCCACCCTCCTGCGACTCGTTCTTCCTCTCTATCTTTTATCAAGATTCGATTCAATCAGGCCGACCTCTGGCCCTGCCACCTCTTCTTCAAGCAGCAGCAGCAGCAGCAGCAGCTGGGCGAGGCCCCGGGCAAGTTCTTGCCCTCGTGCCGCTTCGTCCCGGGTGGCTTCAATCTCGTGCCGCACGTGTCGCGTCTGCTCGACGTCGCCGAGCTCGTCCAGCTGAGCACGTCGCGCAATCAGCGCCGCTGCTACGAGTCCGCCATGCTCGAGGACTACCACCGGACTCTGTGTCGGGCCCTCGAGGAGAATCAACGGGAGGACTCGACGCCGCTGCCCACCCTCGAGGACGTCCTGGCCGAGTACGAGGCGGTGCGCGTCGCGGGCCTCTACCTGGCCGCGATGCACATGTCTCTGCCGCGTCGCTGGAGCAGTTGGAGCCGTCGGGAGCCCATCGGCGGCCACCAGAGGGTCGAGCATCCCAACGTCTATCTGTGCCTCGGGGTGTTCCATAAAAATTTTTATAACGTATAATGTAAATAAACATTGTCGCTATCGTACCATATTATACTACTTTCAAATTCTTTGTTGACGTTCTATACAATAGAAATATCCACGATTAGCCGAGAACGGTTACAATTTTGATAAACTCGGTAATAAAATTCGCTTCCTTTTTAAAGCGATAATTAAAAGGTTATTGACAAATTTATTGTTCATAACTTATAAAATTCATGAATTATCATTTTTAAATATACTTTTTAGTATACTTAATTAGTTTTTATTTTTTCACTTTCACGGTTGACGCGATGTAACTCAGTATACAAAACGATCTGATACACGTATATAATATTTATTTATTTTTACAAAGAAACCCGATGAACGCTCGAAAGATACAACATTCAGCGTCCGTCGCGAAGTTTGAACTTTTGAGCTTTCGAACGCTTTGAACTTTTTGAAATTCTAAACTATAAAGTCGAGAAGAAATTATTGTTTTTTTTTTCTTTTCGAATCAATCCCAACGAAATCTCCCGATCAACGAACAGTTTTTAGGGACGTTCTGGAGATTAAAACAAAAAAAATCTTTCCCAACCATCGCGGTCCATGATGTAATGAAAAAAGTCTTCGCTATCTTGTTACTCGCGAGCTTTAATCACGCGGACTCGTAATACGCGAATGACGCGTCGACCTCCAAATTAGACGCAGCTATATGACAAGCGTATTATTTTATACATAATCCGACGAAATATTGTCTTTCTCGCTGCTGTATTATTTTTCCGCGCTCGCTATCGCGCGAATCGATCCGTCGATTCGTCGTATTTAACGATACGAGCAAAAAGTCGGGAATCCCATGTGTCGGATGCCTCCAAAAAAAAAAAAAAAAAAAAATAAAAGAAAAGAAAAACACGCAATAATATGCCGAGTTCTAGAAAACAAGACATTCGCATTGAAAACACGACACGTTGTATATTGAATCCACTGCGTACATCTTGTCCGTGTGTGTGTGCGTGCGTGCAGCATCTCTCGTCCGTCTCTTTCGAGCTCCTATATATATTACGCGTTGCAACATCATGATATATATATTTAACGAGGGATCGTAGCGCGCGGGGTTCACCAGTGCGACTTCAGTGCGCGGCCGAGCCTCTTCCCTGCGTCTATGTGGGCTATCCTATAGATATATATACATCGTTCCACTCGTGTAATGCCTTCGAGTGCGTCGCTCTTTTGAGAAAAAAAAGGAGGGCGAGAGAGACAGAGAACGACATTTTTTCGCTCTTCTCGTGTGATTTCGTCGTCGTTGAAAAAAAAATAAATAAATAAAAGAAGAAAAAGAAGAAAAATTGCCAAAAAAATCGTTACTGATCGGGGATGAAGCTCATTAATATCGGCTTGCTGATGCTCATTTTCGTTAGCCTGATCAGCGTGGCCGCTCTGGCAACTGCTCATCCAGCTGGTGATCCCGAGGCCGTGAGTATTATTATTTTTTTTTTCATAAAAATAAAAGACCAAAAAAAAAAAAGAAAGAAAGAAACACGAGGCCTCGCGTTCTTCGAACGCGATTTATCGTCGGGGCCACCGACCTCTCTCCGTCATCGATCACTTTTTTTTGTTGTTGTCGGGGGTAATGATATACACACAGTATCCGCATACCGATCTTTGATTTTGGCCCGCGAGGCCGAGCTCGGGTACGACGCAGCCTTCTACGTACGGCGTCGAGACTCGAGCGAATTTTTCGTTTTTGTTTATTGTTACACATTTATACGATCGCATTATTATTATCGTCGTCGACGTCGTCGAGCGATAAACTACTATATAACGTCCGTTTGCCGATCTTCTTCTTCTTCTTCATCTTCTCTACGGCTATCATCTCGCGCGCGAAATCTGGGTCATTCGCAATTTAGCGCGTTACAATAATAACGATATTCTTATCGTCGTACGCGTGTCAAACGCGCTCTCGGGTATATTATACGTTCGCGAAACTTCGCCCGCGATCGTCGTCGCAAGCTCTTCTCCGAGCCGCGTGTGTGCTCGAGTTGCGCGCAATTACGTAATTAGGCTTTTACCTAGAAAATAATAAGGAGAGAGAGAGAAAACTCGAGACCGGACGCGCGACGCATAATAACCGAGACGATGTGTTTTTCGCGCGCCCGTTATGATGAATCCAGTCGTAACCGGTATATCTGAAATGCGATTGCGACTCGAGCCGCAAGCTCTCGAGAAACAGCCGTATCTGACTCGTGAATAAACGCTCTGTTATACTTGTACACTTGGAAAGATAATCAGTCCAGTTCGATGGGTTCATCGATCCGGAGATTTTATTGAAGCACATTTCGGTTTTGTTTCATCGTAAACGCAATTATCCAAGCTCAAATATCTAAAAGTACATCTCAAGGGTTTTTCGTCGGACAGATCGTTTCTAGGATAGGTGCTCCGAAGGCCTATACACACATACACACGCGCGTGCAAGTGGCGATTTGGAAATTCGCGCTCGAGAGCGCCTGACCCCTTATTAATAGTTAATATTGACACAGTTTCGCGGTCACGCGTATAGCTTGCATCCGATCGAGCTCGGCGAGCAGCTCCGCGCTTAAAAAATAATCGCGCCGTTGCGAATGTGCGTCGTCGTGACGAAAAAATGTTCAATTCAACTTATTTTGTCTATATAAAAAGCTCTACTATACCAGCGAGCCGATCGCTTTCGGTTTTCGGAAATACGGGAATTGATACATTGAATTTTTTTTCCTGGCTTCACCCCATCCCCCTTACTCAAAAATAAGTATAGCTATATGAACGAATCGAATATTTATTGTTTTTTTTCTGGTTGCAGGCGATCGAAAACATGAGACAGATACCGCAGTGGCACTGCAAGCGCTACAGGAAGTTCGATCTCGTGCGACGCTGTCGGAATTATCGCAACGGACGCAAGCACTGACACACGAGCTCGCTAGAGCGTATGCATATCATATGTGTATCATCGAATCGTGTATGGGACGTCATTGACGTCGTGCCCCGTTTTTCTCCCCCCCGCCGGCTAGGCAACGGAGAGAGAGACCACATATAGATTATAACGAAAAAAAAAGGGTCAGGCAGATCTCTCTGCCGTTATGCCGCGGTGGCTTCGTCCGGGCGGAGGCGTCCGCGAAGAGACGCGATTACTTATTTTAGGCGAGACTGCACAACAACAATTAGCATCGTCATCGGTTCGATCCTTCTTCGAACGATTGTTTGGATTTTTTTTTCACGTAACATATTTATTGTGTTTTATAATGTATATCAGTATTCAGTATTTATAAATATTCGTCGCTGTATCGGACATCGCATTGTATCGATTGCTAATTTTTTTTTTTTTTTTCTTTTTGACGTTGACATGTTTTTCCATTGTTTGTCGTTAGGCGTACGAAAAAAAATATTTATCTAGTGTACGGCTCGTCAGCCTGAAAATACTTCGTGCATTGCATTTCAAGATGATAATTATCTAGAATTGTTTTTACTTTATACGGTTTAATTAAGTGCATTGTATTGTATATTTAAAGTTATAATAAAGATTTACATTGGAAATATTTAAATTTATTATCTCGAAAGAAATTCGTCATCCTGAAAACCTTCAACCATATGTCATCTTCTAAGGTTTTTCATACTTGACTTCTGATCCGTTGATAACTCCTATTTTTTTTCAAGAAATTGCACTGCATTCTATTCCCAACAAAAGGATCGTTGTATAGGTAACACTGAAGGACTTACAAGGAGCTTATGAAATAGTTTGACTTTAATTTTTTTTAGAAAAAAATTTGCTGAGTAATATCTTTATATATAAACGTTATAACACATCAACATTGTTTTATAAACATAACTTTATTACATTATACAAAAATGATTTTCTTATAAAATTCACAGTGCTTTCATGAATGACATCACATGCCGCATTTTGTTAAATAAATATTGGACATTTTTAAAGAATAATATAATTTATTTGTATTAGTTGATACGTAAAAAATATTTAATTACAACCATTTTTACGAAAGAAATTACGTATATTCGTTCTCTCGATTATCACGTTCAAAACTTAAGAAAAGCCACGATCAATTCAAATCGGCCGCTCGAATTCAAGTTGGCAGTCGTGCCGCATCAGCTGTCGTCGTCTCCGCAGCCATGTGCACACGCCGCGAGGCCTCCCGATTCACGAGTCTGCATCTCTCAGGCTGCAACAGAAGAAACATCACTATTTCGAGTCGATACATTCATTTCTCACCGGGTGTATCGCGTAGTTTACACGTCGTGTGGATAAAGCTTATGCAAAATGGAAACGGCCGGAGAAGGAGCGCAAGTGCAAATTCGCTTTGTCACGAAACAACAGCAGTAAGTGAAAATCATAGGCAATTTTGTTTACAATGTTTACACGCGTAGGTTATGTGAAGTGCATGAGTATTTAATTCAATAAAAATCTGTTGTCAGTGCGATAAGAGCACGTTGAACGTTGCAGCACGTGTTCTTACCTATAGTTGGCTTGGTTTAACGTTGTGTCATTTATTAAACGTCATTTTTCAGATATGCTGTTCCTAATTTTCCATTGTCAGTTCCAAGTGAGTCTCCAGTGACAGAGCTGAACGCCCTTGTCAATGAATTACTGAAGGGTAAGTCTATTATTTCAGCGTTACTTTTTATGGAATGAGAATTGCCATTAATGAACGTTTAATTTTTTATGCAGAATCTAATGATCAGAAAAAGACCGTAGAGTTTGACTTCCTTGTCAATTCAGAGTTTCTTCGGACAACTTTGAAAGAACACATAGCAGAGAGAGAAATCTCTTGTGAAAATGTTATCGATATTGAATACATTGAAAAGCACCCACCACCAGAGCCACAAGATTGTCTTATACACGATGATTGGGTATCAGCCGTTGCTATGCAAGACAAATGGATTCTTTCCGGTTGTTATGATAATACACTTCATATATGGACGGCAAAAGGAGCCCATCATTTAAATATTCCAGTTTATCATACAGCAGCAATTAAAAGTGTAGCATGGATATCGATGGATAATGAATCTGCTACATTTGTCAGTGCATCACAAGATCAAACGGCTGTTATTTGGAAGTGGGATATTTCAAGTAATTCAGTTGAGATCGTTGCTGTTTGTAAAGGACACGAAAGAGGTTTAGAAAGAGTAGGTGTAAACGCTTCAAACAATCTTATGGCTACTGGAGCGTGGGACACAATGTTAAAAATATGGTCATCATGTAAGTACACTTATAAAGTTGATATAATATTGTAAAAATTGAGTTTTATGTAACAATCTATATATTTGTTTGGTGTATCAACAGCCCTACATGATGATCAAGAAAATGGTGAGCCTCCATCAAAAAGATCCAAATCAGATCCCAGTAAAACAAGGGTAAGTTTTTTCTTTACTTGTGCATTGAGTATTTAAACTGTTTTATCTCATTTCAAATGGATACAGTCAGCTAATTTAATTTAAAATCATTGATCATTATTTAATGATTGATTTTTAATTCCTTTTTCTAATAATGGGTAAATTATAATTTATAATTTTTTTATTAGATGCCAATTAGAACTATCAAGGCTCACAGAGAAGCTGTAAGCGGTGTAGTCTGGTCAGACAAAGCAGAGCTCATCACAGGCTCATGGGATCATTCCATTAAAATTTGGGATGCCGAATTAGGAGGGATGAAACATGAAATTCCAGGAAACAAAAGTTTCTTTGACATTGATTATTCTCCTCTGAACAGAACAATTATTGCTGGATCAGCTGATAGACATGTTCGGTTATTTGATCCTAGATCTACAGGTTTGTGCTATATTTAATAATTTTTTATCCAAATTCTGTTGAATCAGTTGGATGACAATTGATAGAAACATTTTTACTGATAAAAGCTTTTATATGATGAAAGTCACCCGAATTCCATAGCTCACCCATTGTTTAAAAAGAGACAATGGTACATGATAAATCATATTTGCCCTCCGTTAAGGTTTTCTATACTTGATACAGTTTCCTTAAATGGACTACATTAAAGTTGATAATTATTAACAAAGTTTCTCAAAATTGATAAGTTTAATCTACATCTTTGGATTTAAGTTCTCATTAGTTTAACAATATGTGTCTTTGTTTCAACAGATACTGTAGTTAAAACACAGTTCACATCCCATTCCTCGTGGGTCTCCGCTGTTTCATGGTCGGCCACGGATGAACATCTATTTTTATCAGGAGCCTATGACAATCAAGTCAAGTTATGGGACACAAGAAGGTGAGTCAGCCGTGTCACCCTACATCAATCATCTCGTGAATTCTTCAAAAATTAACGTATTTTTATTTCATCTTTTTTTTCTAACAGTTCAAAAGCGCCACTGTTCGACCTATCTGGACACGAAGACAAAGTATTATGCTGCAACTGGTCGAATCCCAAATATCTGATATCCGGTGGAGCGGATAACACAGTCAGGATATTCAAATCCAAACACGCTGTGCATTAATTCTAAGTATTTTGTTACAAAGTTTTTAATCGCTGCAAAGGATTTTGCAGAAAATAACACAATGATGTATAGATAATTTTTATATATAAAAAATCAACTGTTATATTAAGTCGAGAGCGATCCTTCTTCTTTCCTCCCCTCGATTGTCCTCGGTAAATAAGTTCGACTTCCATTTCTTTTTCTCTCTTACATTTTTATAGGGAGTCACGCGTAACGAGCGTGAAACACCAGCGAATCGGAAAGGAATTTCTCGTCCGTTGAGCTTGCAAGATTATTTGCCGCCTTAAAAAGCCGTGACCTCGAGAGGCCCGGCCAATGAATGTGTCTAGAAACGAATGACGCATATAATATAATAAATGGCTCCATGTCCGTCTCTCCCTCTCTATCTATCTCTTTCTCGATTTAAATGCCTTCGAAGCGAGCAAGCAGCAAAAAAAAAGGGCGTGCGACATTGCAAACAGAGAAAGTTCAAATGAGCACACACACACACACACATCGTGCGTATAATCGGCGCGGTCAGTGTCACCTTGACACTAATCCCATATTTTATGCGCGCCGCAGAAATTGACCAGACGCACACACGGGGACACACACGCACACGTGCGAAATAAATGCTGGAAGAAAAAAATTTCGCTAAAGACGTGAATTATGCAGGGACACGAGTAAGAAGCAAGTATGAATCAAATGAGAAATTTCCCCACGTGCGCACTACGGGCCTATATATATAATATACCGATAGCGCCCAATCGTTACAGATACATGATATTAATAAATATTTACATTATTCATGCGATACGGTATTTTAAAAAGCAAAAGATCGCCTCGCGATTCTCTCTCTCTCATCGATCGATTGTCCGATATCGCTGAAATAATAACGGTCGCGTCTGAGTCTCGTCTCTTAGTAGTTAACGCGCGCGTGGATCGAATTACCCGCGCGGGAGTCGTGTACGTATAACGTTATGCATATATATATAGTAACTATATAGTAAAGCTGCGCTGCGTGCGCGAGAGACGGAGACGGTAAATAAAATTTAAAAATTTGAAAGCTGCACCTCCACCACCGCCGCACGCGCAGAACGACGATCGCTGCGGACGACGGCCGTTTGCCAAGCGAACCGTTTGAACGTATAGGCAGCAGATTCGGAGCGCGTTTCATACGGCGCCGTACGCACTGTGTGTATATGTATAGTTTAGCGAATCGACGCGCGAACCAATAACGAGCGCCGGACATCTCGGCGAGGAAAAAAGGGAAGGAGAGTGGGAATTATATACAGGGATAGTAATATAATAGCGCGGGCCGCGTATCTATATGTGTATATAGGCACGTATTGTAGAGTAGACGTATACACGAGCATTAAGCAACAGGCACAACACATTTCGTATACGGATTTATATACATATAGGACGAGCAGCATCAGCAGCAGCAACAGCTAAGCGGCCGAGGCGCAGAAGGCAGTTGGTTCGCGCGCGCTCTCTCGTCGACGCTTTCGCACACACACGCACATAGACATGCTATATAACCTTTCGCTTTTCGCGTTGCGTTAACGTTCCCAAAGAAGAGTCTCGTTCCGTATATATGCGCGTATAGCCGCCGCCGCCGCCGCATTATACATGTAAAGCTCGAGCTTCTTCGGGGGTATATAACAGTTTGCAGTTTTTAGTTGATACCCGAAAATCGCGCACGTAGCGCGCGCCGAGCTCGCTCTCTCGCAAAAACGTTGATCGAGTTTTTCAAACTGCTCTGCCTAACGTCTGGCAGTCTGCAGGAGCGAGCGAGATAGAGACGTTGTCGTATGTAGCAGCAGCGCCACCCCGTATATACATACATAAAGCTGCACAAATTATTATTTATATATACGCGTGAAAAAAATTAGCGAGTATATAGTGTGCACCGTGACCATTCGGCAATTCGACTCTCAAAGTTCGCAGTGCAGTGCTAATTGTGTGTCAGTGTGTGTATCGTTGGTGCAGCGTGTGTATATATAAATACATGCGCATGTCGTTATAAACGTTATACGTTGAAGCGAGTCGACAGAACTCGCGCGCGCGATGCTGCGCTGCGCCGTGCAGCGCGCACACACGATAAAACGATTCAAGTAAGTAGTGCTAGCGTGAAACAATAATAAAAAAAAACAAGAGTAAATCCCGCGAGTGCAGTGTGCAACGCAACGCGACGCGACGCGCCGAGCAGCAACAGTCTCGTTAACTATATACATAGTACACATTATTATTATTAACGTATATACAGCAGCAGAGACAGAGAGAGAGAGAGAGATAGACCTTCTCTCTCGTTCGTTCGCGCGCTCGCACGGGGTATAACATATACACGATACACATTATTGTGTGTATCCGCACACGCGAGAGAGAAAAAGAGCTGTGCTGTTGTGTGTGCCCGCGTCTCTGGTGGAAAACTCTCGGAGAGGCCTTTTGTCAGCAAAAAAAAAAAAAACTGATATACGCGCGAGGCGTATGATATAGTTGGTCGTATTATATATACAACGTCCAGGTATATATATAACGAGTGCAGCAGCATATCGTCGTGAGGTGCGCGCGTGTTGTGAAACTGCAGTTACGAGAGGCATATATCGCGAGAGCAGCAGAGTCGCTTGGTCCTCTCTCGCACTCTCGTCGAGTCGTGTCGTCGTCGTGTGTTCAAAACCGTCGCTTTTATATTTATATACATATATAATCCAGTGGTGTGTGTGCGTGCGTATATATACGTGTGCGCGGCGCGCTTCGGTTCTCTCTGTGTTGTATTATATGTGTGTGAGTGTCCGTGTCTCTCTGTGCATCTCTCGCTCTCTCAACGAAAAAAGAAACTCGAGAGCTGAAAATTCCGTTGAAGACACGAGCGGCAGGCGTCAGCGGTGGCAGCTGTACTTGTATACCGTGTAACGCACAACTTAAAATATACCAAAATAATAATAATAATCGTACGCGACGACGAAGACGAGCAGTACTTGGTCCTGTATAAAAGTGCGCGCGTGCGAAAGTGGTGTAAAATCCCCGTGTGAATTTATCAACCAACGATTCCGAAAGTGTACAAAAAGTGAGGTGTCAAATGTTGATGATCAGGACGGCGGCGCAGCAGCAGCAGCAGCAGCAGCAGCAGCAGCAGTTGTTATTATTACCGAGATCATCGATGCCGAGAGGCGAATTTTTTCGATGCGACTCGCAGCGCGTCGGCCGCACCATTGTGGACTGCAACGACTACTCCGTATCATTATCTGCCCCGACGGATCGTCGTCAGCATCCTCGTCGTCGTCAGTAGAGATAAGCAGCGAACTACAGCGAGGCGAGGCCGCTGCCTTAGCCGCCGCCGATTTCGCCCGCACGAGCTGACCTTAAACGTAAGCGTGTTTTTTTTTACAAGGCGATGATTTTCTTTATTTTATAATGAAAAAAATGCATTGTGCACTCACGCGCGCGCATGTGTGTGTGTGTACATTGTTATCGTTACCATCGTTCGTTGCGTATTTACATTATACATATCGTATGCATTCGCACGCACTGTATGCGTGTATTATATTTAGTCCTATTACACTCGAGTACACTCACGCACACAAACTATACCTACATGTCCGTGCGTGCGTGTGTGTGTGTGTGTGTCTGTTTTGCACTGCACTATACACATACAATACATGTATATATATTTCGTATACGCGCGAGAAAGAAAGAGAGAGAGAAGCGAAACGTTGTACGTTTGATCTGTGTGACCGTCAGCCTTTTGCAATGATTGGTTATATGCCATCTAACGTCGAGATCTTCCGTTGCTATTATACATACGGCTCGACTCGCAGATTTTTTTCTTCATTCATTCGCACGGACGACTTTTCCTACGTATAGAACACGTAAAGCAATCCTCTAGCGCCTATTATTTTTTATTTTTTTACCGTACACGCGCGCGTCCGAGATACAGTTTCGTTGCAGAGAGAAGAGAAAATCGGAGCGCGCGTTACGTCTCGCAGGCCGCGGGCTCGGCTGCTGCTGCTGTTGCTGGCGCCTTTTTTTTTCGAGGGAGAGGTATTATATATACATACGCTATGTTAAAAACGTTTAACGAACGCAGCAGCAGCGGCATAGCAAGAGCACACAATGTCTCGCAGGATACGAGACACACGCACCGGCGCGTTCGATATACATATTATAATAGGAAAACACCCGACAGGTTTTTCAACATTCGTTCGTGTGCCTTTATACACGCGCGGGCGCGTGTAGTATAGCCATAGTTTGTATAACGTACAGTGGAGCAATTTTTGAACGTGATGTCATAATGCCCGCGCTGTGTGTGTACGTATCGCGCAAACACACGCGCTCGCTCGCTTGCTTCTTCTTCTCGCGAATCTTCTCTCTCTCTGTATCTATGCGAGATGGCAGTATTTCGTTACACGATATAGAAGCAGAAAAAAATAAAGAGAAAAAAAAAAGATTCGAACCTTGAGAGATGAAAAGAAAAGAATAATTATTGTGCGTGGCACGCGGAGATAAATGTACGTATAGTATTCCGGGGGCCTCGAATGTGACTTTTATTGATGTGCCTTTTTTTCTCTCGCTCTCTTTTTCTCTTGATTTTTTTTCTTCTTTATTTTATTACCCTCGGCGAGATCGCGTTGCTGCCGGTACGGGTTGCTCGTGATATTAGGAATGTTGGCGCGCGAACGCATTATATTTGTTAACGTTATACGTTGTGACACGCGGGCGGCGCGCGGTTCGATTAAATATATACAGAACTATACGTAGAGGCGCCTGCATGCTTTTTCCCGCTTTAATATCGACCTATACAGAGAGACGACCAGATGCTTCTCGAGCCGGGCCTGTATAATAACGTGCGCGGGACACGTTTTCGGAGTCGCTTTAAATGCCGCAGTATGCGCGATGCTTATCGAACGTAATGTTATTTACCTCCAGAGAAAAAGAGAGAACTGTCACCTGCCGCAGCATCACGCAAGGCACACTTCGGATAGATTCACTGATATTACAACACGCCGATGATACAGAGACGATGTATAAAAACGCACTCTTGCAATTATTTTATCGTCTTGGTTATTGACGAAAATCGCACAGCTTGGCGTGACACTTGACCGGTCAAATCCGCGCATTTATAATAAATGCAGTATAATCGCGACACGTTGTCTGCTCGCCACCGAAGCTCGTCGAGCACTGCGGATCGCGATCCTCGTCGGCTGCGGTCAACGTTTTATCGCAACAATGTATAATAAACAACATTATAATATTATTATAAGATAACCGAAACAATGTTTCGAAATAACAAATTTTGTTGATCGAATCTCGGAGCAATCAACGATCTCTCACGTTTCTACCGTTGCCCTCGTTCAGTGTCATCAAGATGTGACATATTATTACAGAAATCGAGAGAGGTACTCCTTGCCCGGACTTTAATCGGACACAGACGCACACACACTTACTCCTCGTTCATTTGTTGTGCCGTCTTTTTTTTGCGATTAAAAAGCTTAAAGATTACCGCACGATTGTTATCACTCCGAGTGCCTGTTGACATTTGTCGTGTGCCGCCGCGCATATTCATTGTAATTCGGCATAATACATTGCACATTCTTGGCAGAAATTTCTCGCGTTCCATTACTGGGTATTATCATTTGTTCCCGTGACTTTATAATGCACACACACACACAGACACGCGACGACGATAAGCGATCGGCGCGCGACACCTCTTTTTATGTATTTTCATTGGAATTACACTTGACTCGGTCGGGCGCTCTTATTAGGAATTAGCAATAACAATAAAGAGCGAGAGAGAGAGAAAAAAACTGGGAATACCGAGTACTAATGTGAATATTATTTTGTTTACCTCGAGTCAATAAAATAACATTGTTCGAGAAAACATACGACTCTTTTTTTTACACAATCCCAGAATGAAACGTTTGCTACTGTTATTATTGGAAATGACCATAGTGCTGTCGCGATCGTGACATACCGACTTGCGATTTTCGATGGAAATTTTTTGCCCAGGATGCCTATGGATGCGAGGCCCTTTATATATTATCGGTAATAGAACTCAATAAGCTATGTGGAGTGTATTAAAATAGAGACAATTTTTCTTCTTAAGTGGGAAGCGTCGCTTAATATACTTATCGATGTCAGCAGAAATGATCGATTGTTCGATAAATCAACGTTCGATTTTCGAGTACTTCCGTGAAACATCTTTCCAGTTTCCGGAAATAAGTGGCGTTATTTATAAATATTTTACCTGCGTACGTGCATCATTACATAGACCCGCTGAATTTCTTCTTTTTTTCGAGAGAGAGAGAGAGAGAAAAAAAGAAGCAAAAATACCGACTCCACTGTCAGCGACTGTGTACGTGCGCCCACTAGCCTCGTTGTTATCACCTTTTTCTTCTTTCTCACTCTTCATATTTATAACGTGGGCCGCGGGGGAGACATTGAACTTGTTTCCACGCGTGAGATGGCGCGGAAAAATTTTGAATGACTGCCAGTAATGTGTCGCCCGCGCGAACGAGGGATAGTGTCCAAAACGCTTTTCTGCATTATATGTCATTTAATACGCGTGTATATAAACAATAAACAAAACTTCTGGAATTTTTCATATTCATAAAAAAAATAAAAAAATAAAAAAAAAAATGTGCGCTCTAATTCCTCTGTACTCATCTCGCTCGCTCGTAAATATTTTCGGCTCTTCGCTCTCGATGCGCGCAAAACAATTTTGTGCAGCACATCGGGGGATTTTATGGCCGAGAGAGAGATGCGGTATCGAGATCGGTGCGCTCTATATTTGAGTATATTATTGTTGCGGATAACAAGAATGTCATCCGCATCGTTGTGCATGCCTGATGCACGCACCTATATATCGCGCGAGACTACAATTACTGTGTAAGCCGCGCGCGTCCTTCACTTTGTTGTCTTTTTTTGTTATTGTTGTTACGCTCGCGAAAGAACGATATCTGCTCGATTTTGGCGCGTAGCTTTCGCGCCAATTGGTTTGTATACAAATTTCACGCGATGCGCGTAAAAACACATGCTCTCACTCGATTCATTAAGCATTCATTCATGGATGCAGAATTACGAGCTAGAGAGGGGCCCACGATTCGAGCTTATCGGAATCTAATCGCGCCGCGAAATCGTACGAAATTTTAATGAACGAGTGCATTGGCCCCTTATTACGCCCGAGCTACTTACTACGCGCGATCGCGGCGAGGAAGGAGAAGTAGCGCATCGAAGCTACACAATGTGCATCAGATGCCGGGCGCGCGCGAGATTTAATCTAATAATTAATGTAAACATTAGCCTAATATCTGTGATTTTTTCACCATTGCCTGCAGTCTCTCATCGCGAATTGACGAGCGGTCCTGCGCTCGTGCACATTACACAATATTAGATATACTAAAGTTTCGGGTCTTGAGTTATCTCGAGCTGCAACGATCCATGTATCGAGATTTGTCGGGAAGCTGTGCAGCAGCACGTAAGTGTTTTTTTTTTTTTGATCTCCGGTGAATGAAATTTTTTTTCTGAATCACGCGGCGAATGCTGAGATATTACCGTTTCACTTTCATCTTCTTCCTCCTCGGTCGGATTTGTTCTCTTTCTCTTGGAATTTCGGAGTTTATGTAGATTTTTTCTTCGCTTTCACTACTTTCTGGTCGGATGCGCGAAAGAAGCGCAATACAAACAGCCGCCGCCGCTTATACACATGTCTTTATGACGCAGATGCATTAGAAGAAAAATATGAAACAAATTCAATCGGGACTTGTGTAGCACACTCCCTCTCCCTCTCTCTCTCGCTATGCGAAGTCGTGAGCACGCACCGGACGCCGTGCCCTTATAAGCTCGGACTTCGCAATTCTTCTTCACGGATAAACCGAACACTTGTACGTTGAGCAGAAAATAACACAATGACGTCGAAGAGATTTGAAAAGAAAAATGTTCAAAAAGAAAAGCTGTCGCGCGGACACCACACGACGAATAGAGGATGTCTCGCTAATCCGGCATTTACTCAACATCAACTTCAACAACGCTTAGCGAATATGATATATTTTTTCGATCTCTCTCTCTCTCTCTCGCTTTTACACCGTTTCGCCAAATATCGAAAAACAGAATGTATGTAAAGTTTTGTTAACGCCTCGGTGGCGACGAAGCTTGTCAGCGTATGTATATGGCCGGCTTAGTGCTAAGATAAATATACGAAAATTTGTCATCGACGACCATGGCGAGAACGACGCGTGCATGTGTGCTCAAAGCATTAGAGCAATACCAAGAGCAAAGCAAGAGCAAAAAAAAAGAAGCTTTCTGGAGCTTTTTTTGAGCTTTTTTAATGTCTGTCAAGATTATTATCTTATCACAAGATCGCGCATCGTTGAGTTTATTGTGTAATAATTCTATTACGCGACAAAAATACTCTTGATCGTTGATTAATTTTGATCGATCTTAATGGCTATCACAAGGGTCATTAAGGAAATGAATCGTTTATTTTTAGAGGGTTCGATTTTTGAAAATATTAAATTTCTTCTTTACATTTCGAAATAAAAAAAAACTGCTCGATATCAAATTATTTCTCCCGATTACTCTATAAACACTCTCATACACATACGCGAATTCTCGGAAAATTTCATGGAAGTTTTCTATCGTTCTCCAAGACTAGACATCAAAAGTATATCTTCGAAAAATGACGAAAAACATTAGTGTGTCGAAGCGATCAAAGTGCGTAATATAAGTCGCCGCGCATTATTAAAACCCACCTTGTATCTCATTATCAAATCGTCATCGTAAAAAACGATTTAAAAGTCTTGTATAAAAAACGATTCACATGCTTTCGATTATCTCCACATCCTCCCCTTTTTTCTTTAATTGCGCAATCGCACCATAAACATAATTGATTTCTGTTTTTGCTAATTTTCTTCTCGTCGTTTTCTTTTTCCAGACTCGTGCCAGGTGTCAAGTGTAAACACGACGACGACGTCGTCGTCGCGCGCAACAAACCGCCTACGGGCGAGAAAGAAGAAGAAAAGTTAGCCGGTGGGTCCGTCGCCACCGACTTCTGGATTTCCGTCGTCGTCCAGCAGCAGCAGCAGCCGCGACATGACGAGCCACAACGACACGGCGATGGACATCGGTGGAGGAAGCTGTGCCAGCTCTACCACCGACGAGGGACACTATTATTACACCAACAATTGTAAGTTGAGTCCATCGATCGATCGACGTTATGTACATTTGACCGGTAGCGTCTAGCAACGAGAGAGGTATAAATTCCACGGGTTTAGAGTCATGGCTTGTCTATAACGTGGATGGCGGAATTGGTATGGTTCTCGCCTGAAACATAGAGGTGGCTCCGGGTTCGAATCCCCGTGCAGGCCGGCTGACTTTTCTAAACAAAGTGTTGCGTGGACTCTCCAATATGATCAACCGAGTTTCATGAACTATTCAATGTTTCAGGTGAAACTTTGGTACTTGAAGCTCGGAATATAAAAGGTCATATTTGCCCTGCGTTAGAGCCCTCAGTATCTAATGCAGTTTCCAAGTTGACAACATTCTTTTTTTTTCAATAATAAATTGCGTACAGGCTCTCTTGGATTGTTAATGAAACGTTACGTTAGAAGCTAAAAAATCTATGTTGTTACGAAATATATTTAACAGTGAATTTCAAAAACGACATTTAAATGGAGAATAGAATTTTTGACAGCTGTATCCATTTTTTCAGCTGTCACGCTTAATTCGTGTCTTATCTTCATGTAGGTTTCTCTCGTAAATCGAAACGATCGACTGATCGGACGGAATTCATACGATTTTTGAGAAATCCTCGATATGCAGATGTGCTACTGCTGCTGCTCCGGGGCTCTCGATTTCTCTTCATTATTTTTCCGTGCGACGGATTATACGCATATTTTTATTTTGTCGGAGCAGCAGCGTATTTACTGCGTCTCGCTCGTGCACGAGGTGTATCGCGTGACTCTTATACTCGTGAGTCTAATGCACACATGTGTCGGTGTGTGTGTGTTAGCTGCTGCTCCGATTTAGCGCTTACGAGCAGGTATAGATACAAACGCTGCCGCAATGATGAGTTGAGAAAACACGACTACGGATGAGATTTTGATTTTATTCTTTTCATTTTTTTTCCAAAAAATTCACTGGTTCGAGTCTGCACGTGTATAGGCCACACAACAACAACGACAATATATATACAACGCGCCCGTGTGAGTGTAGCAGTCAAAGCAGCAGCAGAAGTGAAGAATATCGGTTTGTTTATTTTAGGAGGAGAGCTATTCTTTATATGCATGTTCAAATCTATATATTCACTCTCTCTCTCTCTCTTACTCTCTCCCTCTAAAATGGAACACCAAGTTTATTTTGGATAGTTGCAGGCGCGACTTTGAATATATATCTCTATATCTATATTGTGTGTGCCGAAGCTTTCGTCAGAAAAAAAGAACAACAAAAAACAAAAGGAAAAACAGAGCGATGTACATTCATTGAGCTGATCTATTGGAAAAATGTTCCAACTCCGCTCTTTACAATCCTAACAAATTATGTCATACGATATGATCGTACATCCGGTCGTGCACACATAGCGTACGTGCGCTACTCCGCGCCAATCGCTGATACTAAATTTGAAATAACGCGCCCGAAGTTGCGTAATAATAATCGCGCTTACGAGCAAATTCAAATTTTTAACTCGCCGCGCGCCGTTGGCGACGCGCGTGCTTTTCGTAGCTCTCATCTCGAGATTCGTGCCTCGTTATAACGAGTACCTGCGCGTCGTACATTATTATTATCACGACGAGCCACAAATTATTACGTCGAGCTTATTTATATTATCTCGTACAACGAGAGACGTTTATCAGCTCGTCGCCTCTCGACATTATTATATATACAATGTGTATTACAGCACGCGTATATATGTCATATATACCCGTTTATCAAAAGATAAAATGTATGTGTACAACGCGAATCGCGCGCCGCGTTCCTTCCGAGCACATGCGTCGCGAGAAAACATAGATCGCTGATAAACGGTGCGCGGCAAAAGATGAGCAGCAGCAGCAGCAGCCGGCAAAATGCGGTACAGACGACTCTTTGTTTTTGCTGTTTGGCCGGTGGTGACCTTGACGGCTGCGCCGGGCGTACAAACGCGAGCCCGCACGCATCTAACTGTTATCCTCGTCGCGCGTTTAGTGTACGACGACCGATGTGAAGTTATACGGGGTGGGGTCATCGTCGCCGCACATCTATCTCTCGATATTAAGTTAGTTTATTCGTGGGGCGCCGCCGGGGGTATACGGCACTCACACACACACGCACGCACTCGATGCATTGACGCAGTTTCGCGCGCGCGGCCGCCGAGGATCATCAAAAGCTCCAAAAATTTTCGTTCAGTGCGTGTTTGTGTTTCTGCACGAAACACACGCACCGACTGCCTTTGATCAATTATGATCTAAAAGCGAGAGGAGACATCCGCTCGTTTAAAACAATCTCGTCGTCTGTGTCTCGTGCGTGTCGTGTATAGTTGTATTTGTGTCTGCTCGTTTATTTATACGTTTGTGTGTGTGCACGCGAAACTATAATTGCCAATATCCGCCATCGTCATGCTGTAGTAAACGTAAAATTAAAAATTGTACGCTATACAGTGTAGTGGGCAATTAGCAGTTTTGAAAGTATTAACTGTACCCCCCTCTTCAGGGTTTTCATGTTAATACTTGTGATATTCCGTCTGAGAGGTAACTCGTTTCAAACAGCCTTACTTGTCATTTGCTTTCCAATGTTTATACTGCTGGAAATTACTTGTAATAAATACAACAAATTCGTTAATTTTTAAATTATTCAAATAACTGAGATCGACTGATAGTCATTAGTTCGCACTCATTGGATAAAAGTTTTGTGATGTAGCGTAAAAAGAAATGTGCCTCATTGTTGCTGTTTGTTTTGCAGATTCTACGATACCTCGTAAAAAGCGGATATGTCTGGTTGGTGTAGCTAACGATAATCCTGCTCTGGGTGCTGCAGCTCATCATTTTGATGTCCCTGTTCTTAAATCTGAGACTGGAGTGGAGCTCGTAGATGATACCACATACTGCACCTATTTTATTCTCACAGAATTTGAGACTCCGATATTCGATGTATTATATAAAAGTGCACACCGGTTAGTAGATTTGGTTCTTTTCTGTTATTGTTTTCAAATGTTCTTCTGAAAGATTGCAAAAACTAATTAATTTCTTTCAGGATATTGGGTCCAACGGCTCTGTTGCAGCTGGAACAGAAAAAAGAACCACTACCCAGCAACAATAGACCAATGTACACTCGCTCCATGTTTGGTACAGCAATTGTTTTTACAGGATTTAGGGAAAAAGAAGAATTGGTAATTTATTTATTGCATCATCATAATAACAAAATATAAATACTCATTGATATAAATATCTTAATTTTATCACAGACCAAACTTATTAAAATAATCCACTTCATGGGAGGTAGTGTAAAAAGAGACATGGGCACAAAAACAACACATTTGATAGCAAAGACTTGTGGTGGTGAAAAATGTAGATATGCAGATACGTTTAGAGTTCCCATCTTGAAACCAGGTTTTATTGAAGAATTATGGGCTGACCGGGACAATCTAGATAGCCATTATGATCAGGAAGAGTTGGCAAGTTTTAAAACATATAATAATTTAACTTTATGATTATCAATGAAGTTAATTGGCTATTCCATTATAGATAGTCAAATATCAAATGTTACCATTTACTGGTGCACGGATCTGTTTTCATGGTTTCACAGCAGATGAAACGAAGCATATGGGTGATATGCTTAAACAATATGGAGGGCAAGTGGTTGATTTAACAGATTCAAATGTCACTCACGTGGTAAGGATCTTTATCTTCAATGATATTGTAGTAACTTTTGCTTTTTTTTAAATTTGGCTTTTCTGTTTTTCTTTTCATTTTTGATATGCACTATATCCATTGGTACAAATTGTTTGCACATCTAATACAAGGTTTCTGATGACCCTATTCGCTCCTCTCTTTGTTTACCCAAAGTTCCTAAAATAACTCTACCTCGCTTGATTATACCACCACCTCCAAGATATTTGGAAGGATCTCTAACAGTGCCAACTCCAAAACAACGCAGTTCTATGCTACATTCATTTGCCTCTTACAATCCTTCTTACTCTAACACAACTGTATCGTCGGAAAACTCAATTCTCATGGAAGACATTAGTGAAGATTCTGCTATTTTTATGGACATATCAAATGATCTAGCAAGCAACTCATCTATCAACTCACCCTACTCTAACAGTGTTAACGAGAATGACTCCATGGACATTGATTCTTATTTCGAGCCGGTTTTGCGCAAAAAGCACAAAAAATTCGAGGATCATCGTGTTAACCGCAGCATGTGTGAAACACCAACCAGCCATAATCGCTCCTGTGGAAGTAAAGGCAAAATATCAACGCCCAAACGTTACATGCGATGGCGACGATCGGTAGGATCCTGGACCTCGCCCCCGATGGTTCATCAACCGCGTTTTTCCTATCAGTCGAGGAGCAATGCCAGTGAACGAAGTTTCAGTGAAACACGCAAACGCTTGGGCAGGTGCTTGCGACGTAGCTCTCAGCTGTTTTCAAAAATCAGCGAAATAGTTTTTCCATCGAATTTCAAGCAGTACACACCGGTATCTCCGGGGGGCAGACGCGATCACCATCAGGACGAGACACCTACTAATGCCAAGCAAAAGTATACTCCACTGCCAAGCCCTATTCTTGGGCCTGCTAGGACAGCTCGCTTTAGAGATAATAAAAATAATGCGAAACCATATAGGTGTCAGAGAAGACCGAGTTTACTGGAAAGAAGGATAGCTAAAAGATGTCAAGAAAATTCTTTTTTGGTAGTACACATTAATGCTACTTTTGATAAAATGTTGGGTTACCCAAGGTTTCCATTTTTCATCGTGGAAGAATGATCGTATTATGGTCTTGTGAACTCGTTCATGAGTGTTTTTCATGACTGTTATGTCTATTTCAATCGGTGTTATCGTCGTTTATGAATGAAAATCCTAAACCTAATCGTTTTTTACATTGACATCATCTAATCTATACCTTGCAGAGCTTGCGTTTGGAGTGAAACTGTTCATTTTACCTTCTAACTTTTCCCTGATCTTGTGTTGTACATTTATTGTTTTAATTTTATAACTTGCACGTTTATTTTAACAATTTTTATAAAGGATAAAATATGTCCTTATAAATGACATAATGATGGAAAGCTATTATAATCTTGATGTATTTTTCATCCATAGGTTGTGGACGAAACTCAAAAGAAGATGCCTGACGTTATTTCGGAAAGAGCTTGCGTTGTCAAGTCAGAGTGGTTTTGGGCTTCCATACAGAATCTCGTCGTAGCTGATGAAAGAGAATACCTTTTCGCAAATGTATGTGCACTTTTTTTAATTAAAATTGTTTACTATATTACTGATATTATAATATTTGCTCAATGAACTATTTTAGCATTTGGAAATCACAAAATCAACACCATTAGTAAATCGTGAAATTCCAACACCAGATACGGGTACACCGTCATCTGCGTCGAAAAGGAAGAGAAAACGTCTGGCAGAAACACTAAATTACAATAATGGTCAAGCTCCTCCAACACCTACAAGCGTTAATAAACGCCGATCGAGCCTTAGCGATGTCCTGAGCTTAAATGGTAGCTATCTTGACCGAACAGTCAGTCCGGATAAAAAGTATCTTGATGGTAATTTATTATTTTTTAACAGATATTATGGCTTTTTGGGTATTATTTGAAATCTAATTTAATTAAAATGAATATTTATTAATTGATAGATATTTCAGAAGTTGAAACGTCCAATACAGATGCTGTGATAAAAAATTTGTCCCCTAGACATCAAGTGTTTCTTGAACTCCTTCAAACAGAATCCAATTATGTTGGCATTTTAAGCACAATTATGACGGTATTTTATTGAATTTTTATTGAAAGCATACACTTTTTCAGTATATTTTATTATCACACAATTGCTTGCAGATGTTCAAGTCGCCATTGGAAGCCCTCATAGATAGTAAAAATGAATTATTAAATGGTACGGAAGCTAAAATAATTTTCGGCAATTTTCCGCCGATTTACGAAGTTCACAAAAATATGTTGGATGAACTAAGACACTGCGCAAATCACTGGACCGAAGATACTTGCATAGGCGTTATTTTTCTCAAATATGTACCGGATTTGATCAAAGCTTATCCGCCATATGTGAATTTCTTTGAAAACACAAAGGAAATGCTCGATCAGTGCGATCAAAATAAGCCTCGGTTTCATGCCTTTTTAAAGGTTTGCCAGACAAAGCCAGATTGTGGCAGACAGAGTTTGAAGGAATTACTTATAAAGCCCGTTCAACGACTTCCCAGTATTAGCTTATTATTAAACGGTATATTTTCAATTTTCACAATCACGTTTTTATCCTTTATTTGGAAGTTTTATAATCGTTGTATTTTTTTCAGATATACTTAAGCATACAAGTAAGAGTAATCCAGATCATAGTGCCTTGGAGAAGTCATTAAATAGCATTAAGGAAGTAATGACGTATATTAACGAAGATAAACGTAAGACTGAGGGTCAGTTGGCTATGTTCGACATATTCAACGAGATCGATAACTGCCCACCACATCTCGTATCATCACATCGTTCATTCATCGGCAAATGCGATGTAACAGAAGTGCACGAAGAGCTAAGCCGTCGTGGAGACCATCTCGTTTTATTTTTGTTTACCGATACTTTGGAAATCTGCAAAAAACGATCAAAAGGCATTGAAAAGATGAAAAGTCCAAATTCTACGGTTCACAGTGGTTTTCACACGGTAAAAGTCGACAAGGGCAAACCTTACAAGCATATCAGGATGCTTCCGTTGAGCGCCATCAAAAGGGTCGTTGACATTCGCGAAACTGATGGTAAATGAATCCCAAGTGATTATAATATTTCTTTTAAAATGAGGGATTAATTTCATTTGTTTGTTTTCTTAGATTGTCGTAAAGTATTCGCTCTTATGGTTCGCAATAATCAAGAGCTTAAAGATAAATTCTACACGTTCGCTCTACTTGACGAAGAGGTGGACAAAACCAAGTACCTTAAATCGTTGTGTCGACAAATGGCCAATACTATTTGCAAAGCTGATTCAGTAAGTTATCATGTCTGTGCAACTAAAACGATTTTATATGCTACTAGCTGTTGCGCATAAAACTAGACCAACTTTGTTAACAATTATGAAAAATCACTAATTGTAAGATTTTCTTAATGAAAAAATGTTAACTTTTACATTTTCCATATAACTTTTTTCAGGACTCGTTCCTCATCGAGCTTGACTTTAATCAACTTGAAGGTAGCAATAGTGAGGTATCAGTAGGGACACTGAGCAAAGCATTTAAGTGAGTATCGATTTATTTCATTATTAATTAATTTTATTAACTACTACTTTTATAATTCAATTTTTACATGCATTGTTCAAACTTCTTATTTCTATTCTTACATTTTATCAGTCTACGATTATTTTAGAATTAGTTAAAATTTTCATTATAAAAGACAAGATTTCTTCTTTTTCAATAATTTCAAGTTTTTTTACACCTTGATCACTGCGTCAATATTATTCAATCAATTGTTTTTCTTTTTCTCGCTGATTGCATGTAAACTGTCAACAATAATGGGCCATCCATGCGATTGATTACAGGAATCTATTTCGTAATTTTAACCTGGATGATACGGATTCGTACGTGTTTCTACTGAATTGCATGTTTATAACTACATTAGATGTCCCACTACAGTCAGTTTTCACACTAAGCATTTACAAAACTTTCTTTCTGTACCTGCTTTTGTCCTCAGTCCTCATCACATATGCTTATGACTTCATTCATTTTTTTTTGTTTAGAAATAAGTTCTAATAAGTTAATTCGACAATAATTTTAGTATAATTTATATTTATTGGTTTTTATTAAATAATTCTAAAATTTTTAACATAATCAAGAATTAAATGCTCGTTCGTTGTTTGAAAAAAATGAGACCAAATATTTCATGAGCAAACATGTTCTTGTTAAAAAAAAAGAGGAATTCTATCTTTTTAACCATTGAAGTATGTCTCACTTTGGCAGAGACATTGTTTATGTTTGCAAATTGCATTTAAGCCATCAGCGTTTAATAAAAAAAGAATAAATTAAATTGAAACCTACTAATATTTTTTTTTGCATTTATTGCAGGTTTGCAACTCGTACTAGAATGAAAGTAGGTAGGGCATTTAGCTTCAACAAGACTCCCAACAAGCTGAAACGAGCCATGTCGACGATGATGTCTCCATTTGGCTCGACTACTAGTCTCACTCCAGCGAGTCGTCAACTAGCACAAATGCGACTAGCCAGCTGCAACAACCTAAACGTTAGTGAACCATAATCCTGATATGCCAAGCATGAAAACTCTTCTTTTTTGTAGTAACCTTTTATAATCGTCTAAAGAAATGCTTTATTTAACATTGTCAAACTCTTGGATTGCAAATGGTAACATTCCTATCTTTTTTGCTTCTTGCTTATTTACATGAAGTTTAACTCGAGCAATGCAGAATGCATGTCATTGAAAGAAAATGTTAAAACTTTAATCTTAAACATATTGCATATTGAGCAAAATATCCAATCAAATATTTTGTTCGCGTATGTTTCATTGTTATTTCAAAATTGATTGTAATTAGATTTTGTAATGTCATCATTTCTACCAAAGTGAATTCGAGATTTTTTTCCTTGTAGTTAAAACTTTACTAACAAGCAATGTTTTTACGGTTATCACACTGTATCATTGTTATGAAACGTTTTTCTTGAAGCAAAGGAGGACATAAATAATCACTTACGTTTTTCTTTGCGAAGAAGTAACTTTCAAAGAGCCGATGATTACGATCATCGTTGAGTGTTGATAATACTTTACATTATTATTGTTTAAATGTAAATTTGCCAATAATTGAATAATTAATGGATATTTTAAAATAAATACTGTTTTCGTGTGCTTTTTTCTTTCTATTTTGTTTGTTTTGTTTTGTATTTTGTTTGTTCTATTTTTGTTGTTGTTGTTTTCATCTTGATTAATATTATTTAAAATGTTGTCTGTATCTAATTTCAATTATTGCATGTTGCATGACCAGAAAAAAAGAAAACTTAATATGTAGAAAGGTAAAATAATGATCTTGACTAATGATGAAGAAATTTGAGAATTTTCCGTTACTCATGATTTTTGTATATGTGTATTACAGGAACTAGGATCGAGTACTCAGTCGACACGCGACGATCTCCTCGTTGCGCCAATGTCAGTGCAGCCAACGCGGAAAGCCAAATGCAACACACTCTCCGTGGCTGCGATTCGCAGGTGTTGATTATATTCATACATTCATCGTAATCCTTTAGCTGCAATGTTCCCGAAACCAATCATCATCTTCATCGTCATCTTTACACACGTTGGCTTCGTCGTCATCCTTACTAATAAATAACGAAAAATAATAATATTGTTAATGATAATATTAATAATAGTTAGTACAAGCTTAATGCGTAATGTAAGTTTAATCGGCAAACGATGTACTATTGTATGCGTTCAATACAATACGATCAAAGCTTTTATACAGGCTTTATCATGAGAATCTCCTTGATGATATATTAGTCGTGTATAATTATTAACAAGTACAACACAGTATGAAGATTTTGAACGATGAAATTTACGTTCAATAATTAAGCAGTGTTTGTTGTAATACTAAAAAAAGCTTCATTTTTTAAAAAATGTATCGATTCAATTAATACCCGCTTTTACTGCAAGTTTAAGAAGAATAATAAAACTACTTGAATCAAGTATTCGATTCAATAATTATTATTACGAGTACTTCACTCCAGTTGATGGATAAAATTAATCTTTGTAAACTTGCAGTATGCTGCCATAATAATAGCGTTTCAGTTGTTTGTGGCTGATGAATTATAAAATTAATCATGGATTTGAATTTAATGCATATTAAAGGCTTTCTTTCTGCTGGAATATTAACAATTTTACACGACTAAAAAATTCACTCGATAGTTAAGCATCAATACTTATAAGTAAATAATAAGTTTAAAACTTGAAGTTACTTTTTGAAATTAATCATAAGTATGATAATATATAGCCAAAATTTATTAAACGTATAAGCATACATGACTGACAGCGAATACACTTCCTATAATATTTTTTATAATAATTGGTTTAAATTCGCTGAAGATTTATATAGTAAAACCTTAGTTTATGAAACTTAAATAATTGGATAAAATCGATCCCTTCCATGATTTTCACGAGCTTCGTGAGCTACGTGAAATACATGTTGAGTAAAAATTATTAAATATGTTCATTATCGACATTTTTTCCCCCTATATTCTTTGAATATAAGATATTGTTAAAAAGAATCTTGTTTGTTATATAAATTGCGCAACAATTTTTTATCGGCAAAATAAAAGTTATTTATCCAAGATAAAATTTAAACACAAACATGTCAGTTGTCGATTTTTAAAAAATAAAATTTTCTTCTCACCCGCAAAATCATGTTAATCAAATCATAATTTTTTGCTTGTCACATTGATAAATTTTATAACATAATTATTAAGCTCCGAGTAATTCACTGACCGTTTCAATCATCAAGGCTGAATTAATTACATCAATGGCTTTTGCTTTTTTATCTTTCATTTTAGAAATGGTTCGGACGAGGCCATAGAACGCAATGCCAGAAATGGTTCGGAAGAGGCCAAAGACCACAGCGCCGATTCGGATTGAGTTAAAGCCCTATCTATCGATAACAAGCTTGTGAGACGCTCACGTTTCCTAGGATCTTAAATATTGGGTATAATGTCCCGAGAAACGGATAGTGGGACCAATTATTCAAGTTCTTAAACTTCAATGTGCCTCACGATGTTAACTATTTTTTTATGGATATTAAATGCAAGTTCTGCGTAGTGTAAAACGTTCTTGAAGACAGTGGTGATGACTCTTACTTCGAATTAAAAAGAGCCTACATACGCAAGATGAACGATTCATTACTCTTCGAGTTTCGTCGCCTTTGAAGATTTTCAACCAAAACTGTAAAACTTATGCATAAATGTACTTCCATTAATCTTGCGTTTAAAAAGAATTATACGCACGGAAATGTGACTGATAAACTTAAAAATTGCTTAATGCGAGATAAGTTGTAAAGGCCTGTATTTTTTCAATTATAATTCGAAGCGACATCATTAATAAGTTTGAAGTGAAAAATTTTCAAAGTTCTATGTGACTGTGATTGTTGCTGTGCCAATGAGTTCGTATACAACTTTGATGGTTACAATTGATCCAAAGCCTTGAGACTGTAACTTCGAAAGTTGTTGCATAATTTAATATCATAATCAATAAAAAATAGTATTAAGCCCCGATACTAAAAGAAAGTTGATTCTTCATGAAACAGGATGACAAGCTTATATGGTTGTGTATTTTGATTTTTGAACTGCTTTATATACTGCGAAATAGTTAAGAATTATTTTTTTATAAGTGCGTACATTTCTTGCTCTAATTTCTCCCGAAAACTTGTAAATAAATTGTTGAAACTTTTTTTTTGTTTTGCACGCGAGTTTGCCAGTGCTTAATATAGCAAACACGATCAAAATCATTTCTAACCATCAGAATTGTAAAAGTACAACGAACAATGGAAAAAGAAAAGAGAACAAAAATCGAATAGAGTTTGATTAATTATTGCCTGTAAATAGACACGTTGTTATTATTCCTATTAAGCCCCACATTTGTTTTTGTAACTGACGAAAAGTTTTTAATTCAAAATTAAAACAAAACTGATGAAAGACAAAAAATAAAAATTAAGAGAGTCCGATTTAAGGATATATTATTTATTGTAATTATTTTTAACTAAGCTTAAGTTATCGTAATAAAAAATTAGCTAAGAGCTTTAATATGCAAACGTTACAAAGAAACTTCTACGAATTTTTTCATTCACACATCCCCCGACTTATATTCACGCAATCATAACTAAATCAATGTTTTAAATTTACATAATATGTCATTTTGAATTATACTTTTTAGCTGCGCAACTATCGACATCGAGACAGAGATGGTGTCGCCATGCAGTTCGTACTCTATTTTTTTTAATATATTCTCGCGCACACGCACGTATACGATAACGTGCAACCATGGTAGACCTGAAAACACGCACTTGGACCGTAGCCAATTTCATGAAATATGCATTCGATATACATTTTGAAATGTTGAACGACAAGCCGCAAAAGCCGCTTGTATGTTACACATACTCGCGCGCGCATTATTCATTTTCCTTGACTCGCTCGTCTTTGCGGGCCCTTACTGCATCGGAGGTGCGCAGATTGTCGAGTGAAACGCAATGAAAAGTTACGCCGATCTATACACGAATACGGAATCAAAAATTGCTCTTGGATTTGAATTTTATTTTTTCCTGTCCGTCGAATCTAGATTCGTAGTCAAAATGCATTGAAAAAGGATCTCGAAAGCGCACGCAGGAGCACGGACGCAAATTCGCCCATGCTAAATTATTCCTGCCCTTTTTCGGCGCGTAGAGTATAGTCGAGCCAACGCGATCGTTAGTGCACCACTACTGTACGCGATGATATTTCGCTATACGTACGAGTAGCCCAGGCGATCTTTAATTAAAATATTTTTCGGCGCCGTATAGTACACGTACCCCTTTTGAAGCGTTTACATGTGCGAAGCACAACATAGCTCGCAGCGTCCGTGCGAGTGCATTAACGCTCGAGCGCGATACATTAGTCATTCTCTCTTTTTCCGACTTTATAACTTCGTTCTTTTTCACGAGCGAAAAAACTCGTAGGTACGTCGTCGTATATATGGTCGGCTGCCCTTTTCTATTTTGGGTAATTTTTACAAAATTATAAAGCTCGCAGCCGCGCGAGAAAATGAGAGAGAGCTGGTTAGATTCTTTGATCAACGCATACTGCAGAGTGCGGAACACGTGTGCGGAGAGCGAGAAGGGCTAATCTCCGGACGCTGCCCTTATCATTATATTCTATATAGGCTACGCAGAGTTGCGCGCGTTTTCCTCGACCGTCCGGAAAAATTCTCTGTGAGCGATGCGAATGGCGCTGTGCCCACCGACAGCTGCAAAAAAATAAATAAATAGAAAACAATCGCTTCGGGAGGGGGAGAAAAAAAAGACGGCTTTAAAAATATGCACGAACGAAAAAAAGATTCGTCGTCGCGTTATGTACCAGAAGTTGCGAAGGGAGGGTTGTTTACGTGCCCAATAAACATTGATTAGCGTCTCGTTTACGCCGATACGATTTATAACCGCGTGATTTCGTTCGGAGAAAAAGCGCCGCCCCCCGTGCGTAAATTTTCATTCTCACGCAGTTCGAAGATCATTGACGTAATATTTTAGATTGAGAAAAGTACTAAGATGAGGATAAAACAGTCGTGATCAGAGAGCTCTTACTAACAATTTTTGGCTTAAATTAAATTATTAAATGGTTTCACTTTAGTTTTTTCGGTTCGTCAGCATATTCATGAAAATCTTTCACTAACGCGCGTTTGATCGATTCAGGATCATATGCCATTTCGTGAGATTTATCTGAAATCCAGTAGCCAACTAAATGATCGCCCCATTCGAAGTTTTGAAGAGGACGTTAAAAATCTCTGGAAACCAAAAAAATGCACCGGCGGAAGTTATAAAGGTAAAAACTAAAAGAAACAAAACAAAAATGTACAAAGGTATATTAAAAGTTGATATGATGTAAGACTCGATCATTTTGGCACAATTTGTATTAACATTTTAAAAATATATATTTAGAAATATCTATCTATAGATGTTTAAACTTGTCCATTATTATTTCTACTCGCTTGTTTCAAACTTGTTCCTTGTGACCTTCGTGTACAGTTATTTGGTGGTAGAGCAAATTAATTTTCTCCAAATGCCTTCTCGCATTTGTCACGTACGTAATATTGACGACCTTAATGGACTGTTATTTGGTGCTTCAACAAATGCGCTTTATGTCCAAATTTTTTCTTGCATTTGTCACATGCGAAATTTTTACAGCCTTCATGAATTATTTTTTGGTGAACGAGCAAATTCGATATTCGTCCAAATTTCTTGTCGCATTTGTCGCAAGCAAAATCTTTTCGACCTTCATGAACTGTCTTTTGGTGCAAAAGCAAAGTCGATTTTAGTCCAAACTTCTTGTCGCATTTGTCACATGCGAAATCTTTGCGACCTTCGTGTACCGTCTTTAGGTGGGTGAGTAAAGTCGGTTTTTGCGTAAATTTTTTCTCGCACTTGTCACATGCGAAATTTTTCCGACCCTCGTGGACTGTCTTTTGATGCTGAAGCAAAACCCATTTTAGTCCAAACATCTTGTCACATTTGTCGCAAGCGAAATCTTTCTGGCCTTCATTATCGCATGCGAAATCTTTGTGACCCACATGGACTGATTTTTGGTGGATGAGCAAATTCGTTTTTTGTGTAAATTTTTTCTCGCAAATGTTACATGCAAAATCTTTCCGACCTTCGTGTATTGTTTTTATGTGGAGGGCCAAAGTACATTTGTATCCAAATTTCTGCTCGCATTTTTTGCATGTAAAATCTTTGCGACGTTCGTGAACTGTTTTTTGGTGCAAGCACAAATCTGATTTCCTTCCAAATTTCTTCTCGCATTGGGCACATTCGAAATCTTTACGACCTTCATGAACTGTTTTTTGGTGTCTGAGCAAACTGACTTTATGTCCAAATTTGTTCTCACATTTGTCACATACAAAATCTCTCCGAGCTTCGTGTACAGTCTTTAAATGGATTAGCAAATCTGATTTTTTTCCAAATTTTTTCTGGCATTTGTCACATGCGAAATCTTTCCGACCTTCGTGGACAATCTTTTGATGCGAAACTAAAGTCCATTTTTGTGTAAATTTTTTCTCGCACTTGTCGCATATGTGATCTTTGCGACTTTCGTGGGCTGTTTCTCGACGCTCCAGCATATACGATTTACTCCCTAATTTATTATCGCACTTGTCAAATGCAAAATCTTTTTGACCTTCATGCACTTTCTCTTGATGGACAGGGAAATGTGATTTTTTCCCAAATTTCTTTTGACATTTTTCGCATGCATGATCTTTGCCACTCGTTTGAACTGTTGTTATATGCATGCGAGAATTCCGTTCATTTACAACTTTCTTCCCGCAATGATCACATAAGTAATCTTTGAAGATGTTGTGTCTTGTCTTTAGGTGAAAGAGTAAATGCGATTTTTTTCTAAATTTCTCTCCACACTTGTCGCACAAGTAATTATTGAAATCTTCATGAATTGTTTTTATGTGCAAAAGCAAACTGTTTTTATTCCCAAATCTTTTCGCGCATTTTTCACATAAATAATCTTTAAAAACTTCGTGGAATATCTTATTGTGTTTGAGTAGAGTTGATTTATTTTCAAATTTTCTCTCACATTTCTTACATGAGAAATCTTCGCGATTTTTGTGTACTAATTTTTGGTGCGTGAACAAACTTGATTTTTGCACATATTTTTTCTCGCACTGGTCGCATGAAAAATCTTTCCGGCTTTTGTGAGCTGATATTTGGTGTCTACTCAAATGACTTCGGAACTCAAATTTCATTTCGCACTCGTCACATGCGAAATTTTTTTTATCATGGTGAATTGTGTCTCGGTGTGCTATCATACTTGATTCTAGTATAAATGCCTCCTGGCAAATATCACAAACGTATTGTTTGTCGTCAGAAAAAACAATATCTTGTTTAATTAAATTGTCTCTTGAGGCAACTTCATTGAAATTCTTTTCGTTTTCATCCATTTTGGTGCCTAATATCAATGTTTCACTTCTATTTATTGCCACAGAAATTTAACGAATAACATTTATCTGTTTAGTTTTATAGCTAGTTTGATCGGAAAATACGTTTAAACTAATTTGTTTTTACTGTAAACATGATCAGTGTGTCAAACGACATTATACAAGTCGTTTACGATCATATTGTATACAATTATAAGGTACCAATTAATCTGTTTATGCAAATTCTTACAATATTTGAAACAACGAAGTGCTTCCATTAGAATTCATCCTAGAATTCATTTTTTTTAATTTATATATTTGAATTATACATAAAATTTGCAAAATGAAATAACACCAGAAATTAAATTCTTAATATGCTTCTCGCATTCGTGTGCTTTAATTCGTAGTAGCCAAGCAAATGTAAACCATAAGATATAAACTTTTTCACTCCTTTTTTTATTTTCACAACAAGACTAAAAAAACCAATTATCACCAAAAATAATACCAGAATAATCCTCTGATTATTCTGGTCGAATCGAAAACGATTACGAGAGCTTTTACTAATTTTGGAGAAATTGAAAGAAATATTTTTTGGTTTCAATTAAATTATTAAATGATTTCACTTTAATTTTTTCGGTTCTTTAGCATATTTATGATAATATTTCACTAATGCATGTTTGATCAATTGTGAATGTTTGAGCAAATGGGGCCATGTGCCATTTCATGAGGTTTATCAAAAATCCAGTAGCCAACTAAATGATCGCCCCATTCGGAGTTTTGAAAAGGACGTTAAAAAACTCTGGAAACCAAGTAGCCAAAAAATGCACCGACGGAAGTTGTAAACGTAAAATCTAAAAGCAACACAACGAAAATGTACAAAGGTATATTAAAAGTTGATTGCTTTCGGCACAATTTATATTAAAATTAAAAAAAAAACATATTTAGAAATATCTATAGATCTTTAAAATTGTCAATTAATGTCGCATAATCTGTGCGACCTTTGTGGATTTTCTTTTGGTGTCTGATTAATTTTGATTTTTCTCCGAATTTCTGCTCACACTCGTCGCATGCGAAATCTTTTCGACCCTCGTGAACTATCTTTTGGTGTTTGTATAAATGCGGTTTATGTCCAAATTTCTTCTCGCAAATG